GAGTAAAAAAACTGACCTGGATTATTGCCCCACATTGTGAAATTTCAGACCTACAATTAGGAAAAAATGGTTACCGTCTCAGATCTTAAAAAATAAACAAAAATAATAATATAATTATAGCACAATACAATTAAGGTACAGTATATTGACATTGATATCTTTTGACACTGAAGATAAGTGACAATACTTCACTATTTCTGACAGAAGAAGGTTTTTTTTTTGTTTAGTTTTTTTCTGAGACTGATGGAACTGTGCCCCTTCAAATAAGCTTTTGTCAGAAGCCCCTTTCAGACAAGTTCATGTGCCAATGAAGACTGGAGAGGAATACTGTATGTCTGAGGTAGATTATAAGAGTAAATATTAATGACACAAACACATAGCTATAAGATTGCCCATAGATATACTTAACCTTTGTGCAGAATTCTTGGTCTGCTTGTATTTCTGGATGTTGTAATGCATTTTTTCATAGCCATAACTAAACATTTTACACAATGGTTATTATTGGCAACTTTAAAACACTCTTCGTTCTCAAAGTGTCCAGTGGATTAAGGGACCATTTGATAGCTGTATCTACAGTATATGGCAATTTCCATTATTTCTGTAGCCTTGACATTCACTGAATCATCACAGAACACACTGGGCCTTTGCAGAGTTGTCCAAGTTGCAGTTTCTGACATTGTGCCACAAAATGCACCACAATTGTAAAGTGCCATGGAGTGTCACAGTGCCTTGTGGATACTGATTAACACAGAAACACAGTCCAATAACCTCTTTCACATCTCTAACACATGTGCTCTAACACATTGACTATATATTATCACTGTGTAGTTCCTTTACTGTATGAAATGTTCATAAATGTCACAAATGAGAAAACAGTTCCTCTTCACACTTTGTTAAAATGCATAATTGCTCTGTACGCTATGTAGCCTTCAATATCCAATGAAAAATATGGGGTGTCAGAAATAATAGCAATTATCTTAAAATGACTGAAGAAGGGAAGTGACACAAAACACTCAAAGTAACCTGTTACTCCACCCCACCCCTCCCACCATTTAACAAAACAGGAATAGTTAGATATGATTGCTATCATTTAAAGTTACAATATCTTTCTAGCAAGATCAGAATCATACTTTGCTCATAAAATAATTACTAAAAAAGTAAACTTAAGTTGCAACATTAAAAAAAATATGCCTGTGATTGTGGTTTGGCACAATCAATCCAATTCAGGTTGTATCAGACATTTTGCAGTATATAATCTATAGGATTATACAGTAGTATAATCTGTTTTTTGAGGACAATTCCCCATATGATAACAGTATCCTCACAATATTCCCATTACAGATCATTGTTTAAATATTGCCTAATAGCATATTCCTTCTGATTTAAATCGGTAATACAAAATTTTGTTTTCCAGAAAAAAATGTAATGATTACTAGAATACATTCCACTATATTAGTATTGCATTTTATAAAAAAATATTAAGAAAATAATACGCATATAATTATTTTATAAATATTTTAGATGGCAAATTGAATAGCAAGAAAGCCATACTTACAGCAGGATGGTTATCAGCTACTGGTGGTTCTGTAGAGGAACCAGCTTTAGAAATACCCACCCAGCCCCAGGCTCTCTGCATCCACATTCTCAGTGCAGTCATGTGCTGATCTTGAGGTGTGGCTGGGCGTGTTGCTCAGTTGCAAACAAAACAGAACATTTATTTAGCTGTACCAGCTTTCTACCAACACCATGACTGGACATTTTTCAATAAGTTTTAAAAAATGTGTATAAATACTGAATGCCGTGCTGAAGGGTAACCCCTTACACTGAACTATACCACAATAATGCCTGTAATCAGAAAAACATGTCCATTAAATAAATCAATTACTCATTGGAGTTACTGTAAGTCCTGTAATAGAGTTAAATGAAAACCCCCAGATGAATCACCTTTATTCCTTTATTGCTTCAATATGTTGTATGTATGTGTTGTGATGCATTTGATTATCTCAATGGCAATACTGTATGAAGGAAAGATAGGATTGGTCATTTCAGGGTCTGAGGAATCTTTCCCCATAAAATCTTTCACCCATGTTTGGCTGCTCAAATTACAGTACTGTATATACATTTCTAACAAGGTTTTAACATTCAGCACATAAAAAGCCATAAAGGCAATGGCTGATTCCTTACTGCTGCTTTGAAAAAAGAATAACAGGGAATCCTTCAGTCACTGGGCATAAGCAGAACAGAGGACTGTAGTTTTAGTCATCTCTTTTTTCCAAAGGACACTTTGATCAAAACCAGTGTGAAATATCCATCCATCCGTTCCCTACCCACTTTATCCAATACAGGGTAACGGGGGAGCTAGAGACTATCCCAGCAAGCAACAGGCACAAAGCAGGACACATCCTGTACGGGATGCCAGTCCTTTGCACACACACACCAGGGCCAGTTTTCCCAGAAGACAGTTAAACAGAAATACAAAAAATACAAATTCTGAAGAGACAGCACCACAGGACCTGAAGCCAGGGCCCTAGTGTTGAAAGGCACGAATAGTAACCACTGAACCACCGTGCTGCCCCAATGTGAAATGTAATGGATCAAAATACCGAAGTCTCTCTGCAACATGAATCTCAAGCAGTGCTATAGAGAAACAGCTAGCAATTCTACTATGACAAAGTTGCAGGGGGCATCATTGACCTAAATAATTTTAAAGAGAAAAAATAATACTGTTCATTAAGCTTGCTTTTGAATTAGCTGTTGGCAACTTAAGAGCTAAAGCTGTTGTCACGATCGCTAACCCCTCCTCTTAAGGGAGCTCCAGCCCTTCCTCGTTCCCTCCCATTGTTTGCACCTATCCCTATTCCCAGCCCACCTTAAAAGCCAGGCGCTGAGGCTCATCCGAGCTCTGCATCTGGTTTCCGTACCGTGCGAGTCCGGGACCTGAAAGCGCCTGGTCCCGTTCCCGACCCGGTTTCTGGTTTTAATTCCGTGTTTTGATGGATCTCCTGGTTTTGGACTTACCCTTGTGTTTTGGATACCCTCTAAGGATTATTCTTTTGGATTGTTTGCCTCGGCCACACCTCCCCCGTGCACCAGCGCACCTTGGACACGCCCCCCTGTTTTCAGCCCCGTATTCCTGCATGACGTTTCCCCAGTGTTTCCCCACTTCTTCAGATTGTGTCGTCCGCATAGGGTCCGGAAAGAACTGTTCGTTACAGCTGTAGCCTTCACTATGGAATGGTTTCAGTCATGTGCCATTAAATGATATCTACTGTTTTTTACAACATGTTGTCAAATTGAAAGTTCCTGGGCCATTTTGCTCTTATTTATTTCAATATCCTACATTCAAAGACTCTTTTGAAGTATTTTGCTGTTCAGGGGTTGAGTTCACCTTCAACACAATGCAAAGATTTTCCTCACAATGTAATCCCTGTGACAGGTCTGTGTTACTCCTACTATTGTGATTATAATTGCATTAGCATGCCAATGTCAACAAGCTACCTCTGGAGTTTTCATTTATGACTGTGTGACAGATAAGTATTAAAGGTCACCAGATGCTTTGTAGTATGGGTTTACTGCTAAATACCCTGTTATCGCAGAATACTGAAAAAATATTCAGGAGTAACGTTTGTTGCACAACAACACAGCTTACTGACTGAAAAAGGAAATGCTTGTCTCCTGGAAACTGGAATACAGTTTACTGATCACGAGAGGCTATTGCAATAATTGAACTCCTGTCACCAATAACTGAAATTTTAGATGATTTTTAGTGGATAAAATTGACCCAACACTCAACACAGCACTTAAACTTTGTTTTATTCTTTTATAAACATTTTCCCAATTATTTTATCTTCTGTTGTATACCAGTCTGGTTGTGGCAACTGCACATTTCTGTGTCCTCAAATCACAGACAAATCAGGAAACAGACACTATGAGAATGAGGAAGTGTACTATAAACAGACTTCTGAACCATTCATTTTTGTACAGAATATGTCATAGGGCTGTGTGTAAATGATTCAAATATAAACTCCATGCAACTCCATAAATCATGAAGCATCTGCAGCTTTGATAGTCTAAAGCTGTGAGTTTTTAAAAATGACACAAAATTTTCATTGTAAAAGGGATTCTTACAAACACCTGTAAGTAACATAAATGGAGCGGTTTATGGGCTATTCCATCAGTTTTTGTGAGGTTAAAATGAATGTGTTTATGTTAAAAGTAGACAATCTGCGATTGTACCTGTGTAATAGATGTTGTTCTATCCCCATTAAAACCTAATTACATTTAAAACCAAGAAAGGGAGAAACTTCTTAACCCAAAAGGTTGTAGGAGTATGGAACAAGCTACATTCTTCTTTAAAGAAATGTCTGGAAGAGATAGATGCATCAGTAAGCTATCAAATTACCAAATGGGCTACATGTGCCGTAAGACCTCCTCTAATTTTTAACCTTTCTTATGTTCTTATTACAGGTGTTCACATGCCTCCACACCCCAATCACCAGTGAATGCCGCTAAACCAAAATCCCTGGGCTCCAATTATACAGACTACAATACTATCCAACTTTCCAGGGGGGTCATCTTCTGTACCAGGCTGCAACCTGAGCTCTGTTACACAAGGACTGGATAGTTGGGAGCTATTTCCAATTGTGAGGAATGAAAACACATACTGTAGGATAGCATGGGAAGCATTATAATGAAATGCCAAATTGAAAATCATTAAAAGAAGTCTGCAGTGAAATTATCTTGTTTGCTGTGACAGATGGAGCTCAGTTTCTTTTCATTCAGCAATGGATGTAGAACCAAGGTGGGTGTAAGAGATAAGATCACTTTATTAGCCATATACAATTTCTTGTATTAGGAATTTGTCTTTTCGCATACCCCAGCTTGCTCTCCATGAGACACACAGGCACACAGATGGGGGATGAGAAAAGCTTGGGATCAGCCATTTATACAGCACCCCTGGAGCAGTTGGGGTTAAGGGCCTTTCTCAGGGGCAGAGTAAGATTCTTCTGCTGGCCACAGGATTTGAACCAGCAACCTTCCAGCCACAGATCCTTAGCGACAGTGCCACCGCTCTGCCCAGACCCTTTGCATTAGTTCTTCACTCTCTTCTCTGGTCAGCAGCCTCTAGGACTGCGCCTGCGCTCTCCCTGGCCTCCAGCAGCAGGGCAGAGGCCCTCTTCTGGGTCTGTGGGAAAGAATCACAGCGGATTAAATGGAGTGCTACCTGAGTCAACACCTACACAGAAAAGGTAGAAAGCAGTAGAAAAACAGTGGGAGTATCCATGTGAAAACGAGAGACGAGGTACTAAAGGAGATGTATAACATTTTGAAACTCTTTCACAGCTGAAAAAAGGAAGTGTAGTGAACAGGTCAAGCCTGTGAAACAGAAACTTGCCAATAAAAGGCAAACACAATTTTCACAACTGGGAGTAACTGCCTTTTAAATATTCTTAACAAGAAATTTAATCTAATGTGAATATTAAAACATGGATTGCTGTGGCTGACTGTATTACAGCCCTTGCTTTGCAGTTTAGCAGTATGTATATACTGTATATAAAATGTGTGCTTCCCTTTGTCATTAGTTAAACACCCTCATATTGTATTTTCCATCAATGCCATGTCTCTCCAAGACCAGGTACTTACCTCATTTTTGAAACTTTCATCTTTGATATCTTTGAGGTTTATCACAACATTATAATATGCTCCAAACACTGCTGTCTCAAGAGCTTTGGCTGCCACCTACCAAAAACAGAAAAAAAAAATCACTATATACAGTACAGTACACATTTCAAATAAAAAGGACTGTCAGCGGACATCTGACATTGTCATCATGCGTAGCAACATCTCCATTATCCTGAAACTGATCCTAGATCCCTCAGATATCCAGACATTTCAATTGTGTTTTATTTTTCAAAACCTTTACTGAATTGTTGTTTTCCAACCAAGTGATTGAAATGTTGCATGAGAAGTGACCGTAAAGAAATGTGAAATGTATTTTGGTCTCTAAATTTGTCTCTGAATTTACATTAAATGACTTCTCTCAGCATTGTAGTTTCCTCATTTTTCTACTAAATGTAAACAAGCAGTTGAATATTTATTTGATCATTCAAGCACCTTATTGCTCATAAATTAATCCATTTGCAGAATATAAAATTGTAAATCTTGTTCAGAGAAACTGCCCTAAGTTTCTTAACACCTGATTTAGGGTCTGAAGTTTCCCTCTTTGCAAGAACAGATTACCCACAGTTGGTACCAAGCAACGTAGGAAATGTATCTCCTGTCTAATTTATGTATATGTAGAACATTTAATGAAATAAAGAGCTTGAAGTTTATTGAAAAAAAAGAAAGTAACATGAGAGAGAAAAAATAGGAATGCTGTTTGAAACAATCCCGAGGGGGGCAGTGGGTAAATATGGGTGAGGTGCAGTGATAATTGAGTGATGAAAAATGTGCGATGAGGCTGAAGATGAGCAGGTGAATTTGAATGCCAAGTATAAGCATACTGGTTTGTGGTAACTTCTAATGTCTTCTTTGCTGGTCATTGGATGCAAATGTCTACGAGTTATCAGAAAGGTTCCTAAGTACACAATTTGTTCTGCAGGTTGGAAGTATGAATAACAATAGCTTTACGTGGATGTACTGTATTTTAGTATTTATTGAGTTGCAGTAAATGGGTTTGAAAGGCATTTGCAGCCTTAAACTTTTTCCCCCACCTGAAGGTCTGATTTGCAGGCCAGGTTTCCATAAAGGACCATCTCCTTCAGACTGGGCCACAGCACACTCACTCTCTCCGCTAGAGAAAGGGGGACTCTCACAGCCCTCTTCAGACCTTCCTGCATGGCAGCTTCCCTCCTTCGGACAACACACCATATTCTTTAGAGACTCATATTCCAGCTATCTGAACATGGAAATGATTGTGGTCTATTTCAAGGTCACCAAGATACAGAATTAAAAAAGTAGCATTCAAAGGCCTCTTTTGGAACCTATGTGTTAACATTATTCTAAAATGCATGCTGGTAAGAATTGATCAAATAAAATACCAATTGGTCATGTAGAAATTCCAATCACGACTCCAAGAAAGACTGGGTCCTGTCTGATTCATCACAGCTCCCCCTATCAGGTCTGCAACTTATTCTCCTCATTATATCTCAGTAGACTAGCTATTTTTTCTGAACCTTTTTCTTTGTTCCTCGATAATAAGAGACATTCAAGTCACTAAAGAAAGCAGACAACTATGCTAAGAGAAGCCTAAGGCACTAAGGGCTTACATTTTTAAACACACCATTTTCACATTTGCCTGCACAGAAATGAACTTTCTATCAGGTGTGGTGTATGACCCTTGGTATGCTGCCAACAGGAAGGCAGTGCAGCAGCCTTTCCTTTGTCAGACATCGCAGAAGAGGTGGGATCCAGGGAGGAGACGAGCACGGACACACTAAGCCGAAACATTTGAGGTGGCAAATCTTTACCTTCTCACTTATTGGATGGATTTGCTTGTCACTTATCAAGATTAAGAACTCAACATCTGTGTTTGGTTGTTTTTTAGGTTTTCATAGATAAAGATAGAGCCCTGACTAAATCTCTTCTGAGCTAAATTTCATTAGACTAAGGGCTTAACAGTCTGTGTGATTTTTTTTATCCATTTCTAGATTCCCTCAAGGTTTGCATTAAGTTTTGTTTTTTCAACTGTGTAAATCTCTTACTAAAGGATTTAAAAGCAACTGCATCTTGGACTTGGGGTTTAAGCACCTGCATACAAACGTCATAGCACTTTGCTGGAGCATCCTGGGTAATTATACAATACAAAATCATTTATAAACTTATCAACCATCTTCCCAGAGGCATGAAATATTTAAATCTCAAGATACAAATTCCCTCTGCATTTGTGTAACGAGAAATAGGTAAGAAGTGGGGGACTGTGGTTAGGGGCTCTGAACGTATGCCTACAATGTTGTGGGGCCAAATCCTGGGTGCAGTACAGTTGTTGTATACCTGAGCAAAGTTAATCTTAGTCATCCAGCTACACCCAGTTATATGAATCAGTACAAATGTATGTTGTGTTGGATGATAAGCATCAGCTAAATTCCTTCATGTTTCAGTAACATTTTACTTTCAAGGTGTGTCTAGAAGTCGATATTGAGGCTAAAGCACAAAATATTTAGGCCAAAAATAATTTCCCTAGTTACTAGACTACATAGGAATATTGGTGGAAATACAATCTCTTCTTCACCATGCTGGAATTAAGTTGTTTGTATTAATTCAACATAAAGTAAGTTTCCAAACCCTGTTTGGTTTTCTATTTGGCCACTCTGCATATGCAGAAATGGCTCCACTGACCCAGAATTTTAATTCCCTTATTATCTCTGCGCATACAGTACCTTTTAATTTCTTCTTCTGTGTTTTTAGGCAGTTTGAGTGCAGTCTGAAAAGAAAAAAGAAAATAGTTTATGTGCACAAATTACAATTTGAACAGAGCTAATGTGACTCTCAGATTAAAGCTGAGTTTCACCAGTGGGTTTTGCATTGATATTGAATTCCCCTTTGGAAAACTGGCATTATTTTGAACATTGAAGCTGGGTGAGCAGTAACTTATGTTTCATTTTTCTGACTTTTAAACATCAAGGTCATGTTTGGAAGAGTTGTTTTGAAACATTTGCTGTTAGATTCTACAGGTCAATAAACCTATCATTTGCTGCAATCTTAGTCCCAGTGTCTTAAACAAATTCATAGCCTCACACCTAACGTTTTCAATTTTAGTTTTTTTGTATAACTGCAAATGTGCAAAAGTGTTTTCTTTTAAACAGGTCACTCAAACTTAATGTCATCTGTTGCATTCCTACAGCATGTACCACACCTTGAGGGTCATGAGGGATACTTGTAATAATAGTAAAGCAGGTGAGAAGTCTGATTCCAACACTTTGCTAAAGGTCATTTTCTTCAGAGAAGAAAGATCTTCAAGATTAATTTTGTTTTTCTCACTGTAACTCCAGGTGGAGCTAATACAATGCAAGAGCTTTGTTATGAGAGCAAAGTGTCTCTCAACGGTTGCATGAGAAACACTTGTGAGTCATGGGCATTTTCACACAAAGTATTTTTTTCCCCTAATGTACACGTAGAGATTCCTGGACAACAATTACATTCAGGTTGAAGAGGGCTTTCGCAAAAAACAGGAGCTGTTTTAAATAACTTTCTTCTCATTTTGATTTTCTGACATCTATGTGTGCTGATGTACAGTATAAGAACTGGGAGCTACTTGCTGTACTGTATATAGGTTAATAGTGTACACACACTATTTTAGGACTTCTTATCTAACCTTAGCGATCCTTTTCTAATAAGATTCCATTTTGGTTTTGGATTGGTTAAATAATTTTGCAATAAAATAAAATGCATGATTTGCTAAAAATGCATTTCTTAGATAAAGGTTTTTTTAAAGAAAGTTGTTTTGGGGGAATTTCCCTGAAAAGGAATGCAGTCATCACTGATGCTGGAAGGTCCATGTCTTTGACGTCGTACTGAGACCTAGTATTCAATTAGACTCATGGAGACCCAACCATGTCATCCCTTCTTCTGGGATGGTGGGAGCTGCTCTGCATCATTTTTGTGCCACTGCTGATGAGAACTGACAACCTTCCATCACTGCATGGAACACATCCTTTAGTGTCTGTCTGTAATTGTCCGTATTGTTGTGCATAAGTATGACTCTTTGATGCCATTTCTGCTGGAATGCAGTATATGGACTGCTGTAAGAACATTGTGTTACCGGAGTATATGTCTTTTTTATGTGAAATTTAAAAAAATGTGTTAACTCAACCCTTTCCTGTACTTTCATTCTACAAAAGTGAAATGCATTATTTTTACTGCTGCTCCTACTACAGGGAACAGCAGTCAGACGTGCTCACCATGTAGCTGCTGAAAGCTGTGGAGTCAGCATCAACCATGGCAATGAGCTCGTTCATGGCGTGGTGGAAGGGAGGGATCAGTCTCCTCATGACACCATCCAGTCTCTCAAACTGTCTCTTTCCGTATGTCATCTGTCCCACCATGGACCCCAGCGCTGCTCCCTAGAGACACCAGGCAGACCCACACAATGAAACACTCATGTTTTAGAGCTCTGAGGACTGTTTCAAGAACATTAAATGCAGTATTTGATACAGACAGTACTTGACAACCCTGAATTGTCACGTTAAATACATCCATTGATTTCCTGCACATATTCAGCAATACAATATTAGTACTGAACCATATTGTAGAAGTCATTAGAATGATTGCTGAGATCTGTTAACGAAAAAATTTGTTAGAGCAAACAAAGGTGACTTGTACCAACAGCTGCAACAACAAATGCCCTGCTGCAAGTGTTAAAGGAGGAAAATAAACAGAGTAAGCTATAAACAAGGAAAACACACCATAAACAAGGAAAAAACACTTTAAGCGTCAAGCTGACTCCTGTCACATGTTAAAGCATGAAGTACTGTAGTAGCTTTTGTCTCTTAGTCAATACTGTATTAATGAGCTGGGAAATGCTTGCAGTTTGTCTGTTCTGTGGGGCAGACCCAGCATGCATTGCTGTACTTACTGAGGCTCAATAAAACGGCACAAGATTGTGTCCTACTCCTCTGGTGAAGAATTTCCTACAACAAGTCCATTGCAGGGTACAAACAGACACGCACACACTCACACCAGAGACAATTTTTCCAGAAGCCAGTTAACCCACTAGCATGTTTTTGGACCATGGGAGGAAACCAGAGTACTAGGCAGAAACCCACACAAACATGGGGAGAACATTCAAACTCCATGCAGATGGTACACCAGCACTTCAAAGCAACAATGCTTACCACTGTGCCAGCCCTAATATTAAGTCCAGATGATAAAACATTTTAGAGTCATATTAAACATTCGGTTACCCTCCCAGTAATACATTGTGGCGCAAAAAAAAGACCTGATAACATTAATTAGTTCTTAATTTGCTCTTGCTCATTTGCTGATCATACAAAAAAGAGTACGTATATGAAAAGATGACATTTGAATGACACAGCTAGTCATAATGTTAGATTCCATGGTGTCTCAGGATATTTTTTCTTGTTAGCTCATATGTATCAACACACCAAATGGAAAAAATAGAGGGAGAATGTAAAATGTTATATATGACAGAGGTCATCTTGCCAAGAGCTCAACGGCTGACATACTGTACATCTTTTCTGGGACAGCCATCTCTGTCACTGCCGAGTCCTGGAAATACATGTAGGTATTGATCAATCAATCAAGCAATCAATCAATCAAAAGATGGATCAAATTGTAGCATTAACATTAGGCCCATTAACTAACATGGATGAAGAGCTGAGATGAAGTAAAATCAAAGTTGACATGATTCTCAGGGACCAGTATTTTCCCTTACTAGTATACATTATTACGGTCCAAGCTACTGCATGCTGAGCATGCTGAATTTTCGGAGACATACCATAGCAGCAACCGCAGCCGACACTGAGCCCCCTCCTGGCGCTGCTGTCCTGGCCCCCACACTCCGGATGAACTGCTGAAGAGGCAGAGATGCCAGCCGCTCCCCCTGCTCAGCGCCCTCCACCATGTACCTGCACAACAGATGCACTGCCGTCTCAGTCCCCAGTCAGTACCAGGCAGCAGAGCACTGCTCAGGCAGTGTGAGGATGTTTGCACTGTGACATTGCGACGGGGATATTATACTGTAAAAAGACGCCGTCCTTTGGATGAGACGTAAAACCGAGGTCCTGACTCTCTGTGGTCAATAAAAATCCCAGGGCATTTCTTGAAAAGAGTAGGGGTGTAACCCCAGCGTCATGGCCAAAATATCCTATTGGTCCTTACCAATCATCCTAATAATCCCCATCTATGAATTGGCTTCATTACTCTGTTCTCCTCCCCACTAGTAGCTGATGTCTGGTGAACGTTCTGGCACACTATGGCTGCTGTCACATGATCCAGGTGGGGCTGCACACTGGTTGTGGTGGAGGGGAGTCCTCTTTGAGTGAAGTGTCCAGAAAAGTGCAATGTAAGTGTAAGCAATTATTAATTATTATTACTTACTCTATAATTCTCTCTTTTGGAACGAAAGGCCCAAGCGAATCTAATCCCAGGCGACTGACCACCTGAAAAGAAGAGATGTCACTGTTTGAGTTTATGTAATATATGAAGAAGATGAAGGCATGGTATGTCATTTTGTGTAGTCTAATACATGATTATACTACACTGTTACTGAAGAACATTTCTATTGGTATATTGCAGTATTTCATGAAACTGCCTGATGCCATATTTCAAGTTCTTTTAATTTTTTTAATTTCAACTTGCCATGTTTCAAGTTTGTTTAATTTTTAGCCAGTGAGTTGTCATAGTTGCTCCTACAGAAGAGCTGGTTTGTGCACCTGAAGCACCATGGCAACCACCTAAGCCTCCACTCACATCACGCCTGTTAACACATCAGTCGCCGTGACAACATTATCAGCTCGAAAATGTATTCTACTTATGTGCAATTAAACCATTACATACCATTTTACCAACAGGTATTCAAGAACAGTTATGACAGTGCCTCACCTCTCAGTAATAGAGCCTCTACTTGTGTCTTGGCATTCCCTGACATTGTGTTTTGTGTGTATTAGTTTTCTCTGGCTTCAATACTTGTTTTGCATAACTGCATGTCTGGATCATCCCTTGCGCTTAGTCTGCACTTTCTTGTTTCCAGCCTGGCCTGCTTTGACTATGCCACTGCCTTTTGTGTTTCACACCGGGCTTACAACTACAACTTCCCTTACATATCACCCTTTGTGCCTTTGACTTGGCTTGTTTGGCTTCAATGCAGGATAGTGTATTTATTTTGCTTTTGGCTGCCTGCTAACAGCCTGCTCAACTTACTGCACCGGCACTACGATCCTTCATCTATGCTACGGATGTCTTCAGCATACCTCTAATTCCCATACACCTCCATTCTCTGCTAGTGACACTCCATTCATACATTCATCTATTTTTTAATGACATTATTCAATACAGGTTCACAGGGAAGCCAGAACCTTTCCTGACAAGTGACAGGTGCAAGGCAGGATGCAATGGACGGGATGCCAGTCCATCACAGGACACACACAGACACAGACATGAGCATGTACAGCACACACTCATACCAGGGCCAGTTTTGCCAGTAGCCAATTAACCTATCTACAAGTTTTTGGACTGTGTGAGAAAACCAGGCACCTGGAGGAAACCCATGTGAACGCTGTACAATCTCCATGCAGACAACACTCCAGGAATTGAATTCAGGGCCCCAGATCTGCAAGGCAGCAATGCTAACTTGCTAGTGGCATTCTTTCCTCAAAAAATAGACATTCCAAACCAATGTTTCATTATAGCATGGAGGCCCTCTGAAGATGTCCTCTTTATGACACAAAGAAAGTTTCCTTTTTTCATTTATGTCAGAATGAGGCTTAAGTCTGTTCCCTGCCCTAATAACAAACCTTTAAAAAGGAATCCATAATTGGTCCCCGCATTAAATCAGGGCATTAAAAACTAAAAGATATAAAAAGCTGAAGAAGCAGTAGCCATTGCTGCACTGTGCCTTTTGTGTGGGCAGGCAGTGAAACAGTGTTTCAGTGCACTTAAAGGTAAGCCTTGTCTTATACTCACCAGTCTCACTTTGTGCTCCTCCTCCAGTATGAAGAGGTTGTCTCTCTCCATGTAGAACTCTGCACAGTCCAGGACAGCTTTCAGTGGGATCAGACCCACGATCTGAGACCCCACAACAGGCAGGTTCAGTTCCTGAGAGGCAGAAGAGGGTTACTGAAAGGAAGATCATTGTAAATGTTCGGGAAAAAAAAGTTTAGAAATCTGTCATTTAAAAAAGTATTTAAGATTGATACTGCATACAGCTCTGGCATTTTGATTTTTGTATTCAAATGGCACAGACAAGGAAACAGAAACCCTCTTTTCTGCAACCAGTGTCTCTAGCATCAGTGCACAACTGTCTTGAGATCATCAGGAGTTAGTAGGCCAAACGTCCGTCAACTCTGTGGCAAGCTGTGACTTCTGTGGCTTGTCTGGCACATGTAAACTTGTAGTGCTATCAGAGCCTCAGTCCCACCTCTCCTGTGTTGTAGTCCGGAGTGATCTCTCTTCTTTGTGGGTATAGGGTGATTCCACATTGGGTCGGCAAGTATTTAACTTCAGTAACCAAAAATTATTAATTTAATTTATACATAAATATAAATCTGTAAAACGGCAGTGTACAGACAGCAAAAAATGTTTTGTGACATTGATCATGAAATTGAAGTTTCTAGTAACACACAGTCACGTTCTAGTAACACACACAAACTGGCCCTGGTATGGGTGTGTTCATGCTCGTGTCTGTGTGTATTACTAGAACTGATTTACAGTAACCGTAAAAGGCTAAAAAATAATGTCTGTAATGTATAATAATGTTTAATCTTACACTATAAAAATTACAGTGATAATTTGGAAGATTTATACCACACATATCAAGGAGCTATTCTAGAATGGCATGTGCAAGCAGGATGTACAACTTTTCTATACGAAAGGGTGGTTATCTCTTACATTCTAGTCTGTACTTACCTAGTCAAAACAAATGTTTTGTTCTGGATTTTGTATCTGAGAGGTAGAAGTAAACTGAACTGGGGGCAGCATTTCTCACCTCAGCCTCTCGGCAGATCTCTTCGTAGACAGTGTGGAGTGCCGTTTCCTCAAAGTCCAGCAGGTTGGTGGACACCTGGGCAAGGCTGGCCTCATCCAGGTACCATCCTATTCCCTGTACCTTCTTCAGACGTCCTGGCTGGAGTACAAGCACAGACCTCAGCTCAGTGGTGCAGGGAGCACAATGTACTACCCACACTGATTTTCAAATCTACCATCGTACTTTGGTACTAAAACTAATGTAGGTAAAAAAATATATATTTCTCATTTTGTTGTGATAACATTGAATATAAAAGTGCCATGACCCTCACTTAGAAGGGGGAACAGTGAAGACAATCCAAATTTCCAATCATAATGCATGTACAAAAGTATACAACTGTTCTTGGAAAAAAACAAATGAAGGTTTTGCAAGAGTATTCCCAGAAGAATTAAAATAAAAACAGTTCAAGTTACTTATGTTGTGCTCTGAATATATTTTCTTTCTAGGCAGCCAAGTTAGTTTGAGCATACCCCATTTGGAAACAGAAAAATGTTCTTAGTTCTTGACTGTGTGGAAATGTGGAAATGTTTCTGAGTCTTTAGATCTGATGAGTTAAAAGTTCTAGACCTCAACAGAGTGCCTATCTTCCTAATTTCTGAGAAACAATCCGATCACTCCTCCCACCTGTGCTGGATTGTCAAGGCAAAGTCTCCTTACCTGATCTTTGGCTCTGCCCTGCTCTCGGATGTCCAGTGCAATGCGATGAGCCTGCTCCTTTGTGCTCAGCAGGTTGACATTATAAGCGATGAGGAATTTGCGGGCCCCTGTCACCGTGGCTCCCCATGTGGGGACAAATGTGGATGGACCAAAGTCAGGAGCCCACTCTAGCTTCTTCAGCTGTGGAACGAGATTGAAAAAATAAAAAGGGTAGTTTGGTAAGTGCCCTTGAAGTCTGAGCTGTAACACTGGCCAGCTGGGATTTCCCAGAAGGCAGTGCCCAACTGGCCAAGAGCCGCTGTGCTTGAGTGGGCCAGAGTTCTTCTGGGTAACCTAAACTTGCCACACAACAATGACCTTGATGGTGTAACGGACAGCTGTGTGTTATCAGTTACAACTGCATTACTCCTCCACTTGATCCTAAGTTGACTGTAGGAGAGAGCTCCCACACAGAATAAGGGTAGATAACTCAAATGTGCACATTTCAGAGAAGGAGGTGTGTGTCAACTCCCAGATTTCAAGTACTTTTTGTTATATGGAATAAGTCTTATGTGACTTTTTACATATTGAGCCAAACAATGTAACACAGAAAAAAAACCTTGCACTGAGCACATTCAACAAAAAATAAAAACCTGGTCAAACCTAGTAGATAAAAGACATAAAAAGTATTTTAAAAAGGAGAAGCAGAACTTTCAAATCCATCACCACTTAATTCTTTGAACCCTGCTGTAGTTATCTTGGAAACGCCACAGTGAGTTTACTGAACAGGGCAAACTGTAGAGAGAATCTGGTAACACTCTAAAAGACTAGGAGACTAGAATTCTAAACCAGAGCTGCGTGTTATAGCAGGACAGATGTGTTTCATTATTAACATACTCTTTGCTTACAAGCACATAAATGTCCTCTGTTAATTGTTTTTATACATGCAGGGACCTAGTTCACATTGTACTATGGTAATACATGTAATATGTTTCTCCAGACTCACCTTTTCAGGCAGGGCCTCATATTCCCCAGCACGGATGGAAGGAAGAGATCTTCGGTTCTCCTTGCGGGCTGCCTCTCCATAGAGGTACACTGAGGGGAGAAATCATATGAGCCTCAACATTCAGTCACAATTCTCCAAGGAAGAGAGTTCTTTTCTATGACATACTGTATTTTGTTTCTAAATCCAGCGATTCGTTTAAATGTGTTGTGGGCATGGGCGAGGATGAGGAGCAGAAGATAGAACAGCATATTGTCAAGGTCACATTGGTTGTCCTTAAGGGGAAGGCAGCATTCGCTTGGTAATTCTGGCATTTATTTTAAGAGAATACTTTCAGATAATGATGACAGGCCACTGACCTTGTGGACTTCATTTACATGTTCTTACCCTGCAAGAAATATTTCAGTATGACATGTATTTATTGCAGAATATAGAGCACAGGCTTTTAAAGCCCTGATGATGCATTAAATCTGTTTCTAGAACTCTTAGGAGAGCTTTAGAAACACAAGAGCTGAAGGGCTTGAAGGATTACCAGGCACATGGAGGTCCTCAGCCAGCCTCTCCCCAAAGCGGTTGCCACAGCTCACACATTCCTCCATGGACACGTTCTTCACTGGGATGAATGGACACACATCCAAGGCCCCCATGCGCGGGTGTTCACCTGCAATGGGCCCATGGGAGCACCAGTGAGGAGGATAGGTTGTTGACAAGCAAGAACAGCGGAGAGCATTTACTGCACTTTTCAGTATGTCTTGCTTCCACTATGTTTAACTCCATTCTCCGTCAATGCTCCATTTGTTTAAACACCAAAGGGTTCTTAAGATCAGTTGATTCTTTGAAGATAACACTGTGGTTCTTTAATCTCTACATGAAGGCATTTAATCTGATATGGATCAGTGAGACTTGCTGTGTAGCGTGTACTTAGCTTCAACCAAACTGTCCACAAAACAAACAGACCTGTAACATTGTAATTAATAATGAATAATTCCTTACACTTATATAGAGCTTTTTTTGGACACACCACCCAAAGTGCTTTACAGGTAATGGGGACTCCCCTCCACCACCACCAGTGTGCAGCCCCACCTGGATGAAGTGACAGCAGCCAGAGTGTACCAGTACGCTCACCCACACCAGCTATCAGTGGGGGAGGAGAGCAGAGTAATGAAGCCATGGATGTGGATTATTAGAAGGCCATAATTGGTAAAGGCCAATGGGAAATTTAGCCAGGACACTAGGGTAACACTCCTACTTTTTTCAAGATTTTTAATGACCACAGAGAGTCAGGACCTCGGTTTTATGTCTCATCTGAAGGACGGCGCCATTTTACAGTATAGTGTTCCCGTCACTATACTGGGGTCTTAGGACCCACACAGACCGCAGGGTCAGTGCCCCCTGCTGGTCCCACTACAACCTATTCCAGCACAGACCTTAGCTTTCCCAGGAGGTCTCCCATCCAGGTACTGGCCAGGCTCACACCTTCTTAGGTTCAGTGGGTTGCAGGGTGATGTAGCTACTGACTATATTGTATATTGTGAGGCATATGTGAGCAATCCTAATAAACCATTAGCTGGCAGGCTCACCTGAGTGCCTGGTCATGTCAATGAGCTGGAATGCTATTCTGGCAGCACTGAGTGCCCCCTCCACCACAGCCTGGGGGGACCCCACAAAGGTGTAGACTGTGCGGTTAGTGGAGGGCCCAGGGTCCACATCCAGGAGGCTGCAACCCTCTGTGCTGGAAATAGCATTGGCGATGGCATCGATAACCTGCAAACAGACCCACTCACTGACTTTTTTTATCTTTACAGTAATCACATTCGAGCTATTGCTATTTTTCTACTAATCTAATTCATAAGACAGAAACTACAAAGTAATAGGAAGATGCTAACACACTGAGATGTTGGTGTAAATGATAAATATTTATCATATTTATAAAATTGTAAAGTTCTTTACATCTGTGCTTCACTACATGTATTCTATATAAACTAATCTCTCCTTAGGACAGCAATATGTTTTTAAAATGTGCTTATGTGCTACGGTATAAGTATAGTATGTGCTGTTTGAATTACAAATGGAGAATTGTACATTGTGAATTCTGGGTTTTTTCATGTGGAAAAGACCCACGAACAAGAAAATGATTGATTATCAAAGATAACAGCTACAGTAGCAATGACAGTAATCTGTTTTTTAAGTGTTTTTTAAAGTTTTTTATTGGTCAGACTTTGAGTTAAGAAAGTATTGCCTAGAAGCCTAATTCACATCACTTCTAAGTGATGCAGATTTAAAGATTAGTGTAATTAAACAACATAAAATAAAGGACATTTGTATACACCCTACCTCTTTATTTCTTCCTTCTGAGAAGTTGGGTACGCACTCCACTAGTTTGGCCATTTGCTGCCGAAATTAAGAAACCGTGAGCAAAGACTCCAGAGGTCTGCAGCAGTCCAGCAATACACACGTCTGACTTTCCTCTCTAGACGGAGCTTTTAAGGGCTAAAGTCCTAAAGCTGATTGTGAGAATCATTAACTTGCTCCACTGTCTTGAAATAAGTCTGTCAACCATTGTGCTGTCTGTTCTAAATATTTGTAAGGTCCATGCATCTGAAGTGTCCCTTATACACCAGCTGAAAGGTATAAATCTATATTCTGCACTTTGACTGCTTTGCAGAGCAAAACATATACTGTATATAAATGAAATAGCACTGAAGAAAAGAAAGATATAGCTAAGAGTTTATCCAAATCCCAAAATAAATATGGTTTATAATTCAGCAGATCCATTATTTAGAATACTTGTGTGCTTATACTGTATGTATACTGTAGTTTACATTAAAAAATGTGTCCTGAGTTTAAAGGTTGAGTTTAAAATTACAAAAAGAAAAGAGACTCCACAGCCAGAACTATAGGTTCTGCCATATCACCTGGGAACATTTAGATCAATTAAATCTACCACACCATTAATTCAAATTTTTTCTTTTCTTTGCAGTCATGTAGCTAGACTTGGGTTCTTCTAATCGGGTGAGCAATGTTAAATGAGCAGGATAAACTCACACAATATGTATTTTAAATATAATTTAAAAATGTTTCTATTGCAAAAACAGTTTAAAATAAGACAATGTTATGTCTCCTTTTCCAAAATAAAACAAGTTAAAAGCTGATGCACACATTTCTTCTAATGCCATTACTGCAGCAAAACAAGTGGTAATTAAAACATTTTAAACTCAAAAACAAAACTCACCCAAAATCACCAATGGCCTAAAGGAAAGAGGAAGCAGAGAGAGAAATGCTTTTTAATAAATTGGACTATTTTTTGTATTTCACAGATTTGTTTTGCTATGGATTTATAGTTTCAAGTTTGACTTTTTTTTCTTTCTGTCTCACTTAGTCTTAAATCTTTCTATAAACACTTTATTTTCAATCCCTTAACTTTCTTCTATACAGTGTTAAAATGCAGAAAGTACATGTAAAAAGATGGAACATATTAACTCCGTCAAGACACATGTGGGAATGAGTCAGATGCATTAAAGATGCATTTTCATTCCCAGAAACTCATCTCAATGGCAAAAACAATAGCAATAGTTGAAATAAGTACTATATGCATTTTGAATTTTCTAAATATATTTAAAAATATTACTTGAGCAATCCTGCATTAGAACATATGCTGTGAACTTAACATTTATCAGCATATATCAATAAAGAAAACTAGAGAAGTTTCAGTTTTATCTCTGGGGAAATAATACAAAAAAGCCCATCAAAGATTGGGAATTTTATCCCCATTGTTGTCATTGTTGTTGTCAGAGATACATGTAAGGTACGTCTGATTTCAAAAAAGAAAATTATTTTTTTAACTGATTTGCTACAGATGTTATGTCACACTTCATGGCACTTCAAATGTTTTGGTATTATTGATGCTTTTCAAAACGTGGATTTATGTTTAGAGAGAATGACACAAGACTTGGTTAAAAAACAGGACATGTCCAGCACAGTTGTCAGTAAAAAATCTCTTTAGCCAAGGTTTAGAAAAATATTCTCCCTTGTGATGACCACTGGGACAGCCTGCCTAGAAGTTATTAATAGGTGATTTGTTAAAAGAAACCTGAGCTGCATAATACTCCAAAAACAAATACAAATTTATCAGAGGTGGTTAATTAGTAATACTCTTCAGTCAAGGGGCTTAAGGACAGTTGGAGGTACTCTGGAAAGAGTTCCAAATAACCAAATAACCAATTTTTTACCCCACCCCCACCCCATCCCTGTTCCCCCACAGGACCTATTACATTTTCTGACTAGAAACCCTTCTTATTCCTAGATCACTGAAGAAAACTCCCTTTGTTCTTTTTCAGCTTTCTGTATTACGAAGACTGAATCATATGTACTGAAGGAGAAAGAGACAAGAAAAACGATAGGCCCAGATTTTTATTGACTTTTTGCTTATATTATCTGGTTCCTATATAACTCAGAGGAATTCCAGTCTGTTGTGGTGTTAGATCAGGTCCTGATGTTCAGAAGGTGAACAGTGGCTTGCCATCTGTCCTGGAGAGCTCACACAGGCAGTTGAGGATCAGCAGGGAATCCTGTAGGAATTTGGCAGGGACAGTGTCCCGGGTCAGCTTCCTCAAAGTAATAGGATCACTGTAGACCACAGGGGGTTGCCCTTCTGGCCTATGCTTCAGGATGCCGTAGGTGTTGACCACAAACTCGCAGAATGCTGGGTGTACTTTAGGGTTATATCCAAACTTTTCCAACTGGGACATGAGGGAATCATAGCGTTCCAGCATCTCTCTCCTCTGGGACTGCTGGAGAGTGCCACTCAGAGGGTTATAGGATACCTGCTTGAGGAAATACAACAGTGACAAGAGTGAAGTCAAATTGGAGAAGACACAGCAATCAGCTCAGCTTGTGAAAAACTGATGTTTTTATTCCCCACTCAATCTCTCAGCATTCTGCCTTGGTTTGTTTTTCACCAGCTGTTCTTTTGAAGCAAGTCACTAAGTCAAATTAAGATAAATCCTAGTCCAATTGCTTCTTAAAATCTAAAATATTTGCTAAATGCTGGACTTTGCTATATACTTCGGAAAAACTTTCTAAATCTGCTTTCCATGGCATGATGGGCCTATTATTTTATCCCATGACATCACATCCCAGCAAAATATAAAATATGAGTGATTTACTCTCAAAAAGGTGAGAGGGAGCATTCGGCAGATGGGAACACTGACCTGCTGTATTTTCTCTGGGATGTTTGAGACACTGAATCCATACAGGCGTGTAAATCCTGGAAATACCTTTCCCAAAATCCTCCTGTCTAGCTGAAAGGCGATCTCCCCCACCACTCGGCCCCTCTCTTCCACACCGGGCAACATTCGGAGTTCTATATGAAGAAAAAGGGATTGTTTCATTCATAGACCACTAAGCAGGATTACTTTTCTTCTTTTTAACAAAACTTGTTTTAGAACAAGATATCCATATTTTCTTCCAACATGACTTGGCATATGGTGGCACCGTGGCACGACTATAAGCATTGCAGTATCTCAGTGCTTTAGCTCTGGGTTCAATTCTGGACCTGGGTGCTATCTGTTTTGAGTTTGTATGTTCTCTCTGTGTTCACGAGGGTTTCCTCTGGGTACTCCAGTTTCCTCCCACACTCCAAAGCCCTACTGGTGTCTGGTTAATTGACTTCTGGAAAAATTGGCCTTAGTGTGTCTGTGTGTGTCCTGTGATGGACCTATGTCCCACGCAGGGTGTGTCCTGCCTTGTGCTTTTGCTTGCCTGGGTAAACTCCAACTCTCCCTGTATTTCATAATGTGGTTACATAATGGATGGATGACTCATTTTATCAATTATTTGTGTTTAAAAACACACGTTTGCTTACCATTGTCATAGAAGCTTTGAATCTTTGTGTCTGGAGACTGTGTCTGGAGTGAAGACGACATTTTAGCTTCTGAGAGTGGAGCTCCTTTATGGAGACAGTGCTCAGACATTCTGGTCTGTTCCTGGCCAGTGGTGAGAGGGGTCCCTTGTTTGTGATCTCTATTCTGAGAGAGGCTGCCTCTCTGCAGTCCCCTCTGATCAGGGTCTCCCAACTGCAGTGAGGTGTAGAAGTAGTCCTCAAATGTGGGGCTTGAAGCTTTATCTTCATTCTCTCTCAGCCTGAACATCACATTGCTCAGTCCCAAGCGCTTCTCTCCCGCTTGTGTTGCTGTGTCTGGTACAGAAAATATGGCTGCTAAGCAGTATAAAGTATAATTTCATGTACAGTATGTACTGTAAAGGAACAAGTAATAGGTTTATAGTATGTACTGTATATGAGTGTGAATTAACATAAATGCCGACACTAAACTGCTGCAGCACATCTTTGGGAACATCAAGAACTGGTGCTTATGGCCAGCGTGGTCTTGTTCTTTTTTGTTCAAATTTAAGTTTTTAGTACAAAATATACAAAGGATACAGAGTGAAGTCACATTTTAAACTTGCCCTACTTAATCAAAGACTCCCCATAAATTGTGGTTGGTTTTAACACCAAAAGCCAGAAAAGTTTCTCCCTTGATGCTGAATGCATTTTACAGCCTTTTCTCATACAGGACATGAACAGCCTTGTAATATCCACTTTAACAAACATAAAATACAAATGCACAGCCTGGTCTATGGTATATACAGTACAGCATTTTTTATGTACTATGTAATTAATCTTCTTAATGTTCTAGGTATTTCATATGTGATTCATCAACCACGGTTTTAATCTTGTACTCGTATCAATTATTATTTCTGATTCAAATGTCCTATAAAGTATGTTTATACCTGTTCCTTCCACACATGTGGAAACAGGGTGCCCAAAGGGCATGATGCCGAGTTTCTCTCTGCAGTCTTTTTCATTAATCTTGGTTTGTGTGTAACTTGACAGGACTTTCTTTAATTCCTCATTTTCCTTCATCAACTGGAGATGCTTTTTTAATTCTTCATTTTCTGCTACGAGCCTTGCTTTATCCTTTCTCACACTGTCCGCGTTCTCAGACATCATGCTCAATGGATATCGCAGTCATATGAAAGTAAATGATTGACAAAAAAATTCTCCATGTTAAAGCATGTCTTGATTATGACATCACTGTGACGATGCTGCAACATCACAGATTATGTCATAATGAGGTCAAAGCAGATGAACGTTTTGCTAGTTGCTGCAAATAATAAAACAGTTTTTACCCTGCAGATGGTACAAAAGTATTACAAAATAAGAGTGGGAAGAAAGAACAGATTAATAAAAAATGTGCTAAAGATTCATTACAATCTACAAAAATCTTTAATCAATATTTTCAAGTAAACAATTTTAAATTTCACGATGTTCTACAGTGACACGGGCAAAGTTACAAGCTGCTGTAAACATTAAGATGACAGATTTTGAACAGAATTAGCAGTTTTACAGGAAATGTAAAAGGCAAGGCATTTCTTCAAGGTATTGAGTCTGTTTACAGCACTTCTCTTTTAATGTTCATCTCTGAATTTCAAAAAAAGGTCAGTGAACATAATCACTATAGTTTTTTCACCACCAAAAACATAACATTTGGGGTCTGAGTGTATGCCACAGAGGTCTTCAAAACAATGCTAACAGTTTGAAAATGAAAACCATTTTTGATTATTTTTTGTATGTAGAGGTAAACTTAAACAACAATTAATAATTAATACTGCTAATATAAAAAAAATTGCAAAAAGAACAAATGGGAGGATATTAACCCTTTTGGTTTGTAATTGATCCAGACATTATTTATTCATTCATTGTATTAAACAACCTTCTACTTTTATACTGTACAATTTTCATTGATGACTAAGGCTTTTAGGAGAGGTAAACACATTTCTTGTTATCTGCTATAGAACAAAAGCAATGATGAGCATTTTTGTTTCTAAAGAAAAGATAAGAAGATGCACAAGAAATTACTCAAGAACTCTTACAGGCCTCAGGACTAGACAACAACAAATGTTTTTGAGTTTTCCATCAGGAAAAGTAGGTATTAGAGTTTGCTTCATAGTGTTTCAAGGCTGTTTATAACTTGACTTTTCCAGCAAGGGGGCTGGCAGGGTACAAGTGTGTGAAACGTCCCAGAGTCCAGATGGGGAAGATATTTCTGTAGGCAGTGTAGCTGATAGCACAGCTCTTGTTAAACACACCAGCGATGTTCTCCTGCAATAGAAAGAAGGGAACACAGTCGTTCAGCTGCTGGTTAACATCTGTGTTCACCAAAATGCCTTCCCTTTTATCTACAGGTGACAGGAACAAGGAGGTGAAAGCAGAAGAAAACATTCACCTGTGCCCAGTCTCCATTGGGCTGTTGCCTACTAATTAGCATCTGTATACCCTTTTCTATCACTCTGTCATCTGGGTATCTGAAAAGAAAAATCAAATTGCACTCAGTGGTGAATACAATACTAAAGGAAACTACATCTAAATAAGGAATTTACTTTTTAATGGAAATTTGGTCATCAGGGCTGAAAGTCCAATCAGCCTCAGCTTCTCTAAAACATAATCATTCACGTCTTTCCCTTTAAATGTTAAAAATTAACAATACTGTAAATCTCTTCTCTCCCTCACATTCTTCCTTCCACTCCGTCTCGTTCTCTGCAGTCACCCCTTGGTCACTCCCCACTCTGCATGGGGGTTCCTGCCTCCTTGTCCTATGATCAGGAGTTTGGCCCTCAGGCAAGCAGGTTAAGCTACAAAAATAACTAAAACTAAAACACATTAACCCAATATACACTCACTTTGCTTAATTCTTGGGTATTCCGCTATTGGGTATTCAGCTATTCCTAGTGAAAATATTTTGGATTGCATCAATAGAAAGACGAGACTCTCAGAGGGCAGGAATTGTACTTACCTCACGGCCATGAGGCCTAGGAGGGCCCAGCAGGTGTTGTGTATCTGGGACTTCTCACTCTGGACATACCTACGCTGCTCACAGGATTCAAAGTCCTCTCCCCAGCCCCCGTCCTCCATCTGCTTTGAGAGCAGAAAATCGCAGGCTCTCTGCACCTCACTGCACGCAGACCTGTGGCATGACAGCTGTAAGATTAGCACAATGCCCACTTTTCTCCTGGGATTTCATAAGAAGGACCGTTCTCTTGTTAAGACAGCTGTGAAAGTTATCAGCAGCCTGTCTAAAAAAGCCTGGGTGAAAATCAGAATTCAGTACAGTTGTGCTTGACTAAGACAGTATCTCTTTGTTCATTTTAACAATTAATTCAACATGATTGAACTTTGAAGCTGGTTGAAAATCAGACTGAAGAAGTTCCTGCTGATCATTCTGCATCATTCAGAACAATTATCTTAATTAAAAAACCACTGAACAGCGCTAGCCATCCATTAAATGTTTTTTAGGCTAGTAAGTCAGTCATTCTTATACAAATGCAGCCATTCAAAATGCATGGTACAAACCCGTACCGCGGGCATCTACGTGTGCGCCACTGCGCCTTACCGCGGTATGTGATTGGCTGGTCAAAATGACCGACAGGTGCACCCCTGGTGCATTGGTCGGTAGTGAAAAGATTTAATCATTTAATCTCTTTACTGTGCACAAATACTGCTCAATATGGCTTCGTGCAAAAAACCTGTATATCACCATAGGAAGCATAACAGCGTAGCCTCCAATTACCCAGACCAAAAAACAAAGGAATAAATATGTTTGATTTTTGAAACCCTTTCTTTATGTCCTGTTTTCATTCAGGTAAGGGTCAACTATATACACAATACTGCTGACAGCAGGAAAATTCCTATTCTTTACTCAGCAGCATCTTAAAACCAGCACCCATGGTGTTCAAACTGATTTTTTTTACACAGAAGACTGACACAGTGGGGGAGGTGGACTTGCCCTTATTCTACTTTGAAAATACCTGTGAAACCGGTTTGGTTACAAACAATGTAGACACAGAGAGAGAGAGATGTGATAACAACCGCGCAGCGCCAGGCGAATGCACATTTAGGGCGCATGTAGGGCTTTTGGGCTCACGTGGATTTGCGCCCTACAGTACAACCTGCGGTACCGCTGTGTACACACAGTACAAACATGTTGTGAAATTTAGAAATACAAAAAATGTCAATATAATGCCAATAATATTCGCTATCTTAGTTTTTCAAAGAAATGTTTATTTATTAAAAGAAAACTGATGGCGACAGTTGGGTTTGAATACTCAACCTCAGGGTTATAAGTCAGTCACTTAAGCTATCACGCCACCGAGGCAGTCATGTGACAAACACATATCAATGGAAAATAACGTTATTGATTTCTTTAGATACACAATTCCATATTATATTCCCTATTAATCAAATTCTAAAAGTATGCTTCTGTTTACTCCGATATCGAGCATATTTGCAGAAAAGCTTAAAACTATCACTTTTCGCACAAAGTACTGTATACTGTATAAACGTACTGTAACATGGTCTGAAGGAGCAAGGAGCACGTAAAAATGTTTCCAAAAATACCACATGTAATTTTTTATGCTTAAAATGTTTAGGGAGAAATGGAATACTGGTATTTGTTCTTTAAAATACCAAGACCTGCCATATACAGTGTAGTTTACATACAGTAATATGTTTATGTTCCTAAATAAATATCTTTGCTGAGCATGTGAAAGGCATGGTGAATCAGGGATCCTCAAAAATTACTTTGTATGATTGGAAACAAATGCGTGATCGGATCAACGAAATGCTGTGGTGTTACTTTTTGAAAAAATAAAGTATTTTTGTTTACAAAGACGGTTACAAAGAATGTGGACCAGGGTAATACTTTGAGTTTACAGCTTGTCCAAGGTCACTCATTATTAATACTATTAGTAATATCTTCGGTAAAGACTTTGATGGCGACAGCTCAAACTCTGTACATGAGAGGTTGAGCTTTATTTGCTCCACCTGGCGGTAATTCCGGATACTATTATCTTACTTGCGGTATTATGCGGTATTATACGGTATGTATGGTATTATGACGTGTTATACCGCGAAACGCCCACCGCGTTTTACCGCGGCATAACCCACTTGTTTTGAATGGCTGCATCTGTATATGTCCTATTTCTTACTGCAGAGGTTTACTTTGTTTCTAAATAAATTTGGTTACCCATTCCGGAAGGTGTGACCCACAGAGGCAAAGGCTTCCAGTCCAAACCATGCTCCATATGTGAAGCACACCCCCCAAGATCTAGGAGAAAAACAAAACACATGGCACATGACTTATATATAGTTTATAACAAATTACTGAAAAGAAGATTTTGCACAACTGTCCCACGTTACCATAAGCACATTTCCTATCACTTTGAAAGTTGTAAGAAAAAAAATCAGTTTAAGTGTCAGAAATAATTTACCCTTCCCATGAGCCATCATCTCTCTGTGCCTGCCTGCAATATTCTAGTCCTTGCTGCAAAGTAGACCTGTCAATGAAGAAAAACACAAGGAATAAGAGTCAGACAGACACTGGATTTTTGTTTAATCACAAACACTCATTTAATGGAGTGGGGCATGATATTGAACTCTCGGGTGTGTTTTACCTGATTTCTTCTGTTTTATATTCAGGGAATGACTTGCTAAAATGCTTGAGTGCCTGCATCACTGCAGAGGTACACTCCACGTAGGTGTAGTCTATCATTATGTCACCTGTAAAGCAATGCATTAGATTTTCAGCTGAGCATATATTCACATATTTTCTCTCTATAGCAAGGCAAAAAACATAACAGGGATTGAAGTGAGAACAAACATTAAAGGCTTGAGTTGCTTTTCTTTGGTAAAAAAATGTTCTTCTCGTGTCAGGGGTTTGTTCTCATTTTAAACATCAACTATTTGTAACACAGTAACAGAATCGGGCAGCAATATTGAACCAGACAGCCCTGAAGAACCCTGCACTAACCTCAGATAAACAGCTCTTGTACATCTTATGAGTTTTATGTTTTGTGACAAAAGTTGTAAAAAATTTAGATGGTGAGTCTGGAATACAAACAGCAAAGCTGTAGTACCAGTTGGACAGTGTCCCATGGTAGCCTGGACAGAAAGTGCCACCTTTCACCCACTTACAGTAGTTCCATCTGATGTATTCCTGCTTCAAATCCATGAACAGGAAAGCCTCAATCATACCTTATGATAAGTTTATGTCAGAGGTCTTAACTGGAGCACTTGATTGGGACTCACTTAAAATTATTCTCATCATCATTATTATCAATAGTTTTTTATGAAAGGACTTGGGTCGGCACAGTGGTTAGTACTGCTGCCTCACAGCTCTTGGGCCTTGGGTTCAATTCCTGTGGTACTAATTGCATGGAGTGTGTATTTCCTGCCTGTGTTTGCGTGTCCCCTGCGATGGAGTGCCGTCCTGTCTGGGGTGTATCCTGCCTTCCAAATGTTGCTTGCTGAGAGAAGCTCCCGCTCTAACACAACCCTGGATTGAGTAAAGTGGTTAGAAAATGGATAGATGGATGGACTCACCAAATACTTCGGAAGGGTTCAGGAGTTCCAGCAGTCTTCCCCCTCTTTTGGTCTCGTAAGTGGCAAATCCGCCATCAGCGTTTCTCATGCTCAGAAGCTGCCCATACAGGACAAAGAACACAAGAACAGACACTGACCATCTTTAGGAAAAACTGACTGATCAGGAGCCATAATTAATAAGCCATACAGAATGGAACTGGTATCAGGACATGCATAAAAAAATACAAAGTTCCAATCAAGAATAGTCATATATCTCCAATGACAACATCATGTAGTCTGCAGGGCTAACAACTCACATTGTTCTCCCTGGCCAGAAGTATAAATAATTAGTCAACAAATAACTCATCAAAATGTTAACTTTGGGAAAAAATCTCAATTAGGTAGAAAATTTAATATTAAAAGGTTTCTTCATTTCATGCATTCACATAACACAAAACACTGTAATGAAGCTGATACATGTTTTGCAACCCCCACCCTTAACTGATATGAATAAAGATTGCAGTTCCTTCAGATCATGTTCTCATCTCTTTTAAAAAGGCAAAACTGTCACGATGGCAGTACCACATCGACAGCATCAAAGAGGCGCTCCTTGGGAATGTGCTGCGTGATGAAAGGGCATTTGTCCTGCAGCAGCATCACTGACTTCAGGCCTTCTGCTGTACAATCAGCCACAATCCAGCCACAGTCCCGGTTGCTGAAAGGAAAGCCACCCTAAAAAACACACGGAGTCCTTTGCGTGTCACATAGGACCTCATATAGCCTTTCTGAAAGCCTGACAGGAATGTCTGCATTGTACCTACATTGGAGTTCAACATAAAAAGGACAGACAACCCAGTGAAGAAGACTGATTACTAAAACAATGAGACATGCCTCACTCACAATCGCATACATGAGAAACTGGCTCTTACTGATATGTGTCCTTGTGAAATCCATTGAAAATCCCACCAGTTATGTTTGAATGATCTAATTTAAAGGTTATTTTTTAAAAATGTTAATGGTATTAAATATTCTCTATTATTTTTATGTATTGGCCAGTTTTTTAGTTTTAGAACCAAGAAACTGATGTTCAGAAAGTGAAATACAACATTTTTAGAGCAGCGTAGTGTAGACAGGCTGAAAGAACTGAAACTTATTCCTCTTGAACAGAGATGTCTAGGGTGAAGACTAGGAAGACTTTATACAAGTATTCAAGATTCTCAGAGGCACTGACAACGTTGATGCAGTGGATGTCTTGAGAATAAACAGACTAGAGGATAGAAGTGGAACCTAGGGAAAAGTGTATTTAAACTGATGACAGATGCATTTCTTTATGAAAAGGGTTTTGGACGTGTGGTACATGCTACCTAATGTTTTGTTGAAGCTGGCTTCCTTCAGGAAACAGCTGGATGAGTTCCTTGGATCTTGGATCAATAAGCTGCTAACTATCAAATGGTCTAGATGGCTTGCTCTCACTTACAGTAGAACCATTCTAAGGTTTTATTTAAACTGGCAAGGACCTTGACTTGAGAACTCACCTTGTTCCTGTGTCGATAGTACTTTTCATAATCAGGAGGATTTTCTGGTATCTGATAAATAGGTGGGGAAAAATGTTTAAATAACTCCTGGTAGGAGTAGCTTACATTATAACATTGATAAAACAATAATAAACAGTATTAAAATACCATTCCTTACACTATTAAGAAACTACGTTTTAACCATCATTAAGATGGTTTAAAAGACAACACTGTTTGTTCTGTTTTTTCAGCCATTGTAAAGTGTTAGTTAAATATGGAAATGTTGCATACATATGAAATAAAACTAATATTTGTGAAGTATGAGCTACCATCGCTGTTAAGATAATTTTTTTAAAATTAAATACAATATTTTTGCATTGCCTTGTGTTTAGTCAGCTAGCTCAGAAATACATTTGTGACCTGAACTGACTTTCTATGTGTATCCAAAATTAAAGGAAACCTTTTGGAGATGTTTTTTTTCTCATTTTGTCCACAGGCTGTGGAATGAGATTTCAAAACACTTAAGGATTTGCAACATGACTACCTCTTTTAAATAAAAAATGAAAACTTACTTTTATGCCTTAGTTTCTGCTGAATACTGATTTGTACAGTATTATTGCTATTGTTATATATTAACTATGTATTGTATTATTTTCTGTTGTTTGATTTTGGTGTTCATCTCTTTTCTGCAAAGCAGAATGTCTCCGAACATGAAAGGTGATATATAAAATAAAGATTACTATTACTAATTGTTAAATATGACATTTGTACACAGTGTCTAACACTTGACAACAAAGAGTACAACAACAACATTAGCTTTTATTGATATTGCAAACTAATGAAGGAAGAAAATAAATTACAACTACAAGGATTGGAGTATTTAGTACATCAGAATGTTCTCACCTGTGTGATTCTGAAGAATTCATGGGCATGATGGAGACACTCTGTAAATGTAGAACAGTCTTGGGCTCCAGCCTGCAGAGAAAAAAAATGGCATTACAGTGCACAGGTTTTTGTTAAAATCATACATATACTGTATATAAACCAAAGAGCTTTTAAAAAAATTCTGGTGAATTACCTCAAGAAATGCTTGCACAGCAAAAGCAGTATCCCACAGCTGTGATCCATTTGTTCCCTGAAAGAGAGCAGAACTATGAGACAACACATATGGTTAATCGAAAATTATTGAGCATTAATAGTGCATATTAATTAACCTCAAACAAGAAACCAATACAATGTTTCAGATCTAACACTAGCACTGCGCTGAGACTGCTGTGATGTTAAAAAAGCATAAATCATATAGGTCATAGATCAGCATGGTTAACTCACTGCTGAAAAGTAGATCATCAACTAGGAGAAGCAAGGGTGATATTGTTCTGTCATTACAACACTTGCAATGAAGTGGATTCCTGTGTCCACTGACGTATAGATTCTCAAAAATCTTGGATTCATCACCTTACCTGCATTTTCATGCCATCAAGGCCCATCCTGTGAAAGAAGGTTTTAAGCATTAATCCACAGAATATAAGATGTCCAATAAGGAATGAGACAAAGTACATAGTGGACTTTAAACAAATCAATCTTGTTTATTTAACAGGGTTTGACTGCTCAAGGTAGTAGATAATATTAATAAATGTAAGACATCGGGAATGGAGAATTCCAGTCTTCAAAAAAACCTTCTTTCCTCCTCTGATTTTAATGACTGAATCAATCATTTGAATTAATAAGAGTATCGCCTGTGCTTCTGGCTTTTAGTCAGTTTCCATTTGAGCATCACCTGTATGGACCTGCAATGACCCAGCCCTTGAGAACTTATGTTTCCATCCTTGACATGTGCACTGACAATGTATCGTTTTCACAACTCCACAAGAGGATTGGCTGTTCTTAAATCATTCAATTTCAGTTTGGACTTGCTTAACAGTAGTGACATTAACAAACTCAGCTCCCTAGCTTTAAATAAATAGAACTCACAAAGTTCCTAACCCAAACGACTTTACAAAATGTATTACTGTTACAAACGTTTGTATAATGTAATAATTTGTTAAATTCATTGGAGTTTTGGAGGAATTGCTTCTAAAAAGTTATGTATTACTTCACATAGTAACTAAGCACACAATATGTAACTCACCGTAATTGGTGGCTTTGAAAAAATGGTTTGACCCCCCTTCCTTTTTGTAACTTTTAAAAAGAGTTTCCATCTGTATTTGATTACTTTTTAAAGTTTCCCAACACTGATTTCAATGTTGAGCAGGTGTGTTAGTGGGAGCACCATGGCAACCAGCACCAAATACAAAACCCAGTACTGACCACAGGTAGTCAGGGATTCTGGACACATGCTCTTGAAAGGCCGGGGAGGAGGGACCATCTGTATACCAGCGCACCAGCATGTTGATGGTCTTGGAGATCTGAGGAGAACAAGATACATTCTAAATACCATTCACAGGATTCAAAGCAGGACTCTTAAGTTTAAAATAGCCAACCGATTGAATCACTCCATTAATAGCCAAGACTGAGAATGGATTGTTTTCCTCTGGAAAGTGGAGTTTGTCTGAGCACCATGGTAACTCTAGGACTTTCAAGTTTGACTCCCAGACTGTGTGTGATTGAGCCATGGGTGATGTTGTAACAGAGCTTTTGTGCACAGCGCTTAACTAGCCACTGTTCTTTAAACCAGTTATCAATCCTCTTCTGTATTTTCTTTTCTTTTCAGGTTTTGCTGAACGATTTGTTTTCTCTGTCCCTTAACTGTTCTAGATACATACCAATACATCCACAGAAGCTAAATATATTTCTGGGAATTACCATGTGCATAAATGCTTTACTAGGAGGTTTGGACTGTAATGTGCACGTTTTAACATCTATCCATTTTCTAACCACCTCATCCAAATCAGGGCTGCAGGGGAGCCAGAGTCTACTGCAGCAAATGATGGGTACAAAAACAGGATCCACCTTGGACAGGATGCCAGTCCATCAAAGTGCACACACAGACACATGCACACACACTCACACCAGGGCCAGGTTTCCCAGATACCAATTTACCTACTCTACTCTAAATACTCCTACCACCACATGGTAATTGGAGCAGATGAAGGAGACCAACGCAAACACAGAGAGGTCATATATTACACACACATGGCACCCCAGGTCCAGAATTGAAGCCGGAACCCCAGTGCTGTGAGACAGCAATGCTAACCACTGCAATACCGAGCTGCCCACACATCAAGATATTCCATAAATATGTCACAGTCTCAGATTTTATTTTCATTCAGCAACCCAGTGCAAAGAAGGGTGCTAAAATGTTACGACAGAACATTTAATAACTTACTGGTCCAATGCTGATACACTTGGTAAAACTGTCATCTGCCTTAATATGACTGAGAAGTTCCTCAACTGCTCGTTTCCTGAGAGAGGTGCTGTGATGGGACTCATACACATTCATGATTACTGGAAGACAGGAAAGACATTGGAATGGAATTTCCCTGTACAGAATCAAGCCTCAAACTCTTGGAGTAAAGTACTGTAAAGCACCTACAGTAAGCTACTGTTAGAAGTTTGCTGTGAGGTGTGTAAATATCGCAGGCCGCCACGTTGTTCCTTTGAGCAGGCCAGTCAATTGATGAATAGTCCTGTACATACAGCTCCTGGAAAAACAAGCAGGAAAGAGGGTATACTACAAAGCACAAAACTCTAAAAGCTTGAGACCCTCTGCGGCCTTGATTTCAGTATAATAAGTAAATGTTTTAACAAATTTAAGATGTTAGTCAGGAGAAGAGCAGAAATTTTGACTCAAAAGAATGATTAAAAATGTTCAGACTTCACTTGGCTTCCTGATGAAAACACATATGCCTGCTTATCGTATTAACGACAAAATACCTCAGGAGTTTCATGCATTTTAGGCTGAAAAAAACAAAGACTGGATTTATTTGTATTGATTTATCTTAATATAAAATGTAGAAAACAAAACTTACGTAAGAAAAAAAAGATAATTATGATCTTAAGGTGTGTAAATGAGCTTCATTTGTTTGCAGTCTGAGATGCGCTTAACTATTATTCTGTAAAATGTTCAACTTACATAACAGGTTCCCAAGCCCCAAAGAAGGTGTATCTTGCCTGCCCCCTAGTGTTGCACAGAAATACAGCACCCCAGGAACAACATCATAAAATAATGTTCCATAGGCCCCTGCTGGAGAATGTGTTGCACTCTACCTGTCTGAGGCTGCACACCAGAGCATCTTCCTGGGCAGTGAGGCGCACTGCATAGCAATAGCTCATGGGCAGATAAACCTGGCGGCAGTGACACCACAGTGTGGATGGATGAGCAGGCATCCAGGTGGGAAACAGCCTGGGGAGGCAGACAAATGTTAGCCGTACTTCTTCTGCCTTCTAAAAGAAAATCAAGAACTTTTATTTATGAGGAAACAACATTTTTTATTTTAGTTATCACACTTATGTGAAACAAATAATATTTTGCCACAACAATACATTTTCTCTGCTGCCTTCTGTTAAACATACCACATTTCTGGAAGGAGAGTATTCATCCCCTCCCAGCTGTACACATTGAGGATGGCCAACCAGAATTTACCCCAGGAAGGAATTCCAATGGCACCTCCTATAAAATTTAAAAGAAGACAATAACATAAAAAGGAGTGCATGTTTTCCTCTAATTTCACTACAGAGTTAGAAGAGAGATTGAAAACTTTTTACAGAAATTATTTTGGCCTTTCATGATTAATGAAAAGTGTTGCAACATCAAAAGTTATACCAGCTCTTATCTTGTAAGTTCCAGAAAAAAACAGAATCCTGGTGTGACCTCTGACCTTTGCTGTGAAGGTTGTTTCTGGCCCGCACCATATCAGGGTCATCAGGTTCAACTCCCAGAATTCTTAGTGTGGTATAGTTCAAGGCAGTGCCGAAGACTGTTGACTTGTCTTCAACATGCCTGAAAGTCCAGCATAAAGATCATTTTAAACAAACAAAAACATTTTATTTCTCAAAACAGCCTCTGGGATACAACTTGTACCAGTACCATATATTTTAAGATTAGAAGAAAGAATCGAACTAGGAAAGGTCTATGCTCCAGAACAATCCATAAGAGCACACACATATAACATTTTTAAGCAGAAATGGTTTATTTATAATTTTCTCCTAGCAGTTTCCATTATTGAACCTATCTAGGCTACACAGTTGTTGTTACTTCAAATGGGATGTAAAGAAAGAGGAAATGAACTGATGGGATAGTTAAGTCTTGAGGAAGATGAAGAGACACTCACAGGCCCCATCCCCCATCAGGGAGCTGCACTGAGCGCAGGTACCTCACCATCTCCTTCTTCCAGGCCTCTGGGAGATGGATCTTAGCCACGTGGCAGGTGATCAGAAGGCCTACTCAACAGCAAAGATACACACCCCATCAGACCATCCTTTATCAGAAACTACACTTATTCCTGGTAAGGGCTGCAAAAATCCAAATCTCTGCCAGAAGCATGGGAAGCAAAACAGGACAAGATACCAATCTGTAGCAGGGCAACTACACAAGCACATAGGAGGGATTTAGAGATATCAATTAACTTCGCAGGCATTTCTTTCAAAGAGACGGGGAAAAAACAAATAAATTTTCTAAAAAGAAAAATGTACAAATGAATGACATAATCTGGAAAAGGCGCAGACTTGCCTGTAGCATGATACTACCACATCTCACAACCTCTGTTGTGAAAAAACAAATGTCCGCTTTGCCAGCATCCAATAATGATTATTTTTAAAACAAACTGAAAGAATGCTGCCCTCAGATTTCGATTTTGCCTTTGCTTGTATTGCTTCTGTTAGAGGTACACTATGGTGATTTGGAATTATCAGTGCTGGCAGTCAGATAGGGATGGAACTTTCTTGTGTGGGAAAACTGCACATGCAGTTCACAACTACCTTCATTATAAAACCATAAGAACATATACAACTGAGAGAGGTATATATGAATCATCTAGTCCATTTGGGGTTTTAGGCACTAATTGATACAAGGATCTCATCCAACTGGTTATTGAAAGAAGCCAAGGTATCAGCTTAGTAGCTTGTTCTGTAATCTGGCAACAGTTTGTGTAAAGAAGTGCCTCCTGTTGTCAGTTTTAAATGCATTTCCCTGCAGTTTCCATTTGAGTCCCCTTATTTGTGATTCAACATTGATTCTAAAAAGTCAGTTGGACTGACCTTTGATATTTTCAAAAGCTTGAATTATGTCCCCTGTGTTCTCTGTTCAAGAGTAAGATTTAGCACCAAAGTAGAATGTTATTTTAAGCATAAGTGTGTATCTGGTGTATCTGCCCTCTCTGGACTGATTCCAGATAAATAATATATTTTGTATTGTTGTGACTAAAAATTATAGATGTTATTCTAAATAAGAACTATTGCATTGTACAATTTTAAAATTCTACTCTTCTTCTACATATCTCTACATTCTGTTTGCCATATTTCATCCCAGTTTCTAGAAGCAGAAAATGTAGTGAGTGTCAATATAAAACAAAGTCTTTTTCATAACTAGCCTCTTCAAGCTTGTTATTGACTGTTTTTTTTTTAATGTGGTATTTTTGATAATTAAATGCAACACCACACACCTGTATACGTTGAATGTCACCTGTCAAGTGTTTGAACAATCATGAATTTGATTTCAGTATTTTGGAATTTCTTTTGAAGCTTCTACAGTGTTTGTCAGTAAAACAAGACTACCTTTCTAACTATGCCAAAATCTAATTAATGGATATATATTAAAAAGAGCAGTAGTCCTAGTAAAGATCCCTGAGGAACACCACTAATTAAATGTCCTCAATTAGGACTTGCACAAGTGTTTTATCCATAAGACAGAGAAGAGCTGGGCTGATGTCTCAAAGCTCCAGACCTGGGAGTAGAAAGAGAGGTCCTCCGTAGTCCCCTGCCCAATGCCCATCTTCTGCCTGCAGGAGGCGGTAGAACTCCATTCCCTTCAGAGCTGACTGTCTTGCTGTATCAGCAGGAGGGGAACTGGGAGCAAACATGCTCTGTCGAAAGACAAAAAAATCTAAGTTTGACTCATGAACATATAATGCAAAATCATGCATGATCTGGGCAGAAAACTTGTCTTACAGGAACGCTGAAATTAAAACATAAAGTTATCATCAGAAAATCAAAGAAACTGATTTAAGTAACATACAGAGACAAAACTGAAACTTGCATTTTATGCACTTGTATAATAAAGGGTATTCCATTTATATCTGACACATTTATACTCAACATATCTGAACATAAGTGGAATGGTGGCAAAGTGGTTAGCATGGCTGCCTCACAGTGCTCCAGTTCCTCCCACAGTCCACAGACATGCTTGTAGATTCATTTGCTTCTGTAAATAAAAAACTTCCCCTGAGTGTGTTTGTATCTGTGTGTGTGCCCTGCGATGGACTAGTCCCGTCTGGGATGTATCCAGCCTTGCGCCCAATTGGCTTCGGGCCCTGAAGCAGATGAGTGGTTATTGAAAGTGATGATATATTACCAAGCTCAGAAACCTGATTTTGAAAAGCATATAAATTGTTGTTGTTTTAATCTTGATGCATGTGATGAAGGTTACATCTTGATTCATTGTTTGCCAAAGTCAGATTGTAATTAACTACAATTGTAATGGACATTGTTTAAAAAATATAATTTATAAGACGTGGACCTGAAACAAGGCAAGTCTAGTAAAACGCAACCCATCTGTGGACTTTAATGTAACTGAATAAATCCAAGGTTTAACAACCTTTGCTTTGTTACACAAATAAAATGTGTCAGATATCAATGAGAACCACCTATGTGCAATGTATACAGAGAGGCATTATGAATGCAACAAGAACGCAACAAAGTAATGTGGTTCCAGCATTTTCCCCCAGAAATTTCTATTCACAAATTTCTAGTAAAAATCTATTTATTCACTTAATTTCCAAAAAATGTGTAAATGTGAATGTGATTGTGGCACCACCACTGCACAACTGCTGTCGGCCCTGGAGATGCCTCAGCATCCTGCTAGCAGTGTCCTGGCTCCCTGACCGCTGCAGAGACAACTGGACCATAAAGGAAGATGGCAGATGTAGGTAGCCTGCATGTACATGTGGGTTCGACACTGAATATTCAGAACAAGGTGCAATGTGGTGCTGGGTAACGTGTCAATGTTCAAACTGTTCTGACATGACAGCTGGAGTGTACCACAGAGAGATACCACCCACAATGACAGCACAGGTAGACCAGCTCAGAGGTGGAGATGTGATAGAACGGGCTGCAGTACAGTATGGATTGAGATCACACTTGACTATGCAAATCTATGGAGAATATGTTCTCACCCCACACATTCTGTGCCTTATTTTGCAGAAAATTCTATGCTAACATGTACTGTATGTATGACAATGCACACCTCTTATTAGTAGGTATACAGTAAGTTTGACTTCTCTGGCAGGGTACAGTGTGCCTGTCAAGAACTGGCCACCATTATCACATTACGTGAAGCCAAAAGAGAAATTCTGGTGACTGGTGTCAGAATCAATGATCATGTGCACTTGCTGAGCTGCAAGCAGCTTGCCACTACCATTATCAAAGCATAACTCTTTTTCTTTGATAATGGTAGTGGCAAGGTGGCACAGTGGTTAGCACTGAGGGGCTGTGTTCATTCCAGATCTGTGAAGCTATCTGCATAGAGTTTGTATGGTTTCTTAGTAGTTTACTCCCAATGACCAATGACATACTGGTAAGCATCATGTGATGCCTCTCAGTATACAGCTCTGAGACAAAGTTATGGGAGATGGTGTCTAACAATAAATAAAGTCAACGTAAACCATCAGCCGTACAGTGTCGAGGCCCAGAGAGTGAGCTTCCAGCATATTCAGTTCCCTTTCCGCGGAGTCTTCGTTTTCGACATAACGCCAGGTTTGCCGACCCTCCACATTAGACAGCCGCCAGCGCCTCAGGTCTGTGGCTGGTTCACTCTTGTAAGGTCCACCCCGTCTCCTCAAACACCTGTTTTAACATGATACCGACGAGAAACATGAACTGCATTCTTCAAGCAAGGAGAATACCTGTCGGTATTACTGGATATATACACGTGTACACAGTCTAACACACACAAATTAGTGATGATTTGAGTCATTCAGAACATCAGTATCTGAAGATACAGTAAAACATAAAATCTATATTCAGCCATTAAAACAGTTGTATATTCTAGCAAACTGCCGCTTTGATGTACAGTTTAAGTGGTGATATTTCCTTTTTGAAACATTTTCAGAAAATCAAAATCACAATTATAGAATATTCGTTGTCACTTTTTGCAGACATTTGAGTTTTTAAAGGGTTTGGGCTTACCGGTTGAATACGATGTTCTGTTCAACATTTATTCTACATGTATTCAGTGTATGGAAATCTATACTTACGTTCCTTCTGTCATCATGAACCCTTTTAAAAAATGTAAACTCGCTGCGCGTAAAACCTTGTCTCTTTAAATTCAGCTCTGCTTTCCTTAGCTCCAGCCTATTTTTCAGTCATGCTGGGGAACGTAGTTCTATTTCTTCGAATTGCCGATGGAGTACGTCGGTCCCCGTTAAAAGAGTACTACTACTCCCATAATGCAACAGGATGCCTTCCGAGCCCAGCACGGCATGGAGAGACATGAGCAGACAGGCAACTGGCCAATCATGCTCTAAAGAGGTGGGGATGAGGAGGTTGTCACTCCTTCAACAGTTTAGATTTGATCTCAACTACAAATGGCAAACTTCAGAACGTTGTACGCATCTTCTGTTTAAGATCATAGCATTTGCCCCAATTCCAGGACAGAGGTTTGTAGTAACAGGGTGGATGACGATTAAGATTTACATTCGTGAAATAATCTCAGGTCTTCATCCTGCAGTGATAATGCACTCTATTGGTATTAAGTACAATTTTTAACAAAACAACTCACCAGTGTAAAAAAACAACAAGTTTCCACTTTATTACTGAATATGCAGAACATAATATGATTTTTGACATTTAGTTATTACAGTAATTCGAAATTCCTACACAACATACTATAATAAACTATTAACAGAAAGAAAATACTTAAGAAAGCATGTTTATTTGTAACTATTTAAGACATAAAAATACTTCAGCCAGCTAGTATGTGAATTTACCTCCCAGTTTTCCAAAATGGCTATCTACAATTCTTTTTCAAATACATTAAAAATATCATTAGCATTTCAAACTGTTCCTCAAATGGAGATATCCCAAGGTGATTTTTTATCTTAAACGAGACAACATAAGTACAGTATATACATTTTAGAGAGTATCTTTCCACGTTTCAATCTCAAGGTACAACACACTGATCTGTAATAAACACTCCGTGTAGATTTAGATTTTTACATTGATTTATGTCTTTTCAATTCTGTTTATACTTCCGTAAGAGCAAGTTTTTCAGATTTAAATTACCATAAAATGTCACTTAAACAGATTCGGCAATTCAAGAGCAGGTATGACATGCTTTTGGCTATACTTGGTGACAATGATCACATTCGATTTAGACACAGGGTGCTTTAGTGTCTTTTCGGTAATTTACTTATCGGGCGCTTAGAAACAGAAAGGGATTTTGTTTTGGAAGCCCTTAAACGCGGGGGGCTCCCAGTCCTGCACAATCGCTAGACTAAAGGTAGTGCAGACCCTGCGGATGGGGGGCATGGCCAGTTCTCTCAGTCCTCCACAATGTCCAGCAGGCTGCTCAGCTGCAACTCGCAGGCCAGTTCCTCCTCTTTGCTGGCTCGGATCTGTCTGTCCAGATCCTGCAGACGCTGCTCCATTGACACTGGACAGCCTCTCTGCCCGGAACGGTCCCATTTCTCTCCAGGGACCCCAGCTTCCATGCTCTGGAGAAAGAGGAGCTTGTTACATGGAGTTTAAACCAACAAGGTGACACAGCTGCACTGGAAACATTGTGAGTATTTCAAAGTTATTGGTTGGGAATACATTTTACATTACAGTTTATCTTCCAGTACCTTGCTCCCTGAATGTGTTTTTCTTTGGAAATGCAAAATTGTCATCGTTATTCATGATGCTGCTTAATAAAACAAAATATTTCTAAAAAAGTTCTAGGAGTTCTTATATCAGAAAACAGAGATCATTTTCTCCTTAGCTTCACTGAGCTATGGGAAGCTTGTGATTACGTTCTCTTTACAGCCACTTTACTGGACTCTGTAAGTGCTCAGTGTGCTCTGAGTAAAGAGCTCTTGTAAGCAGCGCCGTACCAGTGAAACTGCAGCAGAAGCAGGAAAAGCCCTCTGGGAGGCTGCCATGATCTCAGGCACTGAGATGAGTGTTGAAGGCATGAAGAGAGGCATTGAAAAGGAATCCAGGGGATCCACCTCCAGCCACTGCTGCAGCTGCTCCTCGAACCTGGAAAACAAGCAGTTCGTACTGTCAGGGAACGTCAGCCCTCTGGAGCAGCACGACACCAGAAGAACAGATCTGCGATGCTATGTAAACATTTAGGCTCTCTGAATTAATATATGATATAATGGACCCCTCCATCCCAAAGGAATTACAGGTGGATGCTGCACATTGGTGGTGGTGGTGGAGGGGAGTCCCCGTTACCGGTAAAGCACTTTGAGTGGAGTATCCAGAAAAGTGCTATTTAAGTATAAGCAATTCTTAATTCTTAATTACTTCTTGTAACTCACCACAATATTTTTTTCATTTTGCATAGTTCTAGCACTATTTTCAAAGCCTTTTAGTAAGTGACTAAAAGTAAGCAGGGAGAATATGAATGTGACTCTGATTTTACATGTGGTCTTGTGTTTGTAAGCACCTTGGCTGAAGGCAGTGGAGCCTCACTATTTTCATATTCCAAACAAGCAGTATAAGACGGAGAGAGTGTGGGGAGGGGTGTGTTGTATAAAAGGAAAATTCCGTCAAGGAATGGCTGGATGAGATCCTTGGAACAATTAGCTGCTAACGAGCGAATGCGCTCGAGGGGCCGAATGCTCTGCTCCCGTTTTGTCCCCTCCCCCGTGAAAAGCGAAGGCTGACCTCTGGCTCTGGGCCCTCTCGGCCTCCAGGCTGCTGAGGAGGCGGTGTGGCAGCAGCTCCCGAGAGGAAGGGGTGTGGGTGATGTCGGCGACAGTGGCGTGACCTGGCTTTTCCACAGGGCTGTCAAACAACCTCTGCCTGGAGTGCAGCAGCCGCGGGGTGCTGACTCTGGCTGGGCTTAACTTAAATCTGCAACAGGAAACACAGCAACGCATGAGCAAGTCAGTCTGCATACAGCGGCACTCTTTCCAGCTGAGTGGGCTCTTCTGCGACGATCCCTTTCAAACCTTTGTGAATCCAGTTTCTTTTCGGCTTTGAGCACGCCTTCTGAGACAAAACATTGAACTGAAGGTACATGATGCGCTGCTCCTTGGAGGGCAGACTAAAAAGGAACCTACTGTAAAAAAATAAGTTTTATGAATCTGGAAAGGAACAAAAATTAAAATATATTCATCCATTTTCTAACCACTTCTTTCAATTCAGTGTCGGGGGGGGGAGTTGGAGCCTATCCCAGCCAGCAATAAGCACACAGACACACAGGAAACCAGAACACCAGGAGGAAACCCATCTGAACATGGGCAGAAGTTTCAAACTCCACGCAGACAGCACCCCAGGTCTGGAATTGAACTCAGAGCCCTGGCACAGCATGGCAGCAACCACTGTGCCACCATGCCGCCCATATATTTTCATATGCCTCCTAATTAACCACAAAGGCTAAGCACTGAATCCAGATATAATATACTATGATCTGAAGTGTTGAGTTAATGATGCAATTGAGCCACACAAAGAAATCCACTATTACAGCATTCAACAAAAGAAAAAAAAAATCAAACTCCAAAGTACACTACAAACTCTTAAAGGTCTCTCCCGAAAACTTTGGAAATATCAATGTCTGTTATATCTCTTAGTGACTTTCATAGTTATGCTCTTAGTGTTTTTTACAGGACACCTTTTAAATTCTGTATATACTTTGGTAAAAACAGTTTTTCAGATTTAAACTACCATAAAATGTCACTTTCACAGATTCAGCAAAACAAGAGTAGGTAAGGTAACGTAACGAAAACCACGGAGCTGATGGTTCTCCGTGTTTCTAGCAGTTCACAAGCACATTGGGGCTGGCTTACCCAAATGACTCTTGCTGCTTGTCCTTGTGGGTTTTTCTCACAGCCCAAAGCCAGCTGGAAGGGGGCTCGTATTTCTTCAGATCCTCTTTAACAAAGTACACTAAAATCTCCCCATCATCCGTAATTGCATCTGAAACGTTAACGCCAAGCGCTTGGAGATTAAACAGCTACAAATAACATATTTGTACACAAACATTTCAGTTCATGGCAGACAGTCTGCTAACAATTCATGCTCAAGGACCATTTTATACTTACCGTCCGTGATAGGAGACTCCACAAGTGAAATTTTAACATTTCCATTCATACAGCTCATTTTATTTCTTGTTAAATTATAAATCTAACAATAAAAAAAGATATTTGGCCAGAATAGTCTCCCATCAAGTTCCACTAAATTTAATCTACAGCAAACAGTTCAAATGTTTTTTACTCACTGGATCACAGTAAAGAAACGAATGAACTGATTTATATTAAACTTCACCCCTTTTCTACATTCTCCATACACACATTTGAAAGTCCCGCTGCAGGGTTCTGTAATGACAATCCTACCTTCAGTTACAGGTGATTCTGGGGGCTTCCAGTCCTTCAGACGGTGGTCAATGCACAGGGCAACAATCTCATCCCAGGGCACCTGCTGGAAAGCGGGTCCAGCTTCCTCCTCCTCCTGGGCTGACATGGCCCCTCGCATCCACTCAGAGTGAACTCTCTTCAGGAGGTGTCCCACTTTGGACACGAGAAGGGGATGGGAGTGGCGAGAGAAAGGAATCTGAGCCACGAACTGGAAGATCCGAGCACAAAGTCCAGGCCAGGAGGCTACGGCACAACAAGCACAAAGTCATTCAGCTTGTAGGAGAGAAGGTCTAGCGCTTCTACTACAAAACAATATAAAACTGAAACTAACAAGGAAGTCTATTGACTAGTTTTAGAGATGCCACTTAGCACTGGATCTGGAATAACTTGAATGAATACTGAATGAATGAAGATTAGTGCTAAAGATCAGTGTATTTTATGGGTACACTACATGCATTACCAAAGGTTGTGTGAAATATCCAGATTGTTTCCGATTATAATTTTGAAAACCCTAAACTCTATCTGACACAGTATAAATCAAATGAAACCACAAAATTAATTTTTAAACAATAGTTCTATCCTCTCTGCTCAACACTAATGGTTCTTAGGAAATTTTAACGTCAAATTTATTCTCTTGGAAGGGTTACTGCTATTCTGGGTTTGCCGTTTTCCACTCGCAGATTTATAAAGTTTGGTCAATTTTGGTGGAAACTTGAAAGAGGTTTCTATGTTCCTATGATCACAGGTGAGCCATAGAGAGTATTTCCTAACTACTTCACAGAACCAACTATGGTCAAGTCTGTCCAATGGGAAATATTTTTTCGTAAACCATATAAGATCTGAAAACCATATATAGGATCTGTAAACCATAAGATTTGTATGTAAACCATAAGATTTGTAAACCACATAAGACCTGAAAGCAAAGAGAATCTGACACTACATTTCGAAACCGTGTTTTTAACCTCTGCATACCATGTTGTGCAGGCAGATCCCAGTCAGGTATCTGCAAGGTGAGGATGGCTCTGTTCAGCCAGGCCAGGTGCTCAGGTGAGTTCCACTCCAGGTGAGGAAGCAGGTTCTGGGGGCGTGGCACAGAGAATTCTGCCACAGGCCAAGATAGCCTGGAGAACTGTTCTGAGGACACCAGGCCTGCCAGGAAGCGCAGCACACTGTTGTATAATTCAATAATGGGGGCTGGCTCTTGGCAGGGCAGTCCCGAAGCCTGTCGCTCTGTCTTATCATGGTAAAACCTTGTGCTGAATTCCCGACACAAGCCATCCTCTACAAACTGTACCAGTGTCTGAGAGCTCAGGTCAGGGGCTGCCGGAGAGCGGGAGACTAGCCACTTCACTGCCTGGTGGATCTGGAAAGAGAGTGGACAAAGAACTAAAAAGGGCAAATGCAGAGAATGACTCTGATTTTTAACTGACATGAATTCAATATTATGTATTGCCAAGCAGTTCCTGAATCTTCAAATGTATTTCACAAAAGAATTACAGAACATGAAGAATGGTTATGGATGTATGAGACTGTCAACACTTCTTTACGATTGTCTGTACTTTAGCATTTAATACAACACCTATGAAATGTTCTCTTTAATAAGCAGAGAAAAATTGTAGACATTTACCTGTTCAGAGCCTTGTAAATCATTGGTTGAATGCGGGACATGAACAAATATATATTCTGAAATTAAATTCTCTTCAACCAAAGCCTGCAGCATTAGACCTTAAAAAGAGAAAATGAAGGTATGAGTTCTGAAACTCAGTCCTTAAAGCAGTTATACTAACAGTCTTCATTTTAAAAAGGATAATAATACATTGATATTTTACATATAGGTATTTCACAGCAAGTTCTTTGAATTCCATTCATACTTGCAAAAGATTAATGTTATTCCTTTAACTGTTATACAATTTAAAAGCATTACTATAATTGGTGCAAACTGCTGACAAATTAAGACCTATTTCATGTACAAGAAAATGTACAGATGTCTATTAATTGGCATAAGATAAATCTTATGTAATTGCTGTACCTTCCTCCAGCTTCTCTTCACAGGTTGGCTGCTCTGCGTGCTTGGGCACCACCACCACTAGGGGCAGTGCAGACTGCCAGGAATAGACCTGTTGTATCTGTTTCAGCTGCAACAGCGCAGAGAGCAGGTAAACGTCCAATTCCTCTTTCTCCTCGGTGGCTCCATATCCAGGCAAGGATGGCAACAACAACAGCAGGGCACTGGTGCCCAGGACATCTTTCTGCCTCTCCATCTGAGACATCCCCTCTAAGCTCAGAGGTCCATGAGTTACCTGTAATGTACCACACACGTGTGCCCATTAGCAAAGACATCCAAATACAGGGCACTGCAAAGAAGAGGCCTTTTATAAGAAGGGGAACAAAGTTCGGAGCTGGAATGCAAGATTCCTTTCAAATTGAAAATACACTATTTATCAAGGACTGGCTGAAAGATAAGAATATTTCAGACAACGGCATACTACACCAACGAAAGCAATATTTAAACATGTCTGTGGATGTAGCAGGATAGAATGTGAAAAATCTTAGACCTTTATCTGTAATCAATTGGCTACTTAGATTGACAGCTGTTTGACCTGGCCACCCACTTTTTTTTTGCTTGCTAGACACTGTTAGTATACTTAGTATTTTGTTATGCTCTCTGTCTCTCTTTTAAAGTAGATGTTTTACTCTTTTATTGTAAGGGAAGATTTGGGAGGGACATAGGAAGGGGACTTGAAATTCTGCATTTCTCTGTTCCATTAATTACTCTCAGCTAACACACTGTACCAAACAACTGACATATTCTGTAACGTTACTTTAAAGTGTAACTTATGCAGCATGTATTTTTGGTAGTTTAAAAAACAATAAAAATACCTGTTAAAAAAAGAATGCCCTATGTCTACTTGTATTCATTCTGGCAAGACCCTTAATCACTAGTTCTAACTGGTGCCACTAACTATACATTTGGTTCTTTAGATGTTTTCAGGACTTGATTTCAAAACTTTCCTGGACAAACGGATGGGAACGACAATGTATCAGACGCCCCCAAATAGTGAGTGCTTGTCCAGATCGCCAGATTACAACTACACATGTGAATGAAGACAATTCTGAAACTCACTAATTAGTACAAGCTTGATTACAACTACAAATCCCACTTGACAGTTTCAGAACTGAAAACAGATTTCAAAATAGGCCTCAAATAGAAAATTGCAATTAGCGCAAAACAAACTGATGTACATTAAATGTACAGTAGACAAACCAAAACACTCAACAATACAGGGTTACAGGAATTAATTAACAGAAATATGTACTGAGCAGAGTATTTCCAGAGGCCAAAATATTTTCTTAGCACAAAGACTTGGCATGGTAGCATTGCTCAAGCAAAGAAGTTCATCTATTTTGCCCATCTGTAAAAAGATGGCATCTGTGCAATATTTTTGTATCCATGACTTAATAAGCTTTTAATACTGTAATTTAATTTATTTCAGGTTATTACGTACCTTAATGCATATGTGAACATTCTGAGACTTGTCTCCATGGTTTCTTAACCCATTACAGATGGAAAGAGTCTGTATTTTATCATTTTGGTTTTGCTCCATGTTTTCTGAGTTTTCACGTCCACCAAACTTTGCTTTTAGCCAATCTGTTAAAATACTATACAATGAGAGAAAATGAACAAATTATTAGATGTCTGGTTTGTTAGTGTAACCTGTATCAGTAACCAGTTTTAGAAAAAAACAAAAAAGCAAGACATGTAAGGTTCTTGGGAAAAAAAGGAGGTGGCTGATAGCCTTTCACATGGTGAAATTGCTGCTTTTCTGCTGAAACTCATTGGAGTTAATAACAACATTAGAACAATAAAGAAGAATGAAGGTGTGGACAATTAGAGCTGGTACTGCTAGTGGCTTATGTTACTGTATAATAATTTTATACTAGTAGGGGGTACGGTATCTATATAGTATTTTTGTAACATATACTTATTTATGTACTCAACACATTTATGGTAGTTAAGTAATGGTTCTCCTTAACCCCCTTTTTTACTCGAAAGGCATATTATGTTTTTAAAATGTTGGATTTTTCCAAGAACAGAACCCAATAGTTAGAAAAGCTTCCCTTTATGTCAGAATTTTCCCACTTTATGCAAACATCCAGGGTTTCACAGATCCAATACTAAAATGAAACTTTTGTATTAGACTTGAAGAGAAAACTTGAAGAACAGTGTAAGTTGATGTTCTTTTGAGAGACCTAGTCTCCATTATCACTATTCATTCACCTGTTAGTGACACTCATTTCACACTCTTCGTTGCTAGGCAACAGGAGGGCTGCCTTCCAGTAGATTCTGTTTGCAGGGCTTGGAAAGCTTTCTGCCACCAAGCTAGGCAGGTCTAGTGGGGTCCATGCTGATTCACTGAGGAAACATCGACATAAAAATTACAAAAGAAAAAGCTTAAATGTATCACTTGCTAACTACTGGTACAGTGAGGAATTATATAAATTAAAGGATTAACTACAAGAATGACAGAAAAACTATTTTTACAGGGTCCGCATTATAAACAGAAGCCTCAGATACGGAATCATTTTATAGCAGCCCCTTTCAATCATAATTTGAATTATTCCACTATTTTTAATAACTGAACATGGGATAGAACAGGAATTCCTTACCTCAGTAACTGCCGATAAAAATAATGCACCTTCATCTGATGGAGTGCCGCATTTCTCATTTGCAACAATCTGGAACCGGAAAGGTACATTAATGTTGATGCTTTCCAGATGCACTGCAAATGTTATATTATGGGAGCCACTAAAGTACAAAAGATGGTTTGAGGAATTATTATTATTACTATTATTATTGCACAAGACAATGAAGGAGAAGTAAGAAGGCCTGGTACCTTGTACAGGACACAGCAACATTCCCAGCATTCCCCAGGTTGACCACACTTCGGGCCAGAAGGTCCAGGCTGGGGGGAGAAGGGGCACTGGGCGCCAGAGCCTTCAGCTTGAAGCGTGGGTCCACACAGCATGGCGCTGCAGGGAACGCTCGCATCTGCCTCTTCAGCTGCCTGCGCACGGCCACCACATCCCGCCACCTGTCACACACGCCACAGAGCTCAGAGCACTGGATGCACTTGACCCACAGAAACCAACTGACCACAATGAACTTTCTGGCAATGTAGGTGGACTACAATGTCAATCCTGAATGCTTGCACACATTGAAAAAACTGGCTATAGGCAATGATAATTCAAGAAGTTTAACATTGCAGTTACCCGTGTTTTAAAACACCCTTACTCATATATAAGACACTAGAAGAGCAATATAAAGCAAACATCTTTTTAAATCTATCCCTATTTATATATATTCTAGTACAAAATATTTTAATATTTCTACACCGAAGAACCTATGCCTGTTAGGAGTTAACTACTAGGCGCTCAAGAACTGTTTCACTACTTCGTGCATTCCCAGCTGGCCTGTTTCTTCAAGGTCTCTTGAGTGGAGGTGTAACCCATGTATCTTTCGCATGATTTAGCAACATGAAAGGGAACAGGGGCCTTAGCTGAATATGGTCTTGGTTAATTGCCCAAGGGTGACCTAACTGCTTAATTTTATTACCTTGATTACACCTTATATAGTAACAAACTGCTTCTGACCAACCATGAATGTATGTTTTTGTATGGAAAAGTTTGCTCATCTTCAAGAATAAAAGCCTGTTGCAGTCCTTAGGAAAGTGAGTGGGAGACAAAGTTAACCTGTTAACTTACGTCTGTCCTCCTTTCTTTATTGCAATAAAGAAATCGCTAGCTTGATTCACCAGTCATGCGGTTTACAGAGAAAAGGGTCTAACAGTACTAATATACCACATTTCACAACTCAGCAGGCAAACTTTGCTGTGCATTTGTGAAAGATTCTTATGCGTACTGATAGCCACTAAAGCAAGGCAATGATTTCAGGAATTGGCAGCTTGTAAACTGATTGCAAGAGGCTGGAATTCTGATCCAGAGAAAGGGAATCCTGATGAAGTGTGTTTTTTCTTACCTTTTCACAAACTTGCGGAAGCGCTGCACCTCCGCTGTCAGGATGTCATTGGCAAGTTTGGAAATTTCACTCTCCAGTGTCTCCTCTATTAGAGTATTACATGCATCCTCAGAGCAGCGAGCAACACAAGCAGCTTTCTCCTCCAAAGCTTGCCTGTAAACCAAAAAAAGACTTTAAAAATCCACACTTATCTACATTCCCTCTTATTTCTCAACCATTTTATCTGTTGGTTCCTTGTGTTTCTCTCATATTCCTAAAAGACTTACTTAATCTCACAAGCAGCAGTGGCTTCAATGCACTCTTTCAGGACCTCCTTTGCAATCTCCTCGCACAGGGCTTTGCTTATTTGGGCAATCAACATCTCATGTTCCTGCTTTCGTCTGTGAGACACAATACAGAAGCATTCATTAAAAACCAACAGAAAATACACAGGGCTACCAGGTGTCGTTAGATGTTCAAAACCACCCTGTTCAAACCCAGATTTTCTAAACCGAAGCTGTCCATTATAAACAACTCCAGTAGAACTGGTTCCAGCTGTATTACAAGTGATGATAGCCTAGGTTTTAATCTGTCTTTTATCGAGAAGACGAAAGCAAGTTACAAAGTTCTGAGGACCTGGCTTCTTCAATCCTGCGCTTTTCTTCTGCAATTCTCTCCTTCTCGGATGTGATTTCGCCGATGCACACCTCCTTCAGCATCTGCTCCACCACTTCATTCACCACAGCTCCCACTTGACCGTCAGAGACGCTGCAATCAGAAGAAGGCGGCACTAACAACCTGCTCACATTGTGCCAACCATAACTGTAAAAATCTTATTATTAATATGCAGAGTAAGTGGGATTTTACCATTCCTGCCTGATCATCTAAGCAAAGAGCAAAATAATCACAGCACTCATATAGTACTTTCAATCCTGAAGGATCACAGATTTTGGGGTTGCGGGTACAGGACTCGCTTTAAAAGATGAGGGCGTAAAAGCTGTTAAATTAAAGTCCAACACGTGTATCGGAGCTAGTTCGGATACGGTGACGTCATCGCCCTCCCTGCACGTAGCAGGGACCTCAGCTGCCTAGGCTGGGGGAGATCTCCTTTAGCTCATGCGGCTGGTTCCCTGTTGCGTTATGACGGAGACCCGGTTTGACGCCACAGGTGTTGCAGGACGAAACGGGCGGCGGAGGGCACGAGCCCGCGCGGAACCACGACGGTCACACATGCAAAGGGACTGATCACCAGTATGCTCCTCAACCCTGAGCTGAAGTCTTACCTCAGTGCCGCAGACATATAGTCAGCCCCTGCTTTGGCCAGTTCTCTACACTCGGCTTTCAAAACATCCTCAACCAGAGACTGAACTTCTTCCATAATATCCTGGAGAAAAGATTAGAAAGTTTGATAAAAGATCTGCGTGAGATGGAGTTTAATTCCAGCAGTCTGTGACCTAGCAAGTAACCGGTATATGCATGTTACAATCTTTCTAGAAGCAGACCTATTGTGTCATCCTGAACACGTTTAAAGCAATCAGAAAGATGAGAGAGGATTGTAAAATAAAGGAATGAAAACACTGTTTAATCATGTAATGTCGCCTAAATAATTCATTTCAATGCGAAAGAATGGTATGTTTGGCATGAAATAAATAAATGAATGAAACTAAAATGTTTAGATGTCTTTGAGATACCAGCTTCAATCTATCTTCCAACATGTAAAATTGATATGTTTAGTAAAAAAAGAGGCCATTCAGTTGGGTCAAGAGTCTTTTGTAAATCAAATGGCGTTTTCTGCTCAATACTCTAGATATGATGACAAACCTGTGGCATTGTAAATCAAATCTGTTGGCATGCCCAGCAGGAGCTATCTGAAGGAAATGTTTCCTCCTGTCAGAGGTGTATAGCATTTTAGAAAGCTGTCAAATTAAATCTGTCTGATAATCATGGCCCAGCTATGAAGGTGTCAGCAGGTGGATGGGATAGTTGAGACCAACGCCAATGGCATTTTTGGCAACCTTTACCACCTGTACTAATAAATGCTCACAATCATTCATTCTTTGCTTTCCCACTGGACTCCTAAAATTGAATTATATAATCAGAATGTGCAGTGAGACTGTAAAGACTCTACAGATGTCACTGGTGATGCAACATAAGACTGATACACTCTGTACATTCTCTAAAAAACAAACGTCTTTAAAAATACCTTTTTAGAGGAAGCTAGATTCCATCCATTTTCTGCTTGCAGCCTTTTATAAAGTTATTCAATTAAATTGAAAAAGCATTAGATGTTTAAAGTATTAAATAGAGCAAAGCTGAAAAATGACACTGCTAAAGGCTGCCAGAGCGTACAACTACAAACAAAATAAAGCTATTACAAAGTGTGTGATGGTGTCCCACTGCATATAATTAAGATAATGAATTTGTTAACGTAATGTTCTTTTTTGTTCTTATTGTCCATTGTCGGCTTCTGACAATCAATAAAAAAAAGGAATATAAATATTGTTTTAAAGGAGCAGTGTTAGCTCCTGCATGATCTTTTACATCCTCAATGAATCATAGACACCCCTGGCACGTAATGATGTATATATTAAAAAACGCTAACCTTGGGCACTTCAGTTAAAACAAAATTCACAATTCCTGACCTACACATCCCACTCAAAACACATGTGCTTTCCAACAGAACAGCGATTCTGGTTTCACTGTAACATAACGTACAGTGTGAGGTGTGAGGTGTTTCCCCAGTGGGCAGACAGGCTCACCTGATCTGTGTACACAGGCTGTGGCTTGGGAGGGGGAGATGGGGGCCGGGTGGGTTCTGGCTGTACAATCTGTTGAAACAGTGGCTCAGCTCCAAGGACAGAAGCAGACCCGACCCGTTCCGCCTCCTTTGGCTTCATTTCCATTACAGCTTTGGGTTCTTCAAAAAATCTGGACTCGCCCTGGAGCTTGGGTTTCATTAGAGACTTTACGTCCAGGTCCATCAAGGGTCTGAGCTCCATTAAAGGCTTCAGGTCTTGTTTCATTGGTTCAGCTGGAACTGTAGACAAACACGGTTATAAATTATTTATTTCTCATGTGTGCTATTCATTTAGAGCAGGGGTCCTGGAGATCCTCTGTCCTGCAGGTTTCACAGCTAGTCTTTAAATCATTCATTTATAAAGGGCAGGAACAATTTAACTATTATCAATTAAACAGGTGGAACAAAAATTAATCTTGGTGATAAACATAATTAAAATTGACCTACAAGTACAACAGGATTGGGCCTCACCAGGACCAGGGTTGGAGACTCTTGACTTACAGGTTATTTATTCTCTGTGCTTCACCTTTGTGTAAAATATTAAATATTTTAAGCATGAAAAACTGGAAACCATTAAGTAATAAGGTTACTTAAAATCCTGAATATCAAAGTCATAGGTCCATAAATATTTCAGATAGATTCATAACCCAGAATATTCTGCTCCGATTCATAATTCAAAGTGCTATAAAGTACTGTAACGATTCAACTGCACTGCAGACATGCTGTATCGTGAGGAAACGGTGATGCATACCCGCCGCACCCAGAGGGCCGCCCTTGTGAAGAGTGGGAGCTGGCTCCATCATGAGCCCGTCGCCCCTGTATCTGCTCCTGGAATCAAAGCTGCAGAGTGGGGTGTGCCGAGCTGGGCTGGGCAAGGGGCCTCCATTAATGACCTCCCCAATGAGCAGAGGTCTCTTCGCCATGATGTCCACCGACCTCTTTATCGGCGCGGGATCAACCGGCTCCTGGAAGGCAGAGCGACTCAGCTCCACCATCCTGTTAGCACCGCATGGACAAGGGTTAATATTCTGCATCAGCTAAATTACAAATACATCAAAACTCAATTCTTTGACTTCAATGCTTTAAGAAACTTTTTTTCCAGAGTCGTCCAGCTGCCAGATATTATTAACTTAAAAGGAAACACTTTTAAGGACGACATTTTAAACAGTACTTGCGAAAAGGAGTTAATTAACTCATCAGTAACATCAAGAGCAGTGGTTCTGGTACTTGACTGGTGGTACTGCTAATTTTCATTGCAACGGGACTTTAAATCACACTTAATTATTGCCTGGAAATGATCTCGATTAGAATTTTTCTGCACTCAGTCCTTGGCTTAAAAAAAATATATATTATTTTTATATTATTGTACCAACATCCAAGAGCTTTATGCACTCTCTCAAATTTCTTAATAAATCATGCACAGATGGGAATGATAATGTATTAAACATTTTATATTCTTTTTTGATATATTTTAGATATCACACCTAACACCTTTGGGTAGTTCTGAAACTCATGAATTTACCAGGATTGTGAGGCACTGATATACAGAATTATTTATAAAATTATGATAATAAAGGAAACAATTGCCCTTTTAAAAATATCCCTATGGTCAAGGTAGTGTTTTCCTGCTTGAATTACTCTATGAATTTAATTAAAACCGCAGGAAAATCAAGAGGTACGTGCACAAAGGGAAGAACATGCTATGGTGCAATAAACCTTTCAACCAATCAGGGGACAGATCAAGCCTTTCCCTTTCACAATCAAAGGTAAGGGAAGCAGATCCTCACTCACCCCTCACTGACGTTCAGCCCATAGTGCATGATAAAGGCCCCGGCCTCTGCAGCATCACGGAACATGAGCATCCGCACCAGGTCCTCAATGGGGAAAGTAGTAGGCCTTTGGGAGCCCACTGTGTAGGCGATGTTTAAGGCTTTCAGAGCATCACGTCTCATCTGTAAAAAAGAAACCAAACACCACATTTCCTCTCTTTCCCCCAGCTTTGCAATTTTGGGGATAAAAAAGCACTAAGTTAAAGTACAATCTTCTTTTTTAACTGGAATGTTACTGTGCTCCCACTAATGATTATGACACTATAAAGCACATACCAACAGATCGCTTTTCTGCCCGCCTCCTAGAGCTATTGTCTGTGTGTATGACTGACCTGGTTGAAGTAGCGATGTAAGATGCAGCTGCTGAGGTAGGAGGCCACTCTAACCAGCCTGAAGAACCTGACAAAGTTGTTACTGTTGAGAGCTGCAAACACCTGCACCGCAAACTTCACCTCCAGGGAGTTGCGGATCTCTGGACGGAACTGCTGCACTTCCCTGTAAGCAAGAGAGCATTTAAAATCATATAATAAAAAACGATTATATTAATTACATTTCCAATTCCAGTGATATTCTGTTCAATTAGCATTAGAGTATTAATAAGTGATATAACAACTTTAATTAGAATTACAACTATAAAAGCACAGCACCCTTTTCAAAATGGAGCTCTCTACAATCTTACATCTTTTATGGCTTTTCTATTGATGCTGACATTTAGTGTCTGTGATATTTAAAATGTTGCACAATAATTTCCATGTTTACACATTCCCCTAAAAATGTATTTTAGTACGAAATAAATATTCTTCACTTTTATTCAGAGTAATTGAATAATTCTTTGCATAGGGTATCTTTGTTATTGCCTGACTTCAATTTCAACCTACTTGAGAAGAAATGAGAGTTTAAATAAGACTTAGCACAGGAAATATTTCACCACAAATTAAGGTTATCATAGCCACTGCAATAGCCATTGGAGTAACAATGCACATACAGTTATTACAAAACAGCTATTTTTCCAGGTTAAATGGCTGATGAAAACTAAAAGGTAGCTCAAAGATCATAAACCCGACCTTAGAATGTCGCCATCGTTCAGTTTCAGCAGCACATTGTACTGGCGGAACTCCTTCTCCCCGGGACAGTACACGTTCCTGCTAGCCAGGTCCTGGTACATCTCCTTCAGGCTCTGCAGACATTTGGTCATGTTCTCGTTGTTGATCTTGGCATCAAAGGTCATCATGGGCTCCTCACACAGGTGGTGTGCACAGTGGATGTGGAATCGAGTGCACTTCTCAATCAGGGCCACCGTGAGAGGATCACACAAGTGCTGCTGGGTGATGTCCTAGCAGGAAAGAAGATAACAAGAAGTCACATTTTTGCCATTGCGGTTGATATTCCTACTGTCAAGACAACCATTCATCAATTCTATGATGGAGTTCCATAAATACACCTAATAAAAAGGGGAATTAAAGACGTTATATCAAAAGAGTTATCTTTTGGAAGTCAAAAACAGATTTGTGGAAGGGTGAAACCGATTACACGCATTTAATTGTTTCTGGCTTATCTTGTTATTGTTCTGATGTCCCTTGTTAAAATCAAAATAAAATTTTTATCTAAAAAAAATCTGTTGTTAAGGTCTGTCTGCAGTGTAGTTAGGATACCCCCCAATTTACTGACGAGATTTCAACCCAGCTTATATTGCTGATTCCAAGTGGTAAATAATGTTTACATGAAGTAAACGTTTTGTCCTAATGCATGAGAAAAATCAAAAAGCATCCCCAAACAAACATACACATTGAGAACCTTTATTGATCTAGTTTACTTACCTTGCGTATCCCACGTGTCCTGTTCCACACAAAGTCATACCAGTCACGGTAGTTTCCCTCCCCTTTGTCCATGATCTGAGTGACCAGGTAGTCCATAGTCATGCTAAGAACAGGTAAGGGCCGAAGCTCATGGGGAAGAGGTTCTTCCTGGTCAGCTGAGGACCTGCTGTACTCCTTAATGGCCGCCGTGGGGTCTACCTGCACACAGACAGGTCCGGAGAGAGATGATCAGGCATAGTGAAGAACTAAACTTAAACGCAACTGCACATGTGCTACAAAAGAAGTATGACCTACCCACTCTGTTCCAGGAATGATCTCAAAAGAACTGAGCTGGTTGCGGGTCTCCCTCATGTAACGCTCTTTCTCGGGACACATGTCTGGACATGTGCCCACAAACACCTTGGACAAGTCCAGCTCTGTCCTCTTTGTCCTGCCTAAAGCAAATTATACACAACAGCACATGTTCATTTTCTTATTTCTGAGTTACAGCCCAAATTGGGTGTTTTTTGCTTTTCTTGTGTGCTGTTGAGATGCCACTCCATAATCAGGCCTATGTTTTTTATGTGATGTTATGGATGGCACAGTGGTTAGCATTGCTGCCTCACAGCGTTGGGGCCTTGGTGCTATCTATGGTCTATCTATGGCCCTTCTGCAAATGAGTGCATCTGTGCTCTGTGACGGACTGGCGTCCCACCCAGGGTGTACTCTGCTTTGCGCCCCTTGTTTGCTGAGATAGGCTACGGCTTCCCTGTGATCCTGAACTGGATGCAGCAGTTAAAAAACAGAAGGATTAAGGTGAACTGCATTAAGCTAAACCTGTGATAGTATTTCCATTACCTATATGTGTAATTAGAAAGCACTTCACTATGAACAATCTGCGCTACCAGAAATCCACACTTCAGGGCACTTGTGCCTTTCATTTTAAACTGTGCGTCACATGGAATTCTCCTTTGTTTTAAGGACTTGCAACCTGCAGAGTCCGAGATCACAGTTTTGAGCCGATTCCTTACCTTGTCGCAAAATTTTATCCCTCTGCTCCAACAGCCTGTACTTCTCCTCTGACGTCTCTGCCACCTGACCGATCAGATGGCTGAGGGAGGAAGGCAGAGTGCTGGACAGGTGGTCGGAACTTTGTCCCTCCGAGCCCGAATCGTGTTGGGACTCTGTATCAAACTGCAACGTCTTGGCAATCAAAGACTTCTTGACCGGAGACCTAAAATGGGAATCAGTTTAAAACCCTATAAGATGTTGCCACAGCCAACATAGAATATTGTTGTTCATTACCTGCTACATGTATGCAAAAAAACAAGCTCACGGCAAAGAAATCACATACCCTTTGGTGAGGGAGCCGCCGCTGACGATAGGAGATCTAGAGAGAGGCTTACGGAGGGGAGAGGCCTGGAAAGCACTGTGTCTGGACTCTGTCTCTCTTGGGGCTTCATCTCCTATCATGGATATCTCCGCTTTCTCTCCAGGGCCTGCATAGGTGACAGCCCGGTAACACAGATCAACTCACATGACCCTGCGAATGACCTGTATCCAACCCTTAATTTACAATCACACGACAGCCAGATGACTCACTTGGCTTTTTTCTATTCCAAAAGATTGCAATTTCTTCCCTGTTAAGAGACTTCCCCTTCTTCTTGGCTTTGGCAGCTGATGCCTGGGGAAAAAAAAGGCAGCGATGAGAGGAATGAAGTGAGCTGTTACCAGTTGCTGTTGTTCTATGCCTGTCGATGAAACTGCGCAAACCTAGAGAAATCCAAGCAATGCTACATCTCATGGGACCCAAACATCCGAATGTCGAATCCTGTCTGTTCTCTGGAGGTGGCATTAAAATACTTACCAAGGAATTCCGAAGGGAAAAAAAAACACAACAAAAACTAAAGTTCAGTGAAGCATAACTGCAATTCATTCTGTAGTGAAAATCCTACGTAATTCAGGACAATAAGATGCTCCTCTCATGTTTAGTGTAGTGTTTTTTGCTAATCGTGAAAAAATTGAAAAAAATAAATTACTTTAATTTAATAAAATAATAGATTACGGTAACAGAAAAAAAGGGCACAAAAGCAGTGGTCAAATGATCTTCCTTGGACGGTGTTTCCTTACATGATCATGGAAGTGCACTGTAGCCAGGCTCTTGTTGGGTCTGCAGTACACCTTCAGCACTTTGCCAAAGCGGCCGAAGTGCTTTTCGAGGATTTCCTTCTTGTTGAGGTGGGGGGGGATGTTCTTGCACTGGATAGATATGGCGTCAGTAGGTGAAAGCCCTGCCAGGCCGTCACTGCTCTCTCTGCGCTGGGTTCGCCGGGCTGGAGTCTTGCTCCCCGCGTCTGAAGGCACAACAAGGTAACACAAAGTCAAACAGCAGTGCTTGCCTGCCATGTGGGGCCCAAGCCCAAAATATCCCTTCAGAGGCTAGCCACTGGCATCCACTATCCCCAGTAGATGATGTTCAAAGCCGACTTGTTATTAGATAAAATGAATGAATAAATGTGAAACTTACATCCCCTGCCCTCCTGTATTTTTTAAAGCTTTATTTTGCTTTCATATTAAAAAGTGTTCTTGATGACGGTTACTGCAGCCAAGACTGATAAGTGCTTTTGAGGTACTATCTAGAATAGAAACGGTTGCTAAACAAAACATGCCCTCATCTGAAATCTTAGAAAATACTTGTATTGGATATTGGCACAAAACAAAATTTCTTCAAGGCACTTATCAACACCAGTCACATCTTCGCGATCAACTTTAAGAAATCTGCCTTGTAGCTTTTAATGAACAACTTGGCAAAACCTCTGAGCAGATGATGCTACAGATATTCATAAAATGTCTTTTGAAATACAGAGTTTGAAGGTCAGCTGACGATTAGTGATAAGAACCACGCAGTCAGGCGATGTGTTCTCTAGAAAGCTCACCTGGCTTTGCCTTTTCGTTTACTTCGGCATCTCTGGGGGTTCCTCTGGGTGGTGTCCCTGGGGCTCGGGAAGAGGGGTGGGTATCTTGCGGTTGCGTGTCAGGCCTCTCTATTTCTGCCTTGCCTGGCTGCGGCTCTTCTTCCCTCGGGATCTCTTTCTTGACAGGCTGGACTGTGGATTTCAACACACCACTGAGGGCACTGCGGAAGAGTCCACCCCCAGGACCACGAGACCGCAAAGGCTTTTTACAGGCGTAGCGCGACGGGCTCTCACTCCCACTTCCGGAACCATCCACCCTGAGTGCTTTGCCTTGGCCTTTTTGTTCAGCTTGCTCCTCTTTCCTTTTGGTTCCTTTCCCTATGCTGGCAAAAGCCGCATCCCCCGGCATCTCTTTGGCAGGGTCTTTCTCATCCCTTCTGGCGACTGCTTCGGGTTTTACCGGTTTTCTCTGGTCGCCAAAGGCCGAGGCTTGCACGAATCCAGCAGCTCCAAACAAGGGTGTAGCAGAAACGGGAGCTTCAAGGACTTTCTCTGAGAAGCTGAAGGCTGAGGCACTGATTGAGCTGTCGGACGCCTGGGACAGTCCTACGCCACCAGTGGTGATGCTGTTGGAAGGGGCTGCAGGCTGAGAGAAAGTAAATTCCAAGCTGCTGCTAGTTGTGTTTGGATGACCCTCTGTCTGCGGAAGGCTGACATTTTTACTGCTGATGGAGGAGGCTGCTGTGGGCTGAGAGAAGCTAAATTCCAAGGCACCACCGGAACTGGCGCTCAGGAGGGAGAAACCAGAACTGGTGCCACTACTAGTCCCCACACTGGCGACAGGCTGGACAGTGCTGAAGGATCCTTGGGCCGGCCCAGCCTGGGGGTTGGATGGTTCGGGGCTGCCACTGAAGATGGGCTTGAAGACGGCGGTGTCCGACGGTTTGAAGGTGAATTGAGGGTTTGCAAACCCACGGCTTCCTGTGTCAGCGGTTTTGAAGACAGAAGAGGAGGTGGAAGCGAACAGTCCACCAGAGGATGAAGAGGAGGAAGGTGAAGTGAAGGTGACACTCTGACTGCCTGAAGAAGAACTTAGAGTTCCACTGGGCATCCCAAAGGCAGAAGTCTGACCAAAACTGGAAATTGCAGGTGTCTGCCCCAATGCAGATGAAGGTGTGGGAACTGTAGAGGCCTGTGAGATGTTCATAGCCTGGCTAAACCCCGATGACTGTGCAAAACCCGAAGACTGCCCAAACACGGTAGCTTGAGCTGATGGACCAGACTGCTGACCAAGTCCTGTGGTTTGCCCATAGGGAGGTGGCTGCCCAAAAGCTGAGGTCTGGCCTGCTCCAGTTGACTGGGAATAAGATGGCAGTATTCCAAACCCTGCATTGCTCTGTGAAGGCTGTCCAAATGCTTGACTTTGGCCCTGAACCCCCGAAAGGGAGAAGATGGAAGACTGCCCCAGCCTGGAGCTTTGATCAAACAGAGACCCCTGTCCCACGGCAGATGTCTGGCCAAAGGAAGGAGTCTGACCAAAGGCAGACTGCTGCCCAAACAGCGTTGGCTGGTTGAAAGCAGATGTCTGCCCATATCCTACAGTCGGTGGTGCCCCACCAGCACCCCCCTGCCCAAAAGACTGAAAAATGCCTCCACTGCTGTTGGTACTGCTAGGAGCCTGAAATGCTCCGCCCTGCTGCCTACCAAACATGCTGCAAACAGGCACCAGGTTCGTTAATAGCGAACACAGTTATTTAACTTTTTATGTAACCCTATCTTCAGAGAAGGCGGGCAAGCTTCATCATCTTTCTCGCAAGACCGGAATATAAAGCTTTAAAAACATTTATTGGTCAAGTACAGTTTTAAATAACCTTTGTCTGACCAAAAATCTGGTCATTAATAACATCCGTTAAGCCTGCAAAATAAAATAAAAAATCATGAAGACAGTTTCATTTTAAACGATATACTAAAAAAAGTTAATTTGACTTCATACAGCAGTTATGAACAATCAACTCACAAAATGTCTTTACCCGCTCGTCTTGTCGATTTATATTATATAAAACGTCATAGCCAACATTGTACTTGGTCTTGTTCTGTTCCTATGAACATATACTACTTAAAAACGCACACACCGATCCCTGATGTACATAGAAATAAATATGTATTATTAAAATAATTCCAGACATTTATAATGACCTAATCATACAAGTAAAACACAACAACATTAAATACTTACGTGCTGCTGTTTATCTTTTCCTCTTGCTTCAATTGAAATCTCGTTTAGGTGTTTGTAAAAAAAACCGGAGGGAAACATTTCCCTGCGTCACATTTTTTGTGCCCCTGACTGCTACACAACCTTAATAAAAAAAGAACCGCATCAAGGATGTTTACTGTTCTAAAAAAGGTATGACTGTTTCTGGCAGATTGAATAATTCAGCTTGAAAAACCAGGTTTAAATCCATAGATTAGTGGTTGTGTGAAATACTGTAATTTTAAATGTGAAGAACCTCAACATTTGCTATTTAAAATTTAAAATTAACGGGACTAAAATATACCGCGTCTTTATGACTTGTTCATGGTAATGAAAGCTAAACGTATGAATCTTATGTAAATGTTGATTAAAATGCTTATTGCCGTTTTGTGTAGATTATTTGAAGACATACAGGTCAGGTTTTAGATTTTCTTGATAGACACGTGACAATGTTAAGGTAGTTTAGTTAATCAGGGAAGAGATCGGAAATTGCGCCAGAGTGATCTGAAGCAATTCAAAGTTAATGTCTGTTAAGAATAATGTACTACTGCACGATGCAAACCCTTCGGAAGGGAATAGCAAATTCTCGCAATGAGCATTGACATACTGCACGCACTGTGTACATTTATAATGGATAGCTTTCCTGATACCAGATCATTTTATATTGGGATTTTTAAATTCGTCTGTGTAACCCTTCCTCAAAGCTTTGCAGCAAGTGAGAACTAAATTAGGGTTGTCAGATTTTGAAAAGACAAAAACGGGCATATTTCTAAGACTAATGCTTTTGTTGTGCTCCCCCCAGCTCTTTACATTTAATCACACACACATTTGTCTCAGAGATACAGGTTTAATAACTCAGTTATTAGTTATTATGACAAATCAGTTATTTGTCTTTGTCATATCAAGTCACTCATAATCTAAAGTGTAACAATAGTATGCAACGGCAAGTACTGTTTTGGAAACGCGAAGTTCAATGATTGGCAAGCTGGTAAACTAGAATAAATTCCCAAATGTAAAATTGGAAAAAGAAATAGTTTCATATTTAACAATTTAGTTGTAATAGGGTGCGAGAGATTTTACCGCTGTAATTTTTGGATTTGCATGTGTGTGTTATGGGGTTTCCTAATTGGCCCCTGGCACAGAACCGGAAATAAACAAAACTGTCCAGGCTGGCAAATCTAACTGAAACCCACACAGGGGTTTCAGCACAGAGAACTGTATTATACTTGTTTAAATCTGAGAGTATCTGTCTGGATTTTGAGTACCTGTTACATGTTATGGGAAAAACGGCACATGGCGCCAAGAAACTCGGTACTGTTGTTCTCAAGTGAAAGATACCAACAAAATCATCCTAACTCAGATTTAGAAATACAAACAAATAGGTCACTGCTAAACAAGTCAAGCTGTATGCGTGAAGTCTAGTGTCCCGCATTAAGGTGTAAAATGCGATTCTGCTGATCAATTTTCTCTTGCCTTATTTCTGCACTGTAGATTTGCGAAGCCTGTGCTGAAGCTGGCGCCGTGTTGTTGTGAGCGATGAGTTTTGTTCTCAGAAATCTCCAGGGAGTGGTGCCTCTACGACGGGCAAAACTTCGAAGGGAAGTGGAAACACTGAGGCAGATATTGGGCATACAGAGGTTTGACCTGGGGTTGATCTGCGTGGACAACCAGAGGATTCAACACATCAATAAAACATACAGGCATAAAGACACGCCAACTGACGTACTTTCATTCCCCTTCTATGAGGCAGGTGTTTTCTTTATTTCCACCGATGGTTTTCTTATGCTTCGACAACACATTCGTAGAGGTATTTTATGTAAAGCAGGTGACCATGTATTGAATCATGTATACAGTATATTGATTCTGTCTATTGTGAAGTCTGGGCATTTTAAAAGCACACAAAAATCGTTTAAAATCGTATTTACAGTGTAAAAAAGCTTTAAGAAAAGGATTTAAAAAGATTTATACCTGAGGAGCCAGTCTAAGTCTTCAATTAAGTATGATTTTATAATTGTATCCTTTTTGCATGTATGCTTTTAGAAAGTATAAATACAGATTTTGGATATGAACTAAATGTTTTTTCAGTATCATTGATTGTTCGCAAGTGATACTTGAGTGTCATAAGCACTTAATCACCTCCTTAGTGAGGGAGTTAATTGGGCTCATGTAATAATGCTTTAACCTGTTGTATGTCAAATCTGGTTAAAATCAAGAAAACAAAAACCCTGAATGGAATCAGTATCTGTGCTTATTAAGAGTATGATGCCTTTGTGTTATTGGTATGGTGAAGCAACATCTCAGATGGACTCACTTGCAGTTGAGCCAAGTCCAACTCCATCTTTTATGTAGACTACTGTATTTTGATGGATAGCGGTGACCTTGGCACAGACATGCAGAAGGATGTGCTTTCTGTGCACAGTAAACTCAACGAATGAGAGGTTTGAGTGATTGTCCTCACTTGCTGGCTCAGTATGGAGAGCCAGTATTGCAGATGGACACAGCAAGCCCTCATGTTGCTTGTGTATCACTGGCTTTCTTGCAACATGAGAATTAAGCTGTGGATGAGCAACTTGTCCTCATTGGCCACATGTAGGATGTGCTATAACATGTGGCACATGCTTGTTCAGGCTGTATGAGAGGGATGGGAGAGGATCTCACAAGACAGCATCTCCAATCTGGTACAAAGCAAGCATCCCACAAACATGACTTGTATTGTTTCTTAACAGTGGGTGGTCACACATGCTGCTAGACATTGACAGTGGACTTTGTGAACCCTTGTGATCTTCACCACTTCTGTTAATGCAGTACTATGAATTTACCATCATTTAAAATGCAAACAAAACATAATATATAGATAAAAGCATATAATTTAAATCGAGTCATAATCATATTTTTAAATTGTATAATGCACTAGCAAGGCCTCATTTAGAATATTGTATACAATTATGGTCACCAAGTTATAGAAATCAGTCTAGAGAAGAGCAACCAAAAACATTCCATGCTTAAGGGAATGCTCTATACTGACAGACTGAAGACACAAAACCTGTTTAGTCATGAACAGAAGATTGCAAGGGTACTTTATACAGATATTCAAAGTACTCAACCCAATGGACTTCTTCAGACACAAGTGGAAACTGTGAAAGTGAGAAACTGAGAACAGGAGGTACTTTATCAAGAGTACTGTGGGAGTATGAAAATTACTCAGCCATGTTGTTTAAATAGATCCTTGGGTTCTTTCAAGAAATATCTGGATCAGATCCTTGGATCAATTGGCTACTACCTACCAAATATGCTAGAAAGACTGAATGGCCTCCTCTTGTTTGTAACTCTTAGGTAGGTCTCATCTGTTTGAGAACATTTCATCGCACCTGCTACACTACAAGATTATTTTAACAAAAATGTAAATGTTGTGAATTTTTTTTTGATGCTCGGCCTATGTACATTAGGAATGTATTTTAATAGATTACAATGTGTTGTTAAAAAGACGGACTACCATCTACTTGATAATGAGTTCTTCAAATGTCACTTTGTATATGTACAGTTAACAGTTAATCTCTCACATGTGTGATCATGTAAATATCAATGTAAAATGCTTTTAATCCCACTGGATATGAAGATGTGATCCAGAATACCGATGTAATGCAGCTGTAGTCATTTGTATTCCACTTTGGTTGAAGGATCTGAAGGCAGGTGAACTGCCCTCTCAACTCGACCGAGATGAATGTAACCTGGGAGACATCTTTTTGGGGGTGGAGTATTTGCTGAGACAGTGCAATGAGGAGGGATGGGATTTCCACAGCGCCCTCACTGTAAGTAGACGAGGGAAGTTCAGGAATCCACCTGGAAACACCTCGAAAACGGTTTGTGCAATAGGAAAAAGAGGAATTAAACTTTCAGCTTACACAAAATACCCAGCCTGAGGGTTATCAGTAATGCACTGTAATACCCGACAATTCAACACAGGTTTTTTGCTAAAACATTTTTTTTTAATCTGTCATGCCAAGAAAGACAGGTCTGCATGAGTTGAAAGGTTTAGACACACAATGAACAGAAATCAGAACTTTTGGGATACCGTTTTTCCAAAATATATGAACATCACTTAAATGTGTACTCTATCCCATATCTGTAAAAAAAACAACTCTTGTCTTTAATGTAGGCCGTAAATTAAATTCAGTCATCTTTGTAATGCTACAATAGTCCCTGATGAACAACCTTTCAGTTTCTTTATATATTTAAAGGATATAAATATAGCATAGTAAAAGTTATTTTAAAGACAATATCAATCACTGTGTATCAATAGGTAAAATACTTATGGATTTATCATTATTTTCCTTAGTTATTAAATATAATTCTTAACTTTATGAAATATATTCATTTAGCTCAAAGGTTTCACCCAAGTTCTTTGTAAACAGGTAGTTACAGCTCATGGGATTTGTCACCTCCTGGGGTACAGGCATGAAACAGAAGAAGAATGGAAACAGGTAAGGTACCTCAGAGACTGATTAACCAGATATAAAAGAGTCACTGAATTCTTGTGCACATTCCTGTCCGTTTTTGGGACTACTATGCTTAGGAGAATGTGAATTGCATGTCGGTTCTTTCAGAAGAGCGATTGGAATGATGTACATGTAAACAACTGATTATACAGTTTGGAAAAGTCTGATGTTGTATAAAAAGTTTAAATATTTCTAATACTTTTATTATATGCGTTGATTATCTTGCATTCAATTCATACAGATGTTTCAGAAAGAGTCATTTATTCTCCATGAGTTCAACAAACGCACAGGCTGCCACCTTGAACCACTTACCAAGGAGTACAATTCAGAAAAATAAACTGCAGAGAAGATGATCAACGGTCGTTAGTAGACTCCATGCAGAAAATGGATGCATTGCAGAGGCTACTGACTGACGAAAGTTTTGATTTCTGTATAGTATTAACAGTCAAAAATTCAAATGTTTGATTCAAATCTGTTTGTATCATCATAGATATACATATAAATTGTTGATCATAAATGTCATCTATAAAATGATGGCAGCATGGCACACAATCCTGGACAGTAAATGTGAATGTCTTTAACTCTCTATATTATAATCTGTATAATAAAATGAGCATTTTCATCTTTTATACCATTGTCACTTTTAACACAACCATTTAATATAACATTTTCTTCTTGGCAGGTGTGTGGCTTAGAATATTCTTTTTTATCATTATAATATTCATTTTATAGTATCAGCCTCTGAGTAAAAATGGAATATGGCCAATTAGAGCAAAGATATAATCAAGAAGATGTACAACCCTGAATGCATACTTATGACTGTATTATATCAACAATGTGCCATATCACATGGAAACTCCACTTTCCAGTATTGATACACTTTCCTTCCACATGTCTAAAGACTGTAAGACAGGCTGTTAAACATGTTTCTAAATATTAAGAAAAAAATAAGTGAAGATTCAAACACTGTCATGGTACAGTATACAAGTTATTTTATTTTAAAATGCATTAGGGAAAGTCAAATACTGGAAGCTTGGTGTATGCAAGTTCTCTAAACCAAAGAACTGTACTGCAGATCATACCACTCAAACTTTTTACCGTGACATTTCTTCATTTACTCAGCTTTATGAAGGCATTGGTTAGGAAAAAAACAGTGATGACATGAATATATCTTTCCAGATGAACCCTGAATACGAGTACTGGTCACATTGATAAAAATAAAAATATTGGTTAGGACAAGACTGAACTGCAATACTCTAGTGATCAAAATATGAACTAAAATAAATAGTTCAGCTTGAATACTTAAAAGAAATGTACGCCTCTTTAACAATTACGGATTACTTACACACGTTTGACTTACAGTGACTCTTGTTTTATTTTCAACAAATACATTCTAACCAGATTGTTTGTGCAACTTTCACAAAATAAAGCTCTGCAGGAATCTACTGCCTTTAGGAGCTCAATTACAGATTTGCTGAGGACATCCAAAGAAAAGGCTAATGCTTACAACAGTCTACTTTCCAAAAGTAGACAAGCCATCTCATCAAGAGTTCGCTTGTTAAAGGCTTTAAAACTAGTCATTAAAATTTAAATGAAGAAAAACAACAAACTGCACACAAAGAGAAGGCAAAAGCAAGCCCTAAAGTTTAATGAAACCCGCACTAAGGTGACCAACTTAAAAGCTTAAGCACATTGACAAGTTAACTACCAAAAATATTGCACCACTTTCTTGTAACTGTATGAATATACGATTTCAGACAAAAAAAAAAAGATGGAGAGCGAACACTTTTCTCCCAATAAACATGAATAATTATAAATCTTGTTTTAATAGTACTTTTCAGATAGAGGAAACAGTAGCATAGTATCTATCAGTGGTAATAAGGTTTAAGTAGTGAAAACCTGGGATATTTCATTAACCTTAAGCAACGATCAAAACCTTTACCACTTCCATAATCCTAGCAGTACCCCATTATTAAACACAGGTGAGGTAATCCAGGATAGATCACAGAAACACTTCAAAAATACACTGTGTTATAGTTGCTTCCTTGACGGTCCATGACAAACAGTAAGCAACGATTTCACAGCACTGAAAGTAATCTTGCTGTGGTAATGTTAGCAAGTGTCATTATTTTTTTAAAAGTGCTTCAGAGAGGGAAGTTGGATGGTGGTCAGTAGTACTGGAAAGTTTTTCTGCTTTTCGCATTATTAAATAACTCCATCCCCTTTGGTATTAAAGGGTTTATCAAATTCACCGTTGGCTTCTCAGAGGGGCTGCAGGACAGACCTTCCCATTTCATTATTCCCATTGGACTTCTCAGCTTCCACAAGCTCCTCAAATATATCCCTGCAATAAGATATTTATTTTATTTTGTAAAAGGTCTTAAGAAATAAGTACAAGTGAGATTTGAATGGTCCTACTGTCTGTAGCAAGGTACATCAACAATTAGGTTTCTTTTTGCAACTTTGTACAGCAGCATATGTAGTTTTATTTGGTATTAACCAAACTTTAAATTAATGTAAAAAATTTAGCTTTAGGATGTATATAAACTTACAATATGTGAGAACTATCTAATACAAACCTTATATATAATAACTTTTTACAAATTGTTTCAGTGGTGATTATGAATTATGATTAATTATGCAGTTAATTATGCAGTTTTTTTTAAGAAGGTTTATGGAGAAATGTACAGTTGTGGAACACTGCTGAAGGAAATCACTACTCCTTGCCTTTGACAAAGTATGGAATTACGAGCTTGTTCTAGTACAAGGTAGTTTGATCTATTATGATGTGTAAAACGGAAACAAATAGGAAACTGAATCCTAAAATATACATTGCAAGATTACTGTAACATGTAAATTGTGTTTAATCCTATTTTTCCGGATGGTAGAGAAAACCAAATCGGTAACATTCATATTCAAATAGGAAAAAACAGTCTCACACTGAACCTACATACCTTTTTCCTGGAATATTACAACAACAACTACAATATTACAACTATATATAACATAAGCTTTATACAGTATATAAAAACGTAACTAACCTACAGTAATTCACACAAAATATTTAGCGGATATTTTTATAGCAGTAGTCCCCTAAAGCTAAAAGGAATACACGATCTTACTTGTGCATGTAGAAGAATATATATCCACTTCTATCTCGGTCTCTCTGCACTGCAGTCTCTTGTGTCCGAGAGACATCAAGGTCATTGTAAGTCAGCCAGCACTGCTTCTTAATGTCATAAACATCACTGATGTAGTGCCCTAAGGAGAGGGAAGCGAGACATTGTGCATTGAGTTTGTTACAATTTAGTTCATGGTGCATCCTTAATTTCCAGTTGTACAAGTGTGACACGGCAATCTTAAACAACTACATTATATAAAATTAAATTAAAAATTCCACTGTTTATTCAAGTATTCTTTACCTGATGATGAACTGCTGCCAATATGACTGACCACACTGACAAGTCTGAAAGAATGGGGGAGCTCACCACTCTGTAAAAAGATACACAGCATTAATTAATGGTATCGATACCAATAATAAGTCAGTACATGGTTCCTTGTAAGAAGTCATATACAACCCTCACCTCAGCATTTCTCTTCAGGTCCTCAGCTTCAGTTTCGCTATACTCCATATCCAAGACATCCTCATTTCCAGAATCCTCATCAGAGCACAGGCATTCTGGTAAAGAATTGTTGAATTCTGAAAAATAAGACAGATCAGAGAGAAATGGAAGGATAAATATGTAAATCGCCTATTGAAAAGCAGTAAACTTTAGCAAGTAAGGTTTCAGTGTCCACTCAGTATTATGTAAAAAAAATGTTTTATAAGACAATAATACAGTGCTACCCAGTTTTAACATGTTTGTACAAAATTATAATAGGTAATGCAAACTAGTACATATTGTGCTCTCACACAAAACAGCTTAACTGCGAAGAAGAAAATTCTGACAGTTTACAGGGTGCTGAATATTAGAAATCTGCTCAAACAGTAAAAAGTCTGCTTTTACTTTAACAGTGAACTACAAATAAAGGCATCCAAGGACATTCATACGCATGATATTTTATATTTTTATAAGTAATAATTGTTCAAGTATAAAGTTTCTGCAATTCGTCTAATAGGCCTACATCTATAAAATATTTAAGTGTATTCAAACATTCAGTAGAATTATTCAATTATATCTGAATAATCAGAACACTTTTATTGACAAAATGATTTTGGAGTCCTGGAACGGAAATAAGGCATCGACTCACAAATATTCTTCATTACACATGTTGGTGCTGTAGCTACAAACAATTAAAAAGAAACTGAAAGCACATTTCTTTAACATTGGTCAACCAAAAGACATACTCCTAAAGTCTTCACAGTACAAATGTTGTGAGCCCTTTTACAATAATCATAATTTGCAGTACATAAAGCTCAGCATGTCTACTGTACATGGTCTGAGCTTAAGCTTGGTCTTTTCTTTGAGAATATTTCTAGGAGAGGAGAAAAGCTGTTTAAAAGATGCTGATATTGCTGGTATGCTCAGGGATAAAACCCTTGTTATGAAGGAAATTGCATATCATTGAAATTCCAACAGCGTAATTGGACCTGTTTCCACAAGAGAGGACAGTTTCTTCTTAAATATTATAGCATGTCGCTCCTTATGTTCCTTATGCAGAAGATCTTGCAAAGATGGTCTTCTTCCTAACTTGTGAGTAATCAATTGCTGAGTCCTGGTGATATGAAACACTGAATTTACTGAGATTTTTTTAAAAGTGGTAACACACCAATAATGTATTTATTTTTCAGTAGTAATGTTTAAATTGTCCTTAATCCAAAAAACAAATAATTTAGTAATGTCATAGGAGGGAGAGGTATATTTTAACTTCCTGCAATCCTGCTGCACCATGGCACTGTAAGTCAAGAACACTTTAAAGCTCACACATTTTAGATAAATATGAACTAACCCTTATCTTAAAAACTGAGTATTACACTATTTTGTGTGCGGCGAAAATATACATTAAATTTCAAGAAAACAAGTTTTTATAGTAATTCATAACATCACAAGGTAAAAGTACCAGTAGGTACATTATCATAGCTCATTATATAAGAGCTATTCATGAACTATTTTTCAATTTATAAAAACATGCAATAATACATTTATCATGATCTGCAGGCTTTATTTAATCACATATAGAAACCAGCCTACTGACTGCCTCTTAAAGCACCACAGCCATCCTATGCTTGCTTTAAAAACTGTGCAGATCCCTGCAGAGACATGCACTCACCTGACAATAGTGCAGAAACAAGAAAACCAAAGCTAATTCACAATCTTTAGCTATGTGCTGTTTTTTTTCTTTTGGAGATTATGTTAAGAAAATGTGCAACGTAGATTTGACAACACATATGATTTGAGTTTGACCTTTTCTTACTCTGTCCACCACATGCAGTTTAGTTTGAACAAAAAAAGTGTTTTGCCACCTGTTATGCTTCATAATGGATATCCAGAATACCTGAGTAAAATTGCATGGTGTGGGAAATGGCAATCATGACCTTACTATGTACTATACACTAAAATGGTCAGCATTGTACTAATAATTACAGGCTGAATGGGAAACAGCTTCTAAACGTTCCTGGCAGAAGAAAAGGTTTATAGCTTTCATCCTTTCCTACCTTGCAGACTCAGCTCAGTAGCTCTTTTAAGGTCATCATCCTCTTTCATTTCCCGAGCTTCCTGCCAAGATGCGCAAAAAATGTTCCACGTCATTTTGAGATGGCATGAGAAAGAATTAACTCATAAAATCCCTTTTAGAAGCAGAGATCATGTATTTAAATGCGCACATACGTGTTCTTGCAAGCTCTGAGCCAGAGCCTGCTGCAGCTCCTGCTCCTCCCGCTCCTGATCCAGACTATACTGCTGCACCCAGTCCAACTCTCCTTGAGCTTCCTCAGGGGTCTGATTCTCCTTGTTCTCATCTAGGTCCTTTGTCAGATCCAAAGAATCTAAGACATCTGGGAATGAAAGGAAACAGCCTTTGCCACAGATCAATCATATAAAATGACTGCTGAACTTATATGGCACATGATTTGCTACATTTATTAAATGGAAATAAAAATAATTTTAGTAATATAGCTTAATATACACTCTAACCTAACTTAGAGGTCAAAGTTCAACACAAATCCTGTTTACTACACTGTAAAAAATATACTTCCAAAAGTCAACAGTAGCATCACAATATATCATAATTCAGTATTCAAGGTCACTTAGTATTCAGTATTCATGGGCTCTTGTAACGGCCAATTGATAGCTGTTAAAAAAGCTGGATCTAGTACGTCTAATGCTTTAGGAAACATTACCCGAAGATGCAGGTCTATCAGAGTCAAATAGATCGGTGTGCTGCGCCAGGTCCTGCCCATCACCCTCCCCAAAGCCTGTGTCGGGGCTGCTAGTTGGCTCATCTTCAGGGGATCCCGAACGCATATTTTCTTGACGGCTCATCTCCAGCACAGCTGCTAACATTTCCTCATCATTCATCCCGTCATAGCCAGGCAGAGGATGCTCCATCTGGGGTCTCCGTGTAGGCTATAAATGACAATGTATAGAAACCTATGAAATATTTTTCATTTTGAAACTAAAAAAATTAAATAGGGTGGCCACTGTTTTGTGCAGAAAATGGTAAGCTCAAATTTGGTCACTATTTTTATAAGGGTTCTTAATGTAATGCTGTTCCTATGTATGCTATTAATAATAGTACGTATTATAAGCATTTTAAGTTTCAAGCAACAACTCACCTTCTCTGTCCTATCTTCTTCCTGAGGAGACTCACTCAGCCTGCGACTGCGACTGACAATTTTCCTGGTTAACTCCTCTTCACTGTCAGAATCCAAGATAGTCATAGTAGAACTCCCTGGTTTAAGGGAACCTTTCCTGTAAAAGAGATTGTTAACTTAAGACTGTTGACAAGCAAAAGGCACCAAACAATCTGCAGCATATCAAAACATAATTAGCTTCTGTATAAGCTTTTGAATATTTACCGAAATGCTGGTATAGTTGAGTTTACAGACTGAGAAGCCTTTAGTGTCCGAGACCTGGATAAACATTAGAACGCATTAGATTAGATAACAGAGTAAGATTTGAGTTGTCTGCAGTTTGAGTGACAAAGATAAAAAAAAATATTTGAGTATCGTAAAAAGCCTTCAATAATAATAAATGTGGTTTGAAATATTATTTCACTGCCCCTATAAAATAATACTATAACAAATGGACAAATATTCCATCCATTAATGAAACAAAACAATGTCTTAAACTGGAACTGAAGCTATTGGTCAAAAACAGCTTTTAAGCATTATAAAATATACAACACCATTTTAAACTTTAGTCTCAAAAAAGAAATATTAATAGTAACAGTAACATGGAGATTAATATTAATAATATATTTTCATGACTTACGCTGCTGAATTTGCGTTCCAGCCAAGACTTAAGGGCGGTCGTGTAGAATCAGTGCAATGTGAGAGCAAAGTGAGGTATTTGGGGATCAAGACCTGCTGACCCAGCTTGCTGTTGAGTGACAGTTGAGCATTGTAACTGTATCTTTTTAAATGAAGGATCAACACCCTGTAAAGGGACATCAAGAACTATTATCCAACCTTTAGCAGACTGTGATTTCATCTTCTTTCAAAAGTTATTTTTCTCAATATCTTCCTCCTCTTCCCTCTCCTTACTCAGGATAATACAATAACAATGATCACAAACAACTTATGAAAATGTTAAAAGTAATTGTAAAATGTAACTTTGGTATTAGTCAGCTTTCTAGAGAAGAGTTTAAAGATCCCATACTACAAACACATTGGTACTTCGCAAACCATTCTGTCTCCTGAACAAAATACACCATCTAACATAAAACTGACATTTTTATTGCCTGCAGCAGTTCTTGCCTTCCATTTGATGTACATCTAATCATTTGGCTCAACAACCGATAGCAAAAAAGATATTAGAAAGGCCAAGAGAGAAAGGAAAAAGAGTCCAATATCCTATGGAGGCTAAAATAAAATAGCAAAAGAACCATAAAAAGTGAAGTAAAAGGCATCCAGGAGACAAATAGGAAACTTCTAGACAATGAAAGGGAAATGGCTCGGGTACCAAACAGCTGTTTTACCCAAGCTTTCACTAAGGAAAAAGTCAGCAACATATTTCAAATGTATAAGACAGCTAGAGAATAGTCTAGAGGGTAAAAGGATCCAGTAAAAGGGGACAGTTAACTTGAATTAAAAAAAATGTACATATTGTCTAACTTTAAACAAGCAACAACAGTAATATACCTCATAATGGACTGCTGTTAAATTATGTTGGAGAATTTGGAATTAAAATTAAAAGATGGTTAACAGATCAAAACCACTACAGATAAGGGGCAAATACTCAAACTGAGACAATGTTATCAGTGTAGTATCAGAGGATCTGTAAAACTCAGAGACGATCAGCCAGATACATTCTGGAGCTTAAAGCAATGCGTTGATGAACTGAATGAACTTTAGTCATGACCAAAGAAGACTGCAAGAGCACTTGATACAAGTATTCAAAATAAATTCTCAAAGGAATTGACAACAGCAACCTACAGGACTACTTTGCAATCAATAGGAAAAAAAACACAAACTAGAGGACTATGTGTATAGAACATTAGAAAACACACTTTAGTTTACTCCTGGAGCACTATATGAAACCAAGGAGCACCACAGGCAGTTGAAGTGCCAGAGGAAAGCTCGTTAGCAACATGATGAACTTAATTCTGATTGCTCTCTACTCATGTACTTAATGGGGACTGAGTAAACAGTTTGTGCTTAAATGGAGTTTAGCAGGCCACTGAATCAAACAGGATTTAATGCCATACACAAATTTACACTACCCTTCCCAGCATATGAAGGCTCTATAAATAGAGCTCTGTAAAATGTAATATGTTTTTTAGATGCACAGAACCTACCTGGGCAGTTTGCTAAATTTATGCATAACTGTTGCAGATTTCCCGCTGCATTTCTCACAAGAATATTCTATCTCCTCCACCTAGATAAAAGCAAAGAATACACAACAGTATGAAAAATGCAGTTTACCCATTTTAACACCACTCGTTTAAATAAAATGTACATTGCCATTATTATATGAATAGCAGAGATTTCAATATTGTTCCATATAACATGATACTAAAATCTTTAAATGCCTTTCCAGGTACAGATATATTGTATGAAGCATAAGGTAGTGTTGTTAGATTTGACTGTAATCAAGTATGTGTCACATTTTATATTGATTTACAGCCCTGATATCTTTGAGAGCACCAACCCTGAAGAAGAGATCTAAGGAGTCCTGAATGGACCGCAAAGGAAGTGTTTTCTTTCTCCTTGGCAAATCAATAGACAGGTCATTAAACTGCTCCCGTTTTGTGACAATCTCTCCACAACTAAAACAAAAAAAGAGAAAAAATCAGCATTATTAAAATACAAATTGTTTTTAGAGCTCAGCACAAGGTCAACAAAAATGCATTTACGGCATGAACTGAAAATAAAATCTACTGGTCTTGCGAACTGGAAAAAAAAAGGGTTTCAAAGATCATACATCTTTAACCCAGTCCTTCAAAGTGAATACTCAATTTTATAACTCTGCTCACCCTTTACAAGTGATAGTGTGCTGCACTTCAAACTCCATATTAACCACCACTGGACAGGTGTAAATTCGTGAAGATGTTGCTTCTTCTCCTGGCCGTGCTCCCTGGGGGTCCTCCCAAGACTGAGGCTCATTTTTCCAGGTTTTGTTAACTTTTTCCACATCTTCTTTGAGCTGGTCTAGGCACTGACTGAGAAATTCATGGGCATCCTGTGCAGAGATGATTATGATTATGTTTTACTTTCATTAAAACAATCACTACAGAACTGACTACACCCTCAATGGAGAATTTCATAGAGGCTATGTCTAATACATATACCGTACAAAATTAAGCTAGCTATTTTTCTACTGCTCCCAGTCATATCAAATATTCCACACCATCTAATTGGAAAAGTTGAATTAATCAATAAATACAGCTTAAACAATACATGTAACAGAAACAGTTTTTTCCACCCCACAAACTATTAGAACCCATGGTGTAGCACATGATGCAGTGAACCAGGTAAAAAACAATATATCACCAATGGTTCCTTAATTCATGGAAGCTTAGTCTTATCTGCCAGAGGAACATGTGCATTAGAAGAAATACAGTCTTATTGCTGAAAAAATATCAACTTTGCTGAATCTGTTTTGGTATTTAGTTTCCTATGATTAACAGAAATTCAAATAAAATCTTTAGAAATAAAGAGAAACAAACACATGTAATAGTTTTCATTCTCACATTTTGCATGTATCCAGAGAACCGTTCTGCAGTGGTAGAGATGGAACTCTTAACTTTCTTCAGCAGATCCTTCTTAACCTCAGGACTACAAATGTCTTTCTTTGCCAGCAGATGAGCAAAACGCCTTCCAGAAGCAAGGCAAAACAAACGTGGAATTAAATAAAGATTGATAGTACAATTCATGACACTAAACAACACAAGTGGCTTTGTCGGACACAAGACCGACCGATTCTATCGAAAAAAAAATTAATGAAAGTCTTTTATGCTGTATAAAAGGAACTCAAATATAAAATCTTTATTAAAGTTTACGCTTTCTTTCAGACAAAACTGAAATCCAAGAAATACATATGGCCTCATTAAAAATCAGCATTAGTAAAATACAAATGTGTTTTTAAGCTCAGCACAAGGTCAACAAAAATACATTAATGCCACAAATTGGAAAAAAAAAATCCAGAATTCAGAATTAGTCCTTTCAAGAGTTTTCTGAAGTTTGCAATCTACGGAAAGCATATACTAACTTTTAAAGTAGTTTAGCTGTATCTGAACTTTTGTTGTGCTGGAAATCCGTGTGTGTTTGTTAATACTGTACCTCAGAAGTGCATTAATGGGAACTTTTTTCCATGGAATTCCCTGCTTTAGCAGGTCATTGGAGAACGACTGCAGACTGAAGAGGGACTGTAGTATAGCATTCATGTAACAAGTATTTCCCAAGTTGGAGAATCTAAAAAGCATGAAAGTTGAAACCTTATCAATCAAGGAAAACCACTGAACATCACACAGAAATGAACAATGCATCTACTTCTGTTCTTCCTTTGCTTGACAGTCTCAAATGAGATCATATATTCCATTAAGTATGTTTTATTTTTAAACATTTGTTGTGAAACCAAATAAAAGCCATACAGAAAACATTTAAATAAACTGCCAATACTACTATCCTAAATTAATGTTTACAAACACTGCAAACCAGGTTTCTGTCTTAGAACCCCATTATTTTTTTCTGAATTTTACTGATGACAAACCAAGCAAAGAATTTGGCTGTTCATATGATGTTTGGTACTCAAAATACAGACATAGGTTATCAATTCATTTCCTTACCCCTGTAGCTGAGGTTGGGTCTGGGTGAGAAAAGACAGCCTTGGCTTGTTCCAACCTGTATAATCCTGACTGGGCCGAACTTTTTTCAAGGGAGTTGAGTGACTGGGAAATAACAGGCTCCTTTTTGATGAAGGTGACTGACTTGTACTGCTTGGTCTATGTGAAAAACAGACAATAAATATACTTTATTCTGTGAACTACCAGAAGTGCAGGGCTGCACAAGTAACTACAGACTCTTGCCAGCAAGTTTGATACCTTTATAGTTCTGTTATTTCAAAAGAATGGACCAAGATGTTTAAGAATGACCTCTGACTGCAACAATCCTGGTGCAGTAAGAAAGGTCTGCATCTTACTGACATCTCAACTTGTTAACAATTCTGATGTCAGGAAGTTCCAAATATATTACGTTTATCAGTTCTTCACATTCACAAATATTATTTCTACATTAAATAGAAATCTCTTTCTTTAAATTTACCTGTCTAGGAAAGAATTTCCCTGCGAGTAGTCTTTAGTCACAGATCTGCTACTGTAGAAAGACGAAGGCTGTAGTGGTGCAGGACCTTCAAAGAACAAAAAAGAGAAACATGAAAGAGTTGTGCAATACTCTGCAGCATTTGAAATTCATTAAATATAGGTATTCTAGGTATAACCTTGACCTCAGCCAGGCAACAGGTTATGACCTATGCAAAGTTTAACCAAATGTTTAATTGTAGGTGTCTCAGCAGAATGCCTTGATCCATAATTTACTGCTAACACAATTAAACTATGACATGGAAAATCTGCCCATTGTTAGCTAGCGCAGCGTTATTTTTAGACAGGATGTATATTAAGAAACTTTTGTATATTACAGAAACTTTCTGGTCTGCACTTTGCCTAACTTTTCCTTCTCCTAAAATACAGGACGGCAGAAAGTCTTTTATCTAATTGTTTCAGAGCACAAAACACATTCTGTTCTCAATGACAGTATTACTGCAAGCCTGGGTCATGTCATGGTCACTCATGATTTTGACGCTTATTCCCCAAGTGGTGGCACAGAACTGGCTGAGCACAAGCCAGGGTAGGATGGGATTAACTGGCAACTCTTGGTTACTGGCAACACAGTGAGCCATGGCTTCCTGGGCAATTGCAGGCTTGAGATGCACCTTTCCTCCAATCAGAGCTCAGCTTCCTGCACATAGCTGAGGAGCTGGTGACTTGTCAAATTGTTTAAGTACCTAAACACCAAGTGCATTAATCAATCGTTCAAAGGAGAAAATCTTGTGTGAAGCACTTCAGTTATTTCATATACTAAACACTAAATGTGGGACAAAACCTAATTGTTTTTTTTTATTATTTAGAAAGTTACTATCATGTAATAAGTAATGATAAGCCAGTAAGTGGAAAAACCCATACCTGAGTTTCTGTTCTCCTCAGTCTGCTTTTGACTGAGCTTCTCTTTGCAGCTAATCAGAAATTTGCGAGCAGGATCTGAAGTTGCCTTGTTATTGCTAAAAGAAAGAAATACTTCATGTAAGTAAAATTAATTCTGATAAACAAATGACCACTTCCACTGAAATATGCTTAATAAAATCCTCAATGAAAGAAGCACTTTCTAGGTATTTCATATTTACCTTTATTGTAGCAATTCAACTAAATGTCATTCAAGCAACAGAAACGGAGTCTACAGCCCCAACTTACTCGCGCATCATGCCTTTACAGCTACTTCCAAGCAAACACTGGAAATAACAACTCTTTTCAACAAACACAACGTTCATCTAGGATATTAAATTTTAGGCAGACAGTTAATTGTATGGCATAGACACAAGATCACTCAGTTTAATCCACAAATGCACCACCTCTGAAACGAGTACGAACCAAAGAAACTCAGACCTGGACGAGTCATTTTCTTTGGGGTAGTCCTCATTCAGGTCGCTCTCAGGAGTCAGCAGCCTCTTCCTCTTCTCACTTCTGGAAACAGAGGGAAGCATTGTGAGCAGGGCGGAGCGGTGGCTCTGTGGTTAAGGATCTGCGCCTGTGACCGGAAGGTTGCCGGTTCAAATCCCGCGGCCGGCAGAGGAATCCTACTCCGTTGGGCCCCTGAGCAAGGCCCTTAACCCTAACTGCTCCAGGGGCGCCATACAATGGCAGACCCTGCGCTCTGACCCCAAGCTTCTCTCCCTGTCTCTGTGTCTGTGTCTCCATAAAGAAAAGCTGGGGTATGCGAAAAGACGCATTCCTAATGCAAGAAATTGTGTAGGGCTAATAAAGAAACATTATCATTATTATTATCATTACATTAGCAGGGGTGCACCAGAGCAGCCAGGCAGTGAAAGGGTTGCCTGAACTATATCTTTACCACGAATGTGGGATCTCTCAATCTGAATGTCCTGTACCTGCTTTCCAAATGTCCACTCCGAACTGGTGTAGCGGCCACCCGGCTTGGGCTGCCCAGGGGTTTCCGGACGCTGTTCTCTTCTCTGTTCTCCAAACTCGCGCGCCTAGGAGGTGTCTAACCAAGGAGAGGCAACAGACAGCGTTTCACTTTTTTTATAACCTTGGCAATTTGTTTCAATTTCTTTAGAAATTTTAAATGCAAAAATAAACATTAGAGATACAAGGGTATCAAAGAAACAAACCTGCCGCTTTCAACAATCATACAAAGATTACTTTTAAAGTACGGGCAACTTAAATCTGGCACAAAAAAAATCCATTACTCAGTACCCTGGAAATACGTGTTCTAGATAACGCTTGAAATTGGACAAAAAAAGAATTTAGCAGTGTAGACTTTTGCGTTTAGATTGGAAAGAAAATATGAACAGAAAATACAAAAAAACAATTAACTTGTCTGGCATGTCCAATCTTCGCAAAATACAAGGAAAACAAATATTTTTGATCAAATGCAGAATGCAACTCAGGGCTTACCTACATCAGCAGAAGATACTTCTGCCTATATTTCTCATGCTTGTTTTACTCAAGCCTATTCTACCAATGTTTCAATGAAAAGCAGTCTTTGATCTCTACCTGTCTTTCTGTGCTGGGTAGGTGTTGGCTAGAGTCATTCTGTATTGACCGGTTTCCAAGTATACTGCCAAAGCTTACAGTTCCCTGTGATGGCTTTAAAACTAGAATTAAAAAACAAACATTAGAGTTAAACACAACTTAAGATATACCCATGCTAAAGCTTCAGAACTATTTTAGCAATTTGTTCTGCATTTATTGTGATGTTAGAAGTAAGATTTGGAGTCGTCATCATTTTTATGATTAACAAGGGCCACAAATATTTTTTTATAAGAAGCCTGAAATCCTTTATATCCTTGTTAATTGTATACAAGCCTCACAACTCATCATGTTTGCTTTCTTTATTATATTACCTCATGAAAACAAAATACAATACAAAACGTAACCAGAATAAGATCTCATATGCAATACATATTCTTATTAGGGAAGATATGTACTGTACCTGTCTGTTTTCCCTGCTTCAGTTTCTCCAGGTAATCCCTGAATTTTTGGGCCAATAACAAGGGCACTTTATCAATGATTAGGCTACTTGAGTCCTTCAACACCACCTGGATGCGGCACTGATTCTGTTTAGGCCCCAGTGACACAGTCTTCACATTCTGGTTTAGCTGTATTGCAACAAAAAAATGCGCCATTTTAAAATTCATTTGTCTATTCGATCTCCCACCAATCCCCGAGTACAAGTGTCCTTCCTACTACACTTTTCTATTGACACCTTTACTCTCTCTGAACAGATTCATTTCAAAGAAGAAATGGTTATAAAATTCAGAATATTATACATAAAAAATATGTAGAAATACCTTAAAATATTTTTGCCACTTGTTTTAGTCTAAATGCCTTTTCTTTTTTTTAATTATTACTCATTTAAAAACTATTTATTTTGATATTAAATACCCTCCAGAGATGTTTCTATCCCCACTGAAAAGGAACACAAGTCAAAACACATCAGAATAAGTTACAGACTGGATAATGTGTTTGCTTACAACAGTTCTAAACATGTTATACAGAACCTGCAACTGCACTGCAGTGAGCAAAGTCATATTGATCATAAATAACTGAATTCTAGAAAATACGAGTGTCATGTTTATTCACAACTGTTTTAAATTAAATCAGAACACAGAAAATCTACAAAACCAGTGTTTTTTAGAAACGAAAAGCCACCAGAACTATACAGTGACCTCTGTTGGTTCCCCATGTCCTTGAAATATAAAGGATTTAACACACCTCTCACTGGAGCCCTCTGAAGACTATCCATTGACCTCCTAAAAACAGGGGATGGCAATGAAAGAAGCAACATACAGCTGAATCTATCACTTTTCAATGTTGTGCCCATTATTAAGAACATCAAGGTGGGAGGTTAACTCCGTTAGGAGGAGGACACAAGCATATCTTGCCATCATGACATACTGAAACGTGTTTCGGGAGGCTCAGAAATCTAAAGACGACAACTGGAGATCTCCAACCCAAACTGGCATCTTCGGGATACAAAGTATAGAAAACTGACATTCAATGTTGTCTGATGTAATGAAAGTTAAAAATTAAATAAAAATTAAGACTTGTGCATGCTCATTAGCATTCTGTTTGGTATAAAAAAGGGGAAGCTCACACTGAGAGAACAGTATACATCCAAACCAGCAAACGAATGGTTAACAGAACACAAAGTAAATGTTCTTGACTGGCAATCTATATTACCAGTCACCAAACCAATCTAACATTTGTGGTTTGAACTATAGAAGGCAGTTCACAAAAAAAAAACAATCATCTTAAGGACCCGGAATACTTCTGCCTGGAGAAGTGCTCAGAAATCTTCTATAAGAAGCACCAGAACTATACAGCACACTGCAGGAGGTGCCAGTGTAATCTATGCCAGAGGAGGATTAAAAAAATACTCACTACGGGAATGTGAATAAAAGTGATCCTTGTACTTTCGGAACTTGATTATGACAAATATGACTTTGCTTTGTGCAATGCTAATAAGATTAAAGTATGTATTACAGCTTTCCATTAAATGATGTATTTTGTTCCTATTTCAACAAGCGTTTGGATAAATCTGGAAGATCCTGTACAACCATATATATGTACCGTTTAGTAAGTGCACCATATGCTAACATGCCTTAAAGAACAGGCAAAACAGCACAATTTAGGAAAATAGTACAAATTTACCATCTGTTTTCTTCAACCTCATTCCTAACAGAGGTAGGGTGAAACACATGAAGCTCTTTCGATCTGAAAGACAAGTAAACTGTACCTGAAATATTTTGGGGACTCCTCCACTGTTGAACCTCACAAAGAGGTTGACTTTGTTGTCCTTCTCGTGGATCTCAAAGCTTCCTTCCTTCCACTTGGTGGTACCCAGTTGCAGGCTGTTGATCCGGACGCTGCCTAACAGTTTTGGCACAGTGGCTGCCATGGCTTGAAGCACAACAGACACTGGGTCACTGGATCTTCAAGTGACACCTGGGCCAATGGACAGCCCTATGTAAAACCTGAACATTTAACAGAAGGTTTCCAGTTAGACAGCTCATTTAAGGTTACTTGTAATACTTTTGAGGATAGAAACTTTTCTTGTGCTTATTCATACTAGTACTATATTTTTTATACTCTTAAATTCATTATGGACCTATACATCATTTTTCATGGGAAGCACAAACATTACATAATTGCCTAAAAACAGCTGGTTCACAACATCCTTGTCCGTGTTCAGTATTAAAACACCAATAGCTAAACATTTCTTGGGGTTATAATCAAAATGACAGGTGGTGTATACAAAGAATGAAGCAACACACCAGACTAGTGACAAATCAAAATAATAACGTTCTGGGGTGAATCTAATTGCCATGGGAGAAGGACTTCACCAATGTGACATCCAAAGATGCAGCTGCAGCCCATGAAAGTTCTACAGATAAATTCCCAGCCTTCTTTGCTTTCGTTTTGATCAATGATGGCTTAAAATATTTTCAAAACCCCTGCTCTATAACTATTATCAGAACATGTGCTGATGTCTAAACACTTCATGTCTTGGGAGGCAGGAGAGCATGACACATCCCACCAAAATTGCAAGCACTGCGGATAGACGTAGTAATTACAAACATGCAGGAACATTAATTTTGGCAAACTGTGGAACATTATTTAACAGATACGGAGCACCTTTCAGGGGAGGCGGATTCAAAGCCGTGCATTGAAACACTTTTGACTTAACACGGGGAAGCCGAAGTCCACTGATCGTTGTGTGAGACGCGCTTACAGTATTTTCACACTCATTCAGAACCATCGCTTTTAAACGATACAGCATGGAATCTAAGCACCAGACCATTGCGACTAGCAAAACCAAATCTAACGCACAAAAGAATGCAATGAGTAAAATACGCTAAGCGTATCTTACTACACCAGATCTTTAAACGATTGAGGATACCATAGATGGGGCCCGTGCTATTGCAGAAATCAAACAGCTTTCACATACAGTCACCAAACTACTGTCCTCTGCTGTTAAGTGTCTGAGAAAATCACGGGGAGCTGCCCACAACAGACTGCAAAGACACACGTGCACAGAGGCCAATAGCGAAGTACAATTTATTCCACAATACAGGTCAGGAATCACAAATACTGAATTAAAACAGATGCGCCCGCAAATCGTGCTGCTTCGCCGTATTTTGAACTGCGAAGATTTCCAAGTGTTACTTTTTTGCGTGTGTCCGAGAAATGGCACTTTTCTTGAAGTTCGTGAAGGGAAATCACAGGGACAAGACTGAGAGCAAACAGCCCGAAATTCAACGGCGACGAAAAAAATAGACACGAGAGTGAAAAGCTGGTTTCAAAGAGGCGATGCATTTTAACAAGAACACACAAACAGCCCTGGACGTGCACGACAGTCCCCATCTTCTCAGACCCATACATCGCCACTTTCTCCGGCAACATTTATTTAGAACGGAACTACCCCCAGGTTTCGGGAGATTCCGTTTTCTGGAACGTCGTCGTGGGCAGGGATAACGAAAACCGGCAATCACATTAAAGGCCGGGATAATGACAGCCACTGTCAGTAATTTGAATAACAAGAAGAGGAGGAACGCAGGACTCCGGCAATTACAACGAATAATGTCTTACGTGCAAAAGAAAGCGTTCGGTTTCCACGCTTTCCTATATTTTGCGTATACTCCCCTCTCGTCTCCTACGGGCTGATAGCCGTGTGGCCGGCCTCCGGTAGCAACTATGTTGTTATCGTTGACAGTCGGTCCAAAACGCAGCCCCACCGGTGTGTATGATGGCGGGAACGTGAAAATCAACAACGGAAACCCGGCGCGAGAACATGCGCTGTGGTATCGCGCGACAGAGTGGCATGGCGAGAAGCTGCGCAGTGCCTTGGTTTTCTTCCTGTACTGTAGTTTACAGGGGTCAAGGGGTTGGTTACTTTTAAACCTATAAATATTCTTACCTGCTTTAAGTATAAAATGTGGAAACCTTTTTTTTTCTCCTTTAATGGAGCATAGACTTGAGCGCACATAGATAATTTTGGAACTCCCATAATCCCTTAATATTGTGGTGTAATTTAAGAGAAAAACTAAACGTTTTCAAAAGTTTTCTTGCTTCTGGCTGGGGAATTCTCTTTAAAGAAGTATGTCTCAATGAGGACCCCTAATATTTTAGAAAGCACTGTGGGACAATAAATACATTACAATAAACTAGTTTACTTTGGAGTCTAGACAGTGGGTCCGGGGCTGAAAGATTGCTATTTGTAAAAGACTGCTAACATACTTTCATTTTTTTTCTTATTTTTAATACAAAAAAATTAACAGTGTAGAGCGGGTGAAAACACACGTAATTTTTAGTGTAGGAATAAAGCCTACTGAAATACATAACTTAATATGCTCTATAGGTTTGATTAAAAACTTAAGCTTTTGAAGGAGTGGAAGCCATTCAGCTCCTCTACATTGTTTGGTAGTTAATAGCAAATCGATCCAAGAATCTCATCAAACCATTTGTCAAAAGAAGCTCTTATAATTAAATAATCTTACGGCATGTAAGACATGTCTAGATTTTTTTATATCAGGAAAAAAGAATTAAATAAAATATTGGCCAGCCCTTGTGAAATATATATCAGGGACTTGTGCAATACATTTATATTTCTATTCAGTTATGTAACCCAAATATTGGCAACGCAAAGTTGAGAGGTCACGCAGAATCAAATTATATCTCTTTAATTTGTTTTCGATTTTATTTAATATTTTGTTAAAATCCTAAAACTATACGAATGTAGCATTTGTATAGATCGGTGTAAAACAATAACTGCAGCCTTATCAATTATTGTAGTTTGTGTTTTTTTTTCGGAAATGTGCGCGCGAGGTGAAAGGTCAGAGGTTACAATTCCGGCGCTTGCTGGATTTTCTCTCTGTTTTTGGAAACAGAGCATATATTAATATTAAAAGAAAGTAAAGAAATCCAACGGAATTAAAATAGGGACTCCGCAACATTCAGGCGATCATATCCAGGCGCTTCAGAGAATGTTGGCTACAGGGGCGGTAAGATTTTATTTAAAAGTACTTTATTCCTGAAGATGCTCTAGGCCTCGGTGAAATTTAAAATTTTGACGCAAGTGTAGAGACTCCTTTAAGACTCGATTGGCTGTTAAGTGATTTCACGATCCGATAAAGTTTGTTAAATATTTATTTGTTCTGTTTATTTTAGAGAGTGGGTTTAAAATATTCTCTTTCTAATGCAAAAAAGGGTATTCAGTACAGGGGTTAAAAACTACGGAAGCATCATACACAGGAGGCAGTTCAGGTCTGTGAGAAAAACAACGGCATGGTGGAATTTCATACTGGTGGACGATGTAGTTACAAAACTTGTAGGTTGTTTTCTAGATGCAGTTAAAGTGCGAGTAAACCGACACCTTGTATTTTATATATATACACCAGATAATTCAACTTAATGCCAGTGGACCAAACTGATTAAAAACTGATGAAGTGAAGTTTTAGCAGCAGGTCAACTTGAAATGTTGTATTGTATTAAGAAGGGACTGGTTGGTGGAACTAGTGTTTAGTATGGATGTTGTCATTTTATGTTTTTTGCTCTGCATTTTTAGAATCCCGACACTACATTAAGGGTGTAAACAAATACCTTTTTAAATTGTTTTCCTAGTGCTTTTTCATAATTTTGTTGATAATCAGACATTGAGAGCTTGATAAGGGTTACCATATTTGAACATTTAAAAAAGGGGTACACTCCTTCGAGAGGGCTATTTGTACCACTATTCAATTCAATTCAAGGTGCTTTATTAGCATGACCGATGGGTACAATCAGTGTTGCCAAAGCAAAGAAAAATAATAAAATTAACATAGAACAAAACAAAAAATAGAAGTAAAATAAAATCTACAGACATGTTACAGACATTTACAACAAAGACATATTATATAATATCGACATATACTGTAGGCGGCTGGAGCATTATTGGGAGACGGACTCACTGTTCCTCAGGCTGTGACAGGAGATCACATACTGGGCTGCCAGATCAACTGAGTTCCCTCCTCCCTCTCCCAGTAGGATTGGGACCTGTTGTGGTTTTGGCAGGTGTGGGAACTCTGGGATTAGATTTCTGAATTTCGGGAAGAATGTTTCTCTAATCCCAGAGTATCTGTCACAGTGCAGTAGGAAGTGCACCTCTGTCTCTATTTCTCCCTGCTGGCAGTGGGAGCACAGCCTGTCCTCTCTGGGCAGCCAGGTCTGCCTGTGTCGCCCAGTTTCTATGGCCAGGTTGTGGTCACTGAGCCTGTACTTCGTCAGGGTCTGTTTCTGTTTGTTATTTTTTATTTTGGTCAAATATTCAGCTAGTGTGTATTGTCTGTTTAAGGTTCTGTAGCATTCCAGTTTATGTTGTGTTTGTGTGTGTGTGTCCCAGTGTGTGAGATATTGCTGTTTGATCTGTGCTGTGATGTGGTTGAGTCTGGGTTGTGGTGCTCTAGCAGTGCTGTCCTGAGGCTGGTTAGTGTTGGTGTGGCTCAGGTCGGTGAGCCTCAGGACCAGCTGGCTCAGGGGGCTCTGTTTTGGGCTCAGCTCTTGGCTGAGCAGGGCTTTGTGGTGGTAGGAATTTTGGTCACTGTTTTTTAGGTGTAGCCAATACTTTAATATTCTTTTCTGTATGTTTATCAATAGTGGGTACTGGCCTAATTCGGCCCTGCACCCGTTGTTAGGAGTTTTTCTCTGCACACGGAGGATGATTCTACAGATCTCCATGTGCAGAGTTTCTGTGGGGTGTTTGTCCCATTGGGTGTAATCCTGGTCTGTGAGGGGACCCCAAACTTCACTGCCGTATAGGGCAATGGGTTTGATTACACTTTCAAATATTTGAAGCCAGATTCTTGTTGGTGGGTTGATGTTGAAGAGCCTCATTCTTATTGCGTAGAAAGCCCTGAGTGCCTTCTCCCTCAGTGCCTTCACTGCCAGGTCAAAACTCCCGGAAGAGCTTTGTACCACTATCTATTAGACCTTTATTAGTTGTATTACGGTTGTATATTCTGTGTACTACGTTTCGTCTATAAGTCTATATTGATCTGCAAAATTATAAAAACCGTTATGGCCTCAGAGATACTTTATTCAAATTTTACTGTATCTCTTTATATGTAGTCCTTTTCCTTCACCAGTCCTTAAGTAGTCTTCCTCCTGATGTGCCCAAGCAAATGTCTATGTAGAAAGCAGGTTTCTCAGCAGGAGAGAAGACGTTGTGGAAGTCTTTGCTAGAGGTTTGGCTGAAATTGTATGGAACAAGTAATATCCTTTTCAAGTTGTTTTACCTTGTCCACTGGCTTTACATGTGTGGAAAACCTCACTTTACATTCCTATCTTGAGTAGGAACAGCAAAGAAGAAGTATGCGGCTTTAATAGCACTGAGTTCCACTTGGTGTTTTTTTTTTACTTTTCAAAGTATTTGATCCACATCTGGTGTGATTAAATTCTTCATTATTATCTCAACCTCCTATCAATTTCTTTAGATTATTGACCTAATCAAAATACTTCACAGCATCAGTTACTGCCTCCTTATCAATCAGATCTTTGACGCAAGGTTCCACATCAGCCCAATTCAGTGTTTCACTCAGGACAATTTGTTTAAAACAAGAGAAGTCTTCAAGGGACCTCTTCTACGTCTTGAAATATTCTGAGGATTTACTATACAGATTATCTGTTTTATCACATAATGTGTCACACTCTTCAACAGATCCTTCCATGTGCATTTTCTGCCAGTAGTCCCTTACTTGGGAATATTAGAATCAAGCTTGTTATCACTTCCAAGACAGAGCTGTTTTCCCTTTCAGTTTCTTGGATATATGTTTGGAATAAACTCATGAATGCTCAGAGGTAACACTCACTTAATTCATACTCAGAATGTCTTGATCAGAGTAGGTGGTTTGTCCTATAACAAAAATGAGGAGTTAAAAGCTGGAAACTGTATCAGTCTTGTAATGTCTGGAAAAAATGACAGTTATGTCGTGCCATGAGAAAATATCTTAGGACATTCAAAATCTATAAACCCTGGATTTGCTGGATTACCTGATTTGCTGTCTGGTTATAAAACATAATCTGCCATTTTTGATGATGAGCTCTCCTCTCCAACTGCTTTCTCATGCTTGTGTGAGTCCACACAAACTTGTAAATCATTTGCACCTTTGTCTACCACAGAAGTACCAGGTCTACATACCAAGCACTCAGCTTCTCATTCTTCTATCCTGCTTGGAAAACATAGCAATATTGTCTTTACTTCTGAAGTGAATGAGTATTTTTGGTTTGGCATTGTGTTTAGGGATAGCAAAGTAAAAAAATCAAATAAAGCTCTCTTGAGCAAAAGCTACTGTGCGCAGTCCAGAATCAGATAAGATACTGAAATTAGTGCTGTGGCTGAGCCAGTGTGGAGGTTTTGGGAAAAATCCTCTCTCTTTGGAATGAAAACTGAATGGGGCAGAAAACTAGACACTCCAACTATAACCAATACATAGTCTTGCTCACGAATAATCAGCACTCCATTTCACATTCAAAACCTTTGGAGACAAAGATATTAAGAGGAAGATATTAAGATTTGAAAATTCCTCCCAGACAGAGATCTAAGGCCTACAGAGGAGGACATGTCTGGGGGAAAAAACAATATGGTAACCCTAAACATGTTTCAATTACAAAACCAAACACAAGTCAGAGTAGTACAGGACTATGTTAGCTGTAATTAAAATCTAACTGTATCTACTATATCTGTCTTAGCTTACATAGATATAGATGATACAGTTAGATGTAGCTGTTCTATAGCAGGTTAATATAATTTGTTATCACAGTGCTGTCATCTTACTGTTTTAACTTTTTATGGTGAGATTATTTTTCATGTATTGTTGTTGCACTGTGTTGGAAAGGAGATACCATTTGAAAGCTTTACAAATGGCAGTCTACAGTACCTAAAGTGTTTTAAATGGTTTTCATTATTACAGTAGCAAAAATCCAAATATCAAAATCCGTTTGTAGGCTCCATTCTCTCAGACCGTCTGCATTCTTTCCTTGCAGGCTGTAACCACAGCGCTGGCGCAAGTGGATAGGGAGAAGATCTATCAATGGATCAACGAGCTGTCAAGTCCAGAAACCCGTGAGAATGCCTTGCTGGAGCTCAGCAAAAAACGGGAGTCAGTACCAGATCTGGCACCCATGCTCTGGCACTCCTGTGGTACCATAGCTGCTCTCCTGCAGGTATCTAGTGCATCTAACCTCGGCTGTGAAGGTTGAATTCAGACTGCTTTTGGAATTATAGTTTTTTTTTTATTAAATTGGAAGAACCTGGGGTGTAAAACATAATCCAAATGTACACTCAGAATGTGCAATTTTTAGTAAAGTTCTCTTTCTCTTCTGGTTTTGGCCTTAAGACTTTCATAGTGGTTTAGAAATTTGTCTTGAAGCCCATGAGGTGACTGACATGCAAATATATTTATTTTGAAAGTGTTTTGGAGTTTATGTAAAATGAAGCATTTGAATATGTTATAATTTGGCATAATTCAAGATAGCGTTATTTAAGGAAATAAAGAGTTGACATAGCATGTGACATACATTTCTACTAAATGGGTAGATATAAACACTACAGCTTAACTTTATGGGTTTTGGCATTCCTTTAAAATGAAATGTTTTGGCGAGAAACTTTGCAACATTGTTTTTGTTATGCTTGTTTTATGGTTAATGGTCTGTTTAGAGTATTTTCTGATCTGTAAAATTAGCTTGTCATGCACTGTGACACTTTATGACGTATTTTTAAAACATTCTTTTTCTAGGAAATTGTCAACATATATCCCTCTATAAATCCACCAACACTAACAGCACATCAGTCCAACAGAGTATGTAATGCCCTAGCACTTCTGCAATGTGTGGCTTCTCATCCAGAGACAAGGTAGGTTATTATACATCTGTATACTAGCTAAGTTAATAAAATAGCTTGCTCTTTTACAAGTTTTGATTCACCTTTCATTCAACATGTAAATATATCAACTTTAGTTCAAGTCTATAACAATTTTTTGTCTTGCTTGTGATCTGCTCTGTGTTTGCCAAAAGAAAGTGTAAGTTGACCAATCTTCATCTTTTTTTCAGGTCTGCATTTCTTGCAGCACACATCCCACTGTTCCTCTACCCCTTTCTGCACACCGTCAGTAAAACACGGCCTTTTGAGTATCTTCGGCTAACTAGCTTAGGAGTCATAGGTAGGTTTCTTCATACTTCAGATTAAGTCATTTTAGCTAAATTATAGTAGCTTTTCATACTACATATGTTTTTTATTCTTCTTTAATTATTTAAAAATCTTGAATTGCCATTTGTTGTTTTTTTTTGTTTAACCACCTCTAGTTTGGAGTCACCAGTGTCCAGACTTGGTTTACTTCTGTTACCCTCATGTCTGGGAGGGATGATCACAGTGCGTGGTTTTCTCTGAACTTCACACTGTCATAGCCATATTTTTCCTGTTCCACAATCTCAGCATCTACGTCTACATCACAGCACTGCAAACTCACAGTTACCTAGAAGGCAAAGTAGTTGCTATTACGTTAACTGCCATGGATATTCTGGGCAACTGAGGCTTCCCCAACTCCAGTGGAATTCAACCCACTGTTTCCTGCCACTTAGGGAATGGTGCAGTCTATTAATGACATACCTGTAATGCAAATGCATTGACCAGTGTGTCACAGCTCTGGTCCTTGAGTTACATGGCAGTTTTCATTTTCAACTGTGCTTTTTTAATATGAGGTTATTGAATCTTTAAATTAATTACAATAGTCCAAGCTCCTAAATAATAATTGGTTATGAGTTCGCAGTATCATCACTGTGACAGGATTGTTTCAATGACCATTTGGAAATGATTGAGTCTCCATTCAATGTTGGTTTACACATTGATATACAGCTTCGGTTGCTGCATTTCTTTGAAGTAATACAATATAGAATATCTAAGATTTGACAGTAGAAAGCAGGTCAAAATCAAGTAATCAGTTAAGGGTTTATCATTTTAACTACAAATCCCAGAAGCCAACAGGGTACTTGAGAACTAGGATTAGGAAACATTGACCTTTATTATGGGATCCGTCTGTACTAGAAACAAACGTCTTAGAAGGTTAACCCACACAGGATATAGAAGATATACACTGTAGGTTTTATTAGATATACTCGTTGCTTTGGTTTTTCAAATGTTAACTTGGGTAATAAGTCTTTGAAACTTTGTAACATAACTCATTTTAATAGTATCTCATTGTATAGCTTGTGTATATTGATGTATATGTTACAGATTTTAGGGACCTTATAATAATTTTCATGTTAAATCAAAATCAATCTATGTCATTGAAATTAAGTAACTTTTTGCTGCACTTGCATGGTCTCATAATTTCTGCTGGGAGGGAATTAATTTCTATGTTTATTAATTTGGAGGTGAAACAGGGCATTTTAGGTTCCAAAACATTGTTTATTAAGAATATAAAATTGTCTGTGTGCCTATAGGAGCTCTGGTGAAGACAGATGAGCAAGAAGTCATCAACTTTTTACTGACCACAGAGATCATTCCACTGTGTCTGCGCATCATGGAGTCTGGCAGTGAATTGTCAAAAACGGTAGGAAACATCCTTGCACTCTGCCGATATAAGTCTAAACAGCTGTGCAATTAACATGCCCAGAGATGCAGAGCAAAACAGTGGTCAGAAAACCTAAAAGTCCACCTTTGTATCTGACACCACAAAAATAACTAGTAATAGCTTCTTGCTTCCCCAAATTTAGGTATTCACAATTAGACTGCTTTCTAATTTTTACACAGCAAAAGACCTAAAACATATAAATGCATTTAAGTATTTTCAGTAGGTAGTTAACTAGTCAATTGCACTCCAATTTAAGAATGTTATTTCTTAAATTGCAGTCACAATACCAGAGCCTTGGTCTGTCTATATGTTTGTCTATACTGTATCTCATGACTGCAGGATTAACAATCCATCATCGTGTCTGTAATCTGCATGTGTTTTGGTTGTCTTTCTTTGCAACAGGTTGCTACTTTCATACTACAGAAAATTCTCCTGGACGACACAGGGCTCGCTTACATTTGTCAAACATACGAACGTTTCTCTCATGTTGCCATGATACTTGTAAGTAAAATATCAGGCTATTTTGAGTGAAACTCAACAGTGAGATTACATTTTTTCATTAGTTAGCTTCTTATTCTTAATAATCTTAATCTTAAATTCAGTTTGACTTATTTATTTGAACATAATTTCTTTTATTGAGAAGGTTTTTACTCCTCAGGATATTCTGTTATCTGTTTTGTTTACATGTTTAAATTAATCTTATTTGTTGTGGTATTTGTGTAAAAAATCAAGGTAGCATGATGATCTTGTCTGTTTTTTAAGGGAAAAATGGTCCTACAGCTGTCAAAAGAACCTTCTGCTCGCTTGCTGAAGCATGTTGTACGCTGTTATCTCCGCCTTTCTGACAATCCCAGGTACGTCACAGGCTCCTTTCCTTACTGTTAGCTACCTCACTGTGCATATTACACAATGTTATGTGGTCTACACTTAAAATCCCCCTAGGAGGAGCTGTTCACTGAAGAGAGTCTAGAACAATGCGGACTAAAAAATATGTAGTGGACTTTCACTGACATTAAATGTAGAGCCTTATTAAATTCTCATGCATTAGTGGGTTGAAAATAAGTCTTTTCCCTTGAGGAATTCTGCTTTTCTTTTAACAGACTGTTATGCTAGTCCACAAATGCTTGTATAGTTTTAGAACATGTTTAGTGCTTCTTTGTGAAATAATTTGTTATAATTATTGTAAGGATATGGGCCAATTGCATTTGTATATCACTTTCATATCATTCAAGGAATTATTTTGTGTTCTGTTCTGTTTAGGTTGATATTAAGTCATTAATTGTTTTGCAACAAATAGTAGAAGAGCAACCACAGCTGTTAATCGTGTGTTGCAGAAATCGTATGTGTCAAATCGAGGGGAAGGGCTCTTAGACGCGCTTATTGCATGTCAGATCGCCATTCCAGATAAGCACCCTTAGATCAAGCCCTGGCAAAATTGAGGAAATATATTGATACTTATGTTTAGTACATGTATATATTTCATGAAGATATTGCATTTTTATGATCGTTGTATCTATAAAAATGTCTTGAAATAATCCAAATAGCCGTGCTAGGTAAAAGTGGAGGATATACTGGTTCCGTTGTAGTCTTATAGCTTTCCCAAGCCATTCCGTACTCCAATATTGTCATCAGCATTATTGTGACTTGCTTCTTTTTTTTTTGCTCTTCCTTCACAGAGCCCGAGAAGCCCTCCGCCAGTGCCTGCCTGACCAGCTCAAAGACACAACCTTTGCTCAGGTCTTAAAGGATGATACCACAACCAAGCGCTGGCTGGCTCAGCTGGTGAAGAATCTTCAAGAAGTCACAGACCCAAGGAATATTCCCCTACCTCCACAATAGCCCTCACCATCTTCTTGTGATGGGGATAATCCAACACAAAAAGGATGATCTGTATAGCCCTTATGAACATTAGACAAATGAAGAGCTTTGACAACTTATGGTCGTCATGTTCAAGTTGGTTCTTTGGAAACCTGTAGATGCTTCTTAGTATTCTTACTAAGATTGTTATAAACGGTGCTCTTAGACTTTTTACATTGTGCCAAGCTCTTGAGGCAATCACTTGTTTGAGCTTTGATTGACTGGTGATGTGACACTTCGTTTCCTTATTACTTTTCCTCACTATTGCATCTGTTTCCAGTGATGTTAGGATCTTCAAGTACAGTAGGTGTTGGATTGCTTCCTGAAAAGCATTTTGAGAATCCCAACTTCAGTGTCTCTTCAGAAAGAGCTAAGTGCAACACAGCAGATGGGTAATTAAGCTCCTGCTTCAAAATGCAATAACTGCTGTAAAAGGAACTATGGTAAACACTTTCACGGCTTATAAAAATGAACTCGATATCACATCCAAAGTTATTTTACCAACATTTCATAGTAGTAAAAAACAAATGATTGTTTGATTTTGTTACAGTTTTAATTACTTCTCCTTGCAGTAATTTGTCCATAATTTGGTTTAGGTATTTGAAAACTGTTCTTGAATATTGTGCATCCTCAACATGTAGTTATTCCTTTGGGTTATTGTGTGTTTGACCATGCAGTTTATGCAAAAAAACTGCCAAACTTGACTTTTTGCATGTTTTTTTAATGTGATGAAATACTTTCAAAACAGACTTTTAAATGACTTATTAATGTAGTATTTCATGTTGGATATCTGCACACTTCATCTAGTTGTTACTAAGAAAACATCTGAAGTTGATTTTTGAGCACTTTGCACCATATTCAAAAATTTTCAAGTCGTTAAATACCTGTTTTTTCCTTAAGAATTAAAAATAAAACTAAATTGGTATAATCAATCCAAATACTATTTTAAGAATTGCTGAATTTTTTTTGCTTTTATTTGCTGTACATGTTCTATGTATTAGGCCCTTAATCTCAACTTTGTACATTTTAAGAAGTCCACATTCTATTTGAAAGTACGCCAGAGTGCGAGTTCTCATGTTTCTCCAAAGTTGGATTAATGCTAAAATCCAAAATAAGATTCACCATTTTTTTACTGTTTTGACATGAGTTCTGTCATGTTGCATAATTGTAGATAAAGAAATGGATACAGGCTGATTAATTTTATCCCTGATATATTATAATTTGTATATAGTTACATTTGTTTTTATATTATGATTACCTATGTCAGGGACTTACAAGTGCTTTTGCCACTGCTTGGCCCATTACATCTGGAGAACTTTACAGTACAAGTCTTTAACTATGTTGCACCATCATTATCCGTTATTTTCAAGTCAGGTGAAGACATTTCCTGTAGAAAGTTTTGTTTTACAGCAGTTGCTCTTGAACTGTAGTATTCACCTACCCATAATGCATATTACTGGGATTAGGAAACTGAGTTCCTAAAACTGTTATGAGTGAGAGAACTTCTGTAAGCATCCTGTATTCATTTACATATATTTGCAACACACCCCTTTCAAGTTTCTTTAAACTTGGATTGCATTTCAGAGCTTTTTGTCTTAATTCAGAAAAGCAGAAAGAACAGCCAATGAAAATACGTGCGTTTCTTCCACAAATTGGTTAAATTTGTATTTGGTGATATAGGACCGTATTAAAAAAGTAAATGATGAGTGTGAATGTGGCAATCCCCTGCCTCCACATGTTTGTACATAGCGTTGGTTTACCAAAAACCAAAGCAACCATTTAAGTATTAACACCAGCCACCATTCCCTGTTGTTAATAGTATTATTTCTCATATACAATCCTAATTTTAAATTTACTGAAAGATGTGAAAAAAGGCTTTTATGTGGTTTATATCTATCCCAATGTTGAACTATTTTGCCTAGAACTGTTTATTCTAGTAGTTTGGCTGCACTGAAAGTTTCGAAATCTGTGTCTGCCTGTGGTGGATTTGGTTTAAAAACAAAGCAGCTGGTTAGAGCACCTTGATAAAATTATATTTTTTCTCTTAGAAAGTCAATTCCCTGTACCACAGTGCTATACAATAAGAGAGTAGATGTATGGCAACTACTATAAAACAAAGCATGTAACTAAACTAGCTAATTCTGTACCAGTAATACAACTATAACAGCCTAAAGAAACTTCTTTAGTAGCTCAATAACAGCTCAATAACATTGTCAGTGGGTTCCAGGACATTATTACGTGCCATACCTGCTGTGGATCACTTTTTAACTTGATATAATGTTAAGAACTAAATATAAGGGAACAGCGATTTTGGACTTTTTGATATTGAGCAGTGAAAGTCCAGAAGTATTTTTACTTTTATGTTTTTGCATTACCTACTCAATGAAGTTCAGGTTAAAAAGTGATTTATTGAATTGTTTTCGTCTATGAACTGTTTTTGAATCAATCAGTGTGGTTCATATTCACTATATACATATACATCTGCTTGTGGTGGGAAAGGAGGAGAAATGAAAGTGTGCACGAACCGTTTGTCAGCATTTGTCCTTAATCTGTGTCATTGTGGTGGTCTCCCAGAACATCTAAGATTGAAACAATCTGGGTGTAGTTGTTCTCTTTAATCTTAACTACCCTGGCATACGTTTACCTTTCCTAGATATGGGCTTGATGGTCAAAATCATACCTGCCATGTGGAGACCTTTGCAGTGTAGTATATGTTCAAGAAACATTGATATGTCACTGCATTATTTTTGAATATGTGAGGCATATATGCAACCATTCAAATAAGCAAAATTGAATGTAGAATGTGAAAATGTATTTGAGAGACTATTTGTAAATATATTCCTGAAAAATGTATCCATATACCTATTCAGCTTCCTTTTTCCTTTAACAATTCTGTCGTAACTCTTACTTCTTATTTTATGGTTAAGAATCATTGCAAATTACAGCACCACATTCTGATTCTAATTTATTGTTTGATATTTTAGAAATAATACTTTTTTCCCCATCCTAGACCAAAATCGTTTTTTTTGTAGGATTTCAAAAACCCACCAAAAATACCAAATTGATCATTTTTGATGAAGATATTCTGTAATTTTAAGCTTCTGCCACAAGATCTGTAGTGATTAACATAAAAGCACATGAGCTGTTTATTTGGTGGTATGGAATGTTCTTACTTTGGCTTAAATACCACTTGTACTGACTTTTATAGATACTGTAATTTGGATATTTTAGTGCACAAATAGCCATGTGCAATTAATTAATGTATAAAAGTAAAGTAAGACAATTTTGTGGTTTCCCACACCTTCGTTCTGCTTTCTTTAGTGAAAGATAAGATGGTCTCTACTGACTGTAATGGCCCTCCCATATAAATGCTGTAACAGTCATGCAGCAGTTCCTCAGTATTAAAGTTTTTTTTTGTACATAGTACTTTCACCTGCGTAATTTAGTACTGCAACAGCTGAATTTCACAAGATGTCTTGCAGTGCTAGCATTTCACTGTTTTTAAAGAGGATGTTGATTGTGCTTAAAATGCTGTTTTGACTTTTAAGTTCTTTCAGCCTAGGTTTTGTCCCCTAACAGGTAGCCAGATGTGTAGTTGCAAGCAAAGGCTGTACTGCATCTGTAAAAACATAAATTTTGAGATGAGGTTTTGCATTAATTTGGAGGACTAGAGAAAACATGTTTAGCATAAAATGAAGTTAAACATCATGTGCTAGTTTCACTGACCAATATTAGCCATACTCTTAGATCTGTTCAAATGCAATAACATTGGGCAGTCCAGGACCAGTGCTACCTGTGTCTGTGAAACCAGAGTGGTAAGTTAAGTGTTTTGGTATTATTTGCTCAGAATGGAATGAGAAGCTATTAAATCTAACCTCAAAAATGAATGTGCAGTGCTTCTGTCTTTATATAAGACCGCATTCACATTGGAAGAAGAAACACTGAAAGAAGAAACGACTCATGAATTAGTCCTTTAGGAAGAGATGGCTCTTGTGAATAAAGCAAAAGTATTGTCCCAGCATTCCCAAGCAAAAATATTTCCCTAAGCTGTTGTGGTGAGTTTTGGGACTGTCTGTTGAACCATATTGATTTATGTTTAATTTCTTTATACTTTGCCTATTGTGTTTTGGTGCACTTGAAGCATTTGGAATATGTTGGTAAATGTAAGAGAGGGTAAAAGATGTTGGTACATTGGAAGAGACTAGCACTGGGCTGATACTCTTCTTAAAGACACGAACCCTTTGAATGGAAAGCCTGAAAACTTCAGTTTGGTTTAGAACTTTCAATTGATGTTTACACAAAGAAACGAATTTCATATGTACAAAATTATTTTCTTTATCTCTTGGGTTTGACAAGCAAAGTGAAATATCTGCTGTTGTTTAAATCTAAAAAATAAAATGTTTTTTTTTGACAGAATACTCTTGATTATTTTGCTTCTTGTCATTAGGTTTTGTGTTACTTTGGCACAGTTTTCTAGAAATGTACCTTTTTTTTAAAGTGACACCTTTACATACAACATTTATTCTTACAAGGGTTTCATACAATTTGATCTCCGTTGATCCATTTTCTAAGTGTGTTGTCTGATAAAGGTCACAGGGGAGCTGGAGCCAGTCCAGGACAGGACACCAGTCCATCGCAAGACACACAGATGATGCACACACTTACACCAGGGTCAGTTTTAACCATTGGTATCCAATTAACCTACCAGTATGTCTTTGGAGTATTGGAGGAAATTGGAGCACCTAGGTAAAGCCACGTGAACATGGGTGAACATAGAAACACTGTGCCAATAGTGCCCCAGAAATTATACTCAGGACCTCAGTGCTGCAAAGCAGCAATGCAAACCACTATGCCACCACACCACCCAGAACTTTCTAGAGTTTAATTTTTTTAAGAGCAACAAGGAAGGTGCTACACAGTCACTTGGGTTGAATAGAAACATAATATAACATTTGCCAGCAACCGTATCACCCTGCAACTCACAACTAGCAGCCCACTGAAGCTAAGCAGGTGTGAGCCTGGTCAGTACCTAGATGGGAGACCTCTTGGGAAAAACTAAGGTTGCTGCTGTTAGTGGGGCCAGCAGGGGGCGCTCACCCTGTGGTCTATGTGGGTCCTAATGCCCCAGTATAGTGACGGGGACACTATACTATAAACAGGCGCCGTCCTTCGGATGAGAAGTAAAACCGAAGTCCTGACTCTCAGTGGTCATTAAAAATCCCAGGGCGTTTCTTGTAAATAGTGTCCTGGGCAAAATTTCCCATTGGCCCTTACCAATCGTGGCCTCCTAATAAACCCCATCTATGAATTGGCTTCATTACTCTCCTCTCCTCCCCACTGAGTACCAGGTGGATGCTGCACATTGGTGGTGGTGGTGGAAGGAAGTCCTCATTACCTGTGCTTTGAGTGGAGTGTCCAGAAAAGCACTATGTAAGTGTAAGCAATTATGATTATTATTATGTTTTAGATTTATCTGATTTATTTCTTGTGTAAAAAGTGCAGATTTCATTTATTTAAGGATAATTTATTATTTCCAGAAAAGCGCTATATAAGTGTAAGCAATTATTATTATTTCTCTACCCCTTTCCAAGTTTCCAACCAAGGACTGCTAACAACATGGACAGTCAGGTATGTTTTGCAAAGGAAATTTAAGTGAATCATTTGATGGTGAGGATTTTTGGACACCAAATTTATGTTGTTCCAAATGTGGTCACAGGAAATGTATTCACCTGTAACATTCCGCTTCATTTTCCAAACAGTACCACCTGCTAAAGGTTTGTATGAAGTCTAAGGGAAGCACAGAGGAAGCCAATCCCCTTGTTTTGCCCTGTCTGAAGTGCAGCAGATTACACATTGTTTAGACAGCCTAACCTCCCAAGCATACTGCAGGCCTACTGTACACTGCACATCCTGCACTTCACTGTAAGTAAACACATAAAATGAGCCAGGTAAGGTGTTTTGAGCTTGCAAGTCCTGAAATAAGCCCATAAGAATATCTTCTCATTAAGATCAAAAGTGAATTATTTTGTAACTCCATAGCACAGCAAAGAAAGGGTAGCATCAGGACTTTTTAGTATTTTTTGCAGAAAGAAACACTCCAAATTAAAATGCAGCCATAATTTTATATTCATCCTGCATTCATTTTGTTCCAGTGAATTCAATAGAAAGAAAATTATCAGTTTTGTGAAATCTACACTTAAGTGATAAAAGCAAGCTCTAAATATTGTATTATTGGTAAAGACCTACAGTAATTCCTTTATCCTCTTTTGTTAGGTTCTCAAATAAATTTAAGTTATATTCCCTCCTAATTTCATTAAATGGTTCATGAACTCAATAGTGGTTTGTACTATACTCATATTCTTTTGAATCCCAAGCCCTTAACAAGAATACACAGTACATAAAAAATGTTTTATTGTATAAGAGATTTTATTGTCCCTTGGGGAATTTTTTCATGGACATACAACACTTCTGTACATTTAAATAGAATGCAACCAAAAAAAAGAAGAAGTAAAGAAAAACATTGCACATTATTCTATTACAAAAGAAAAGAAAAAAATTGCACATTTCTCTATTGCACTATATGTATAACACATAACAATATGCAACATTTATAACACATCACAAAACATATTGCACTCAAGTGGGTTGTAAAAGTAAAAAAAAAATTTATCCTTGACATTTGCGTTGACAGCTTTAATGGATAGTGGAACCAAGGAATGTTTGTATCTGTTTGACTTACATTTGGGAACCCTAAAATGTTTGCCAGAAGAAAGAAGTTGATATTCAGAGTTGAGGATGTGGGAAGGATCTGATATAATTTTTCCTGCCTGTTTGATTAGGGATTTTTCAAAGATTGTCTGCAGGGAGGGGTGCCGTTTCACTCCCATGACCTTCGAAGCTGTCTGGTTGAGGCAGGTAATTTGCGATTTTAAATGAACTGATAGATTACCAAACCACACTGTAATACCATATCCGATAATGCTCTCGATTACAGCATGGTAAAAGAGTAGCATTACTTCCTGTCGAATCCCAAACACTCTTAGTCTTCACTATAAATATAATATAACACTCACAACATGAGTAGTCCAGCACAGGTTACTGTCTATGTGTGCACCTAAGTACTTATATGAATCAACCTGAGTGACACATTCATTGTGGATTACTACATGTGAGTGATCACCAACTGCTCTGGGATCAAACACTATTTCTTTTGTTTTTTTTTAACATTCAGAATTAGGCTATAGTTGTCATACCTTTGCACAAACCTTTCTGACATGTATACAGATGAGCTGCTACCTCTATGCATTAAGCCAAGCAAAAAACTTTTACTGGCAGATAAATTACTCTGAAATTTAATTGATCTTTTCGCAGACATAAATTAATGCAGAGATGTGTGGTGGTCCCTGGCAATTGATTCAGCGTACTTAAGCAGAAAGCAAATGCAAGTTCAGTTCAAGCCCTTCCATTCCTGACAGGACCAAAATCAATCAGCGCTGCTTGTATGTGGTTTAAACTGATCAATGCTCTTATGTGGAAGAGAAACTGCCAGGAAGCTTCTGTGCTTTCAGGCTTGGATTGGAAACAGCACACAACTGAGTAATCGGAAAATGCAGCTAATATACATATCAGAAAGTGAATATATACAGAGTGAACTAGAGCAGGGGCTCCCAGTTCTGCTCCTGGAGGTGAACACACATGCTGGTTTTATTTAAGGCCTCATGTAAGCCTGAACTGAATTCAAAAGGTGCTTGATTGGAATATGTACAATTTTATTTCTGTTGGAAAGGGAATGTGTGAAGGGCAATAATTTAAAGGCAACCTCCAACATGTTTACCAGCTGAAAAGCTATCAAAAAGGTCAAACGAATCCCATTTGTAAGCCAATGAAGGATTCAGCTGAGAACCTGGCTAGAACAAAACCCAACAGGTGTTGGGTCTTCTCCTTCACATCAACTTAATCAACAGGTCAGTTTGCAGGGTTTGCTGGCATTGAGCCTGTTCGGTTTTAGCATTATAGTTATGACACAAAAACGATCATTTGACCAAATATGTATACATTGTAATACATCAAAATGTAACATTATCAGGGTGGCACGGTGGTGCAATGGTTGGCATTGTTGCCTTCAAGCACTGAGGCCCTGGCGTGCTAACTGCCTGATTCTCCCAGTGTTCGCACGGGTTTCCTCCTGGTGTTTCAGTTTCCTCCCACGGTGCAAAAACATACTGGAAGGTCAATTGGTTTCTGGGAAAATTGGTCCAAGGCTAAGTGTGCGTGTCTGTGTTTGTGTTTGAGTGTGCGCTGCACGTATCCAGCATTCCCCGTGACCCCGTATTGGATAACAAGGTTAGGAAACAGATGGATGTAATGTTATTGGAGTAAGGGGTGAAAGCATTGGCAAGGCAGCGTACAGTAGTTTGCGTAGAAATCACTTGAAAGGAAAATCAGTACTCCCCGAAAGCTCTTTGAGAATCACAACTGGCTATTCCTGGCTTAATCAAACCAATTAACTCAGCACATTGATCAAATATCACATATATTCCATGTCTTTAGTATTTGATGTTTCAAGGGTAACCTATGAAAGCTGCTTAATTGTGCTTCTCTAAGATAATTGGTAACTCCTGTTAGCTGATAAAGCCTAAGATCTCCCTATTAAAACACAGTTCACATTATCTCAAATTTTTGTAGAATAACATTGCAAATAACTTTTATAACTGGCTCAATATATGAATTGTAATTTGCAGAATCATAACAGATAGTAGACAATCAATGATGATGGCCAATAATTGAGTGAACCATTTTGTTTGGATTGCTCTGACCTGTAATTTTCCTTATTTAATAAACCATAAATAAATATTATGGAGGTTTTTGTTTTGAAACATTCACTCTTGTATTTAATGGAAAGCAGGTTCTTTCAGTTTATTCAAAACCAAGGACGTAAAATAAATCAGGACTGCAGTCTTGTCTATCAAGTGGGCCTGCGGAAATGTTTCATGATGGAGGCGCTCCAAGCTGGGTCTATGTAAATGAGGAGACTGAGAGATCCTGGCCTCAGCCAAGGTCTCTCCAGTTGAAAGCTGAGCTGGAAAGCTGAGCCATAGCCTTACATTATTAACACAGAGAAACCTGAGGAGAGTACAGAGGGGAAAACTCCAAAAAAGAAAAAAAATAATTAAATAAAACAGATGCGAATCCCCCCTCATTTTAGGTGCTTTGCTTTCTTCTAACAGAATGTGAGCATTGAGAGCGAGTGAGGCAGGGCTCTCGGCCAAACTAATGGGCCTTTTTAATTAGATTAATGCTTTCATTTTCATCTCCCTCTCTGTTTTTTCTTTATATTGCACAAGCTAGTTAACTGGACTGATAAATGTTTCATTGCAACAGCTTAGTAATTTAAGAAGGTACTGTCAGAAAGTGCACAGAGGCATTCAGTACTGTACTATGGTCTGGTAGCAGTACTATGGTTCAGAGGGACTAAACTGGAGGGAGGCCAGAATAATGAAACAGAAGGAGTTACATTCTAAACTCCCTTACTTGCACCAGATTGGTCAATACAGAACTGAATGAAAGTTGCAGGATTTTTTTTCTGTCCTCTACAATCCTAACACATACCACAGTGGGTGTTAGTGTGCATTTGAAAAATACAGTAACCGGAATATCCCAAAATCCATTAATGATCTGCATTACCTCATTTGTAAATAAAATCATTTTATATTTTACCATCTCTACTGACAAAGGCAGTGTCACCGAGATTAATATGTTGTTGCTAATCTTCACCTCTTTTCTCATGTGCACTCAGACAGATATCTATCTCAGCTGCAAGACATTGGCTCTACATCTCCTTCTCTTTCTCAGAACTGAATTATGGATGCATACTCAGACAGATATCTATCTCAGCTGCAAAACATTGACTGTATATCTCCTTCTCTTTCTTAGAACTGAATTATGGAGGCATACTGTGCAGAATCCAGAAAATTACATTTACTGTAAATGTACAGTAGTTACAGCAATGTTTTTTTTCAATATGCAGTTGGATTAAAAGAACATGCCTAATTACCATAATGGAATTGTAAGCTACAGCACAAAGTGAACTCTAAACTTCAAAATACCTTAACAATCTTTAGTTTTACAAAACAGGAAAATATACTGAAGTTATGCACTAGACTGGATATACCTGCATCTCAAAAAGTTCGTATTTGTAACGTGTTCTTTTAAAACAACATGCAGTTTGGAACACTTCCACCTGAAATCCTGTGCTTTTCTGTGAATCAGCAAGTCATTCAGAAAAAAAAAATCTTTTGAATTGCATTTCACTTTCTGGATGCTTAGCATTTGAATTGTCTCAGAATTTGTTATTGGGATGATATATGTATTCAAGTACAATAGTGCTAATCGCGAAAATCTTTTTCTTCTTTTGTTTGCCATCTGATGAAACATGTTTGAAACACCAGATAGTCAAGATAATCTATTGCATTTTTTTAGTGTGTATGCACATTAAAAGATCCTTTCCCAAAAAAAGCCAGGTATTGCTTGTAAGCTCCGCGGCCTTTAGTAATAAGATGTATAACAAATATTGATTATAATCCTTTACAATATACTCATTGTGGATAGACAATTCCTCAAATTAATTTCTCAAATATGCATAATTTGTGACATATTAACAAGTAAATGTCATATTCTTCAACGACATATGTAATCTGTAGAATGGAAACAGATTTGCATATCAATTAAGAAATTAATAGCAGGGAGGAAAATAATGAAAATTTTAAGTGATGGGTGACATGATGGTGCAGTGGTCAGCATTCCTGCCTGAGTACAAGAGCCCTGGGTGAAATTTCCAGGGTTTTCTGTATGGAGTTGGTCTGTTCTCCCTGTGTTAGTCTTTCTTTCTTTTGAGTGCTCTGCTTTCATCCCATAGTCCAAAGACATACTAGTTGATTAATTGGCTTCTGGGAAATTTGGCCCTGGTGTGAGTGTGTGCTATCTGTGTCTGGGTGTGTGCTGTCATGGATGGGCATCCCATCCAGGGAGAATCCTGCCTTGTGTCCAGTAGGCTCCGGTGATCCTAAATTGGATGAAGGGGTTAGAAAACAGATGGGTAGATGTTAAAGTTGATATCCTTCTGTTTGTTTTTTTTGTCCAGGAAAGCATACACTATGGCATTTCCTGTCAATCTCCAAAGTATTATTTTTTAGGAACATGATTCTGATGACTGATACACCTTTTGCCTATAATATGATCCAGGAATACTGTCCGTGACTATGGATGCAAATTTAAAAAAATAAGGTTAAAGAGATAAGTCACAAGAGCGAGAATCTGTACTGATATCAACAGTCTTCATCAAATGATAAAGCTCATCTCTGTTGGAAAACAGTACGTACTCTAACTGAAGCTGACAAAACAATCTCTCCAGTACACGCCTGTTACCTTCCTAGCCTCATGGCACTTACATGTGTGACAAGAAGGAAGTTACTGGAACAGCTGGGGATGAAAGTTGCAGTTCCTGAAATTACACTCAACACTGCACCTGCTGGAAGAGTGAGGAACTGAGAGAAAGATGTAGATAAAGGATCAGGTGGCAGACACTTTATAGTACGTTTTGTTCTTTTAGCCATGGTGTAATTTGCTTAGGCAATCTTTCAACATCAGATGTTTGATGAAAAAAAGAGCACACAGTACAAGCTCTGTGTCCAAGATTTGTAACAATTGTAACAAGAACAAAGCTGGTTATATCATATTCTGCACATAATACATTAAGTTCCCTGTTTATAGTCAGCCTTTCCAAAATAATTTTTTGACCAACTCTACTTTACTTTCTGATGACATTGGAGTACTTTAAATTATTAATTGTTTTCATTTGTATAATGCCTTTCAACCCTAAATATCCAATAGCACTTCACATACGGTAGAGGATGTCCCTCACCCATCGCAGCATTTACCTGGGTGAAGCGCAGTAGACGTTATGTGGCAAGAGAATCACCTCACAGCAGATCAGATGGAGAGGTGAAAAATTACAATTTTGTTTAAATTTGAGTAGATCGGATTATTTACAACAAGCGGTGCGGTATGCTACTAGTACGTTTGACTGAGTCACGGGGGAAACACAGCACCTACTGCTTTATTAACAGTCATGGTAAAATCAAGCTGATACAAGGAGGTGTAGTTTCTTTAAGAAACTTTTGTAAGTATTCCTTATCATAATCAGCATCCCTCTATCCATACCTCAGGACTGTGAACAAGATCTCCCTGTCCATTTTCTTTCTTTGACATTCATTAATGCTAATCATAATTGTGTCACTTTTGAACTTGAACTTGAACTTTATTGCCATTTGTAACCGGTACTGGTACAATGGAATTCTTACTTACAGAAAGTCTCTCGATTGTAAAACAAGTGTAAAAAACAAAACAAAGTGCAAACAGTGCATCAAGACAATGTACAAACAAACAATAAACAATGTGCAAGTTTTTACAAGTATACAACCAAACTTTCTGTTGTAGATGTGGAAAGCAGTGGGGGAACTGGGGAAAGCAGAGGTGGAAGGATAATTGAACCAGTGGTTAGGGATGAATATTTTATGTTTTTCTTTGCTCAGGTGTTAGACTGTTGAACATAACCAATCCAAAAGGGTGCAGTGGCAATTCTAAAATACTCCATTTATCCAAAATGAATTCCAAAGAGGGTTGCAGTAAGCTAGAGCTGACCCAGCAGACACAGGGCACAAAGTGGGACAACACCCCAATTAACTGACCTCAGTATGTCACTGGAAAGGGGGGGAAACTGGAGCACCTTGTGAAAACCCACATTAAAGAGAGATTGTATATGATTTCCACATGCAACACACTCTAGCCTGTAATGGAACCCAGAACCCAAGAGCCAGCAGTACGAGCTGCCACTCCACCGTGCCAGTCAGTAGACAGTGTTATTTAATATAACGAAATAAAAAATTATATAATCAATATTGTCTCATCATATTATCTTTAATGAATATAGTAGTAAAGACTTTCCCTTCATTATCAGTATTCTGCCTTAGTCTTTCGAATAACACTACAATATACATTTCTGCTTGGGCTGCGAAATTTACCAAACAGCACAAAGATCTGGGACTGCCCAGGCCAGAAAGCTTTTCAGTGGCCATTTGTAGTAATTTGCACTCATTTGGAGACAGTGAAATCCTCCCTGCTGGCAGTTTTCTTGGATTGAGCTAGAAAAAGAAGAGAGTTAAAGGCAAAAGTGGAGAGACAGATAAAGAATGACAGGCGGGAGACTGAGGAGCATCCTGTAGCAAGAGAGTAAGAGAGTGAGTGAGAGGGAGGGAGAAAGAGGGGTGGAGGTGCTGTTGTCTCAGGACGATCAGTTTTCTCTCTCCTGCTCGCTCTCACTCAGTTGGAACGTGCAGGGTAGTATGCACGCTGGCAGGCAGGGCTGAGGCTGTGCGGGCTCGCCTGGGAGGAACCCTGTCTATAGAGCACCGCGCAGCCGGCTGGCCTCCGCTCAGAGATGTGCTTCAGTCTGGTGAGTATTCAATCATTTCTGTACTTTAGTACCTGGCAATTGGACACAGACAACTACTAAAAGACAGTCATGCAAGAAAGGGATTTTCAAGCAGCAAAAATATTGTCAGTCTAGCAGGTAACCTTTTTTTTCATAACAATAAAATACTGTATTAGGGCTACTGGTGGATGTTTACAGATGGATGTGTGGACTTCATGTATTATCACCCCTTCTGTTCTCAGGGTATTTCTCGTGAATATAGTGTAAATGACTCAGCAACTAGGCAAGCCACTGAGATTCAGCTGTGGTAGAATAGTTAATCATCACTGTCTTCATATTGCACTTTTCATCCCAAAGAGGTGATCCCAAAGAGTGGTTTTTACACAGCTCTCAAGAAATCCAGTGGGAGTTAGCCCTTCACCGGGACTACACTGTTCAAATGTATCCAAGAACATCTAGTACTGTGTTAAATTAACTCTCATTTTGAAGAACTGCCATTTTTGAACTTTTGATATACTAATTCATTCTCCTAACAAGAGCTCGGAGATAACATGAAAATTCTGCATTTCATCCTGCGGCAGGCTTATCTTGGACAGTGAACACTTAATGAATGAACTCTCTGTTTTGCTTTGTTGCCACAGTATTCACTTTTCTTTAAACTAATATGTGTTGTTATAATTTAAATGTGTGCTGCTTCTCCTGTAAAGCGAAGGTGCTAAAATTATTACATTATTTTAACACAGGCTCCACAAACCACCTGAGGTTTGTTATTAAGGGCTAGTTTTTACTTTGCTGTAGGGTTGTTTTCTTCCAAATCAGTAGTATGTTTTAGAACAACTGCTGTGTTGTGTTTCTAATTTGTAACTGTTAAATTAAATATGTGAATGTAAGATCCATTTTGATGAGGATGCAGACAGAGATAATTTTTTCTATTTGTATAAGAAACATACATTTATCAGAGAGCTAGATTGAACATTATTAATACATTAACATTAATCATTTTTTTTTCCCAGTCTTTTATATTGGCGGAGATCTCTTTGAGACATAGTATGTGATGCTGTGAATCCTGTGACAGGATTCCTACACTTTGACTGTCAATATTTCCTGTACGAAAGATTAAATTCCCCTTTCCCCAGACATAATGTCAGACACTATGTAGAAAAATTACAACCAATTTACATGAAGACCTACTAATTCAGCACAGATTGCCAGAGAAGATTTAAACAGAAAAAGAGCTGTGGTTAAAGCTGCCTAATCTGCCTTTAGTTCTGGTAGAGCAAGCATGGGTCACATAGACAGTACAATATTGTCCTTTCTCTTGTTTCAACTTGCTGATGAGGCAGTATTATTCAGGCTCAAAAAATAAAAAGGGCACCATGTTTAAGACTAGCTAAGTAATTTATAGTGAATGCTACAGGCTTTGGTGCATATGCTGTGTTACTGTGAGTGCAAGAGCGAGATATTTTATTAATTAAATAACATGACTTTATAAAATCAAGTTATAAATCAGAGTCAATTAAATTAAGGTATAACAAGTATTAAGAAAATCTGTTTAATTTCTCAGTTGCAGCGTATTCTTCCTTTATTTGTCTTTCAAGCTACACAACAGAGTCTAAAATTATAAACAAGTCACTTATTTTTCTCATCTATAGACTGTGTAACTAAACCACAGCAAAGATTAGCATCTGCAGAGATTGCATTCCTCTTGGTCTGCACTGTTTCATAAAGTCAGGAGATAAAGCATCAGACAACGCATCATTTTGAGAGCTAGGAAAAAATAAACCAAAGCAGCAAAGCAACAGCCTGGCTTTGTATTTCTATTGGCAGTGCACATTCCACAGAGCTGGTGCAATGCAGTCAATAGAGACTCTGTGTCTATAGAATGTCCTCTCTGTGGGAGCGATAAACACACCCTCAGCCGTGAGCACAGATTCCTTAATCACTGCATTATTGCAGCGACCTGCAGCTGGACACAAAGACAGCTGAGCCCAGCAGAACATGCCCTGAGCTTACATAGTGCCCAATGTTCAGTCTTAAAGAAATCCTGCTGACTACAGGGAACACAAGGCAGAACTAGACGCACATCTGTAAAACATTCTAAAGTCTTCCGTCTTTAAAAAAAAATAATTGAAATCTTCGGTCTGACCAGCAGTTATTTTTCAATCAGAGAGCCCACACTACTTACCTACCCAGTAATTGATCTCGGTTTGTCTTTATTTGGACTTTTGTGGCCCACTTGCAAATACACCTCCCTTAAACCTTTCAATAGTTATTCATTAATCATTAATTGATCATTAATATCATGCAGCTTCTTGAAAAATTATTATTTTTCAATTAAATCTAATGAAATATTAAACAATGTAAATCACAGAAATGTTAAGACTTCCTCTTAGAACGTGTCCTTTTTTCGGTACATATGTATGCAGATGCCAGAGGTGTGACAAAGCAACAGATGGCGTCATCCCGATGCAATCTGCGTAAGTTGTGTAATAAACTCATTAACTTTCTTTGTGCACAGAAAAAGGAAACATAATTTAATAATACTTAAATGATCATTCCAATCATAGCTGTTTATGGGGCTTTATATAAAACTCTTTTTACCCAGTACAGCTAGTGTACAGCAGATTTTCATGGGTCTAAACATGCTACTGGTACACTAAAATTTCTGTTCTGAGATATGTGTTTTAATATGTACATTAACAAAATGTACTGTATGCTGTTGTGAATGTTTTCACTGTTTAAAATGAAAGCAGCCTGTAGACTTGTAGTCCTGCAGCTGTTTTTTCCTCTGGTATGGCAGGTATACAGGGGGATGATAACCTACAGTCGATGCTTGTGGGGACAGTGATGAGGAAGATTAAGTCTCGCACTTGGAAGAAACAACGTTATTTCAAACTGCAGGAGGACTGCATGAACATCTGGTACAAGTCAAAGAAAGCAGGGAACAATCACTCCACCTGTGAGTACCTCTAGCTTCAAAGGCCTTCTCTGCAGGGAAGAACACAGAGCTGTATCACAGTTTCTTCATTGGTCACCTCAACATTTTTTGCATTGAAGTAAATGTTCCAGTTCTAGTTTTTTTAGTTGGAAAATGACTATTAAAAATAAGGCTAATGCAAAAAAAACACAAAAGGAGCAGTGTGTGCTCTTGTGGACACAGAATGAAACACAAGGATAACCCATGTTTTCTATAGAAATAATCATTTATTAGATCACTTGCTTACATTACATGAAGAAATCTGGAGACTTAATTCTGCTGTGAAGTTATTTTTATTTGCCACTGATGACTGCTCTTCCTTGCTTATCCATCTTCCTTGAAAATGCTTTCTTGCCTTCTCTAATGGGTCTAATGGGTTTTAATTAGTTCTTCTTGTTCTCTCTCCCATTCTCCCTACCCTAGTCTCTGTATGTGATGTGGAAACTGTCCGGGAGGGGCACCAGTCTGAGGTGCTGCAGAGCATTGCTGATGAGTTCCCCCCAGACCGCTGCTTCACACTGGTCTTCCGCGGTCGCCGTGGCAACCTAGACCTGGTGGCCGACTCGCCAGAGGAGGCCCAGTCCTGGATCAAGGGGATGCGAAAGCTGATTGAGAACGTGGAGAACATGGGCCAGCGAGAGAAACTCGACCAGTATCCTTCAGGAAGAGAAAACAGAGAGCCTCCGTAGAGGTCTTGCTGATTATGAGTTTCGAGGGGCTACTTAGGATAGTGTCAATATTTATCCATCCTTCTTCGAGCTCCGAGTCATGTAGGAGCTGGAGCCTATCCTGGCACGGACTGGGCACAAGGCAGGATAAAGCTCTAATGAAAGTCACAAAAGGTGGATTGAAGTCTATTTGGGCTGATGGCCACATTGTAGGTGTTTTTCCTTAAACAGCTTCCCAGGTGGATCTGTGACTGGTTCCAGAAGGCTGATAAAAACAAAGACGGCCGAATGAACTTTAAGGAAGTGCAAGATCTGCTCAAGATGATGAATGTGGACATGAATGAACACCACGCACTTCGCCTTTTTAAGGTGCCAACACAGAACAAATGATCTTGCCTTCTACAAGACAGCACACCTCAATATGTGATCAGTTTAGCATGTTTTTTTTTGGACACAACAACTTCTTCCTCCATTGGGAACCTTCATTCCTATTTGATATTTGCAAGCTGGCAGTGGTTCTTAGTAGGTCACAAAAAGGGAACAGTCAAATTGTTACTAGCTTGGCATTAACAAGTAGCGCAAGTCATTACTCTGTTTACAGTGACAATATTTGTAAAAAGTCTTTATAATCTGTCCGTTTAAACTCAGAGTAAGGACCACAGCAAACATGGCTCCATCATCTCACTGGGTCTTGTTGTCCCATTAAACCTGCTGTGTTCTGTTTTCCTACATGTAGATGGCTGACAAGTCCCACTCAGGCACACTGGAGGATGATGAGTTTGTGCTGTTCTACAAGATGCTGACACAGCGGGAGGATGTGCTGCGCCTCTTTCAGGAGTACTCCAGTGATGGACAGAAGCTGAGCCTGACTGACTTGGAGGAGTTCCTGCTGGTGGACCAGCTGGAGGGAGACCATACGCGCCAGCGCGCGATGGAGCTCATTGAACGCTATGAGCCCTCAGAAACTGGTACCACGGCACTGTTTACTCTGATAAAAATACAAGCTTCACATTAACACAAGCTTATATACACCAAGTATATCATACATACAAGATCAGAAATCCTTTTTTATGTTAAGGCTAAATGCATAACTTTGCATTTTGCTTTAAAACAGGCCTGTGCAAGAATTGCCTTTGTAAAAAATGCACTTTCCAGTTTATTTGTGCATTGCCCCTGAGAATGTGATCTTCTGTGGTTTACAGCCAAGATGCTCCATGCTATGTCCATCGATGGGTTCCTCATGTATCTGTGCTCCCCAGACGGCTCAATATTCAACCCCCACCATGAACAGATCTACCAGGACATGACCCAGCCCCTCTGCCACTATTTTATCTCTTCTTCCCACAACACCTACCTGATTGAGGACCAGCTTCGTGGACACAGCAGTGTCGAAGGCTACATCAGGTAGGACCCACAGCTAATGATGGATGAAGATACAACACAAGGCAATGATCTGTTTTAACACATCTGCTTGAGAAGGCTGTGGATAGTTTAATCAAAAGTTGTAATCAGCTTGTATGTTTTATAAACATGCATACATTTTAGTAAACTTTTAGTATTCTTTTTTTGCTCCTACAAAAATGCTGAAGAGTCAGACAACTCAGCACCAGGATCCATAGTGATACTGTCGACTTATTCATTTTTCTTCCATTTGCCACAGAGAAGTTGCAACATGGATGTTTAAAACTAAGAATTCACTTTGGGATTTGACTTGTAAGATACAGATTTAAGGTGGCGTGGTGGCACAGTAGGTTACCACTGCTGCCTCACAGTGCTTGGGCTCTGGGCCCATTTCCTGGGGTGCTATCTGTGTGGAGTTTGTATGTTCTCCTTCAGTTCACGTGGGATTCTTCAGGACATTCTGGTTAATTCCCACAGTCCAAAGACCTACAGGGTGCATTGGCTTCTGGAAAATTGGCCCTGGTGTGAGTGCATGTTTGAGTCTGTGTGTGCCCTGTGATGGACTGGTGTCCGATCCAGGTTGCATCCAGTATTGAATCCAGCCTGTTGTTGACTGGAAGAGGCTCTGACTCCCCTGTGACCCTGGACTGATATGTTGATGTCCCTTTTCCATCTTTCCCATCCCCTCTGGGTTTGTTTATAATGACACCTAGATGTCAAATGGACATAAAATAAAAACTTGACAATTTAACAGTGGCTACAATGGGAAATGTAGAAAAATGTAATGGAGACTTTTTTCTCCTCTCCTGATCTCAGTACAGCTTGATAGAAATGAACAAACATCTATCCTACTAGACATTTATATGCCGTAAGAAGTAAAAAAATTGGTACAATTTAAGACAACCCTTTATGAATTTATGAATCATATTCTAGGCCATGTTGATCCCAGTGTAAAGCAATGAAAAGAATCAAAAGGTGGGATCGGATTTTGATCAAGAGCGAGATTTTATCAATTTAAGAGATGTTTTGACAATAGTACTTTTTCCCCCATAAGGAACCTTCATTTCTTTTTGATATTTGCAAGCTGGATGTTGTTTTTAGAAGCTGTTGAATTTAGGAATTATTAGCAGCATAAGCTATTACTCTTTGTACTATAAAATGAGATTTTTAGTAAAAAATGACCTTGTAACCTATTCATTCTCAGAGGAAAGACTTCTGTTAATAAGAGGACAATGATGGAAAACAAATGGCAGAAAATATCTTTCTTTTTTTCTTTGTTAAGTAATCTGTGGCTCTGATATTTAATCCTGGAGATGAGTTTTGTGCATGATTTTCTGAATTTGTAATAAGTATAAGTAATGATGATAATAGTAAATAATTATAATACTAATTTTGAACAAGAGCAATAGGCAGATAAGCAGTAAAAAAATTAATAAGAAACCATATTTTAGCCTGACCTTGTATCTATGGTCACAATCCTCTCCCTAGAGGGGGTTATGTTGTCTGGTGCTCAGACTCCTGACTCCAGTGAGACTCCTGACTCCAGACCCCTGACTCCCAATGACTCCCAGTCTTTGATGTGTCAAAAAGAGCCACATCAGAGGAAGATAGAAAAGGCATTTTCATGATATGATAAAAGCAAACTTGGATAGGCACAGTGGCGCAGCGGTTAGGATTACTGCCTCGCAGTGCTGGGAACCCGGATGTGATTCTGGACCTGGGGTGCTATCTGTGTGGAGTTTGTATGTTCTCCCCCTGTTTGCGGGGGTTTCTTCCTGGTGCTCTGGTTTCCTCCCACAGTCCAAAGACATACTGGCAAATTAATTGGCTTATGGTGTGGGTACTGTATGTGCGTATCTGCCCTGTGATGGAGTGGTGCCCCATCCAAAGTATACCCTGCCTTGCGCCCATTGCTTGCTGGCACCCCACAACCCTGACTTGGAAGAAGTGGTTAGAATATGAATGCATGGAAAAAGCAATCTAAAAGAAATGCAACACTGATATCAGCCCAGTCAAGGTTTCCATGTCAGGTAGCAGCAAAGTAGCAAAACAGTAAATTACATTAGGTAACATTAAAATGTCATTTAACCAGAAGCATAAGTCAACTGGGAACACATTTTCATTTACAATGACAAACTGGAGCATACCATTTTGTACAGCAGTGCATTTATTGGATTGTTTTGAGACAAGCACCTTGCTCATTAAAAAAAAAACAACAACAGTAGCATGTCATACAGGATTTGAGCCTTCAACCTGTCTGATTGAAGTTCAGACTAAGACCAGGTTCTAACCAATACCCCTTCAGTTTAAAGAACTGTGCTTTAACATTTAATATTTTAACTGTGCTTTATCTGCTTATGGGATATTTTGCCAGTAAAATCAGAAATACCAGACATTCCCTGTAATAATGAGCAAAGTACAGGTTAATTGGTGTAGGAAATTGCTTACAAAGTGTGTTGTTTGTATTTTGTACAATATGTAATAAAATACATCAATAACAAAACAACAATAAAATAAATATTACACAGGTTTGAAATTCATGAATATCAATGGTGCTTCATAGGGGTAGTTCAGTTGCTTCCAAACTACGGTGTTATTTGTGTTTTGTATACTTCAGCGAATTGTATACAGTATATTTATAACACATGAAATAAAGAACTGGTATATTTAGGATGAAAAGGCACAAGAACAATTTTCATTGACTGTGTTGTGCAATTATTAAAAAATAAGTCAAAAGATCCAGAAAGCATATACATACGCTTACAATAGTTATATATTATAATATAATAGTTTTTTAGAATTTCAAAGGGTTATTTAAAATGGACATTTGGCAATAACAGACCTTCCCAGTAATCTGTAAACTGGGGATTTACTGTTTTCATCTTTGATTGCAGTTTGGAGTAGCACGTAGGGCTCCCGCCCAGAGCTTTCTGGGTTCAAATGTCCAGCTGTTATATATAAACAACTCTCCAAGTTGACATTGTAAATCAGAAGTTGTTTTCAATTGACTTATTTAGTAAAATAAAGGAAATAAATAAGATTTATTTTACAGCCCATTCATATTTTCTTACAATTTCCAACCCTGATGAACCCTGATAATTCTTACTCTTCAGCAGTTTTGGTATTGGTTTAAATAAGCAGGGAAGTAAATGCTGTCATATGTATTGCTGTCATATGCAATTGCTAGTACTGGTGTTGAGCTGCTTTTCTCAGAGTATCCACTCCTGCTGCAGCTATGAATTACAGTGTGCAATCCCTCCAGGGCTCTCAAGAGGGGATGCCGCTGTGTGGAGGTGGATTGCTGGGATGGTCCCAATGGGGAGCCCATTGTCTACCACGGCCACACCTTGACCTCCAAAATCTTCTTCAAAGATGTCATCCACGCTCTCAACAAATACGCCTTCAGGGTACGTGTTTCAAAAAGCACCAGGCACACCTGCACAACAACCCGAGGCTCCACAAAAGCATCCAGAAATATTCCTTTCCAGGGATTACGACTTGTGTCTTCTCTGAGCTATTATATAATGGCTCTGTTATATGGAGAATCTGTGGTTATTGTGAAGTTTAATTTCTGCCATCAGGAAACTAAACAATCGGTCTACATATTAAAATTCCAATCTACCCATATGGCGGATTTGGCCTTTTTGTGATACTTTGCATTGCACCTCCGTGAAAAAAGGACAGAGATTATACGTGCACATGTACACTTTCACTATCTCTATTTCTACACTTAATAATGATAAAGGAGATGCATTATCTTCTCCTAGCATTATATGCAAAACTGTTGTCAAGATCACACGTGTGTGTCACCACATGCAATGCGATAGTGACCTCAGACCCTGCACGGCTGTCTGCCTGAATGGAACCCAGTGGTGGATGAATGGTATTGTCTTTCTCCCCTGATAATACTCCATCTTTAATTGTTAATGCCCCTTCCCTCCCCCCTCCAGGTATCAGAGTACCCGGTCATCCTGTCCATTGAAAACCACTGCAGTGTTGAGCAACAGAGAGTCATGGCCCAACACCTCAACAGCATTCTCGGCGACAAGCTGTTGAAAACCATCCTGGATGGCAAAATTCCCAATAGGCTACCTTCTCCTGAGGTAAAGAAAGGACACCACTTCAAAATCTCTGCCTGATGATGTCTGATGTCTGCCATTTGTAAGGCCATGATTTGATATTATAACACCTCTCTGACAATACTAGGCTTATTCATTCAGTTTAATGAGTGAACACATATTTGGTACTGTGGTAAACTAATGACACAATAGATTCAAGGAATTGAATAATTGGCATCGTTGCATAACATCTTAGAATAAGACCCATTTAACTTTTTGTGGGGTGAAAGAGGGAGTTGAATGGAAGTAACTGAATATCCTGCTTCCTAGTTCTCTAGATGTTTGATGCATCGGGGCATCCTGAGAAGGCATTGTGTAATTTCTTTAGAAATCTTTTTTTGTATCAGTCTATAGTCTATAGTTTCCTGTGTGTGCATACACTGTAAGATTAACTAGTTGAACTCATTATTGTTCAAAGTGAGTCAATCACAAAGAGTTTTATGAAATATAATATAGACTCAAAACATTCATAGCTCTGACAGCTTTACAGGAGCTTTTCTCCTTTTTGTAGCCTATTACATGTCTGTAGTCTTTCTTATTTTAACATGATATCTTTCCTGAGAAGCCTTTCTGCTGAATTTGTTGCCTGTGGTCTCTCTAGACCATGGGGACTTCCACTACCTCAGACAGATTTCACTGTTTCAGAACTACCTTTTCATTAGAATTTTGATCTTTTTAATGGGGAACAAAAATAGTGTACTATTACGATGCAGCCGAAAGAAACAATCACATTTCTCTGCATCGCTGAAATCTCCCCTTACCAGCATATGATTCCTCCACATCCTTCTAAACCACCACCCTGCTCCATGGGACAATCTCTTCCCCTCCCCAAACTAAAGAGGACCCCAAAAATCATCAGAGTGGTATTCATGGATAAGCTCAGCAGTGCTTTACAGGCATCTGCTCCTGCTCCCCAGCCTCTGACAGTCCCCTCTCCAGCCCCCAGGACCAGAAATGGAAGGCTCCCAATTGACAACATCAAGAAAGGAAAGGGCCCACTCATACCAGAGGTGGGAATAAGAACATAATAAAGGATACACACAAGAGAAGGTCATTTTGCCCTTCTCGCTCATTCTGTAGTTAGTACGTAATTGATCTGAGACTCTCTCCCAGCCATTTTTTGAAGGAAGCCAAGCCACTGGCTTCCCCCACATAGCAGGGTAATTTGTTCCATGCTCTTACAACCCTTTGGGTAAAGAGGTGCCTCCTATTCTTGTTTTTAAAGCCTATCAATGTAGTCTCCACTTGTGTCCACTGGAACGTGGGGGGCTTTCAGCGCAGGGCAACCACCTTCTTGGGAGCAGTAACACCAGCCTGCCAAAGCTGTCTTGATGAATTATGTGATGACTCATCATTCGTTCAACAAAAGGGTCAGCAAAGATAAAAAAAAACAAAAAATGTTTTGTTGGGTCATCACTTGGGACTCATCAATGATGAGTCACCACGCAGCCAAGAGCAGCAGGAAAAGTTGAGTATTCCCATCACCCTGTCACCAGAAGCCAATGTGTGTAAGACCCATTAGAAATTATCTCCAAGGGGTACATATATTCTGTGAATAAACCGTCTGGTGAAAGGGCTTTCTTTGAACAGAATACAAATTCTCCCAGGCAATGTCCCAGAAAAGTATTCATTTGCAAGAGGAATATACTGTAGATCTACCTTTAAACAAAACCACTCGGTCTTTCTCCTGCTGATGCAGCAAGGCAGAGGTACAAGAGTGATATGAGCTGCATGTGACGCAAACGTAGGTTTTAAAATATTAAGCAGTATGGTGTGTGTTCTTCTTACCATCCTTGTCATAGTGGTTTCAGTAATGATGGTAAAATTCCATTTCTTCAGACTCATACAAAGTCTGCAGTACCATACCTACCATACAGTGGTAAATGAAATGAAAACAGTGTGGAAATACAACAACTAAAAAAAAATAGAGAGTTTCAGACATAATTAATAAATTCAGTCCCTTTTTTTGCATGTCGTTAATCACCTTTTTCTTTTGTGTCTGTTTTAATACATTAGCTACTGATTTACTGGGAACATATTTAATAGGATTCTGATATTAAGGAAAGAAACAAACCTTTATTCATAGTTATTCAACACATTTCTAGTCAAAGCACTTTATTTTATAAACTGGGATAGGGCATATTAATTTAATTTAAACTGTTATGTATGTTTTAGGCAAACACACTTACGTATGAAACTCACATGTGTAGTGAACATATAAAAGAAGAATTGCAGCTTTTGAAAAGAAGTAAATTTTTAATTTCCAAGATAATACCTGATGTAAGAGATGAGTTAAATGAGTTCACTGGCTGTACAGTAAACAAAGTAGAATTCTCTTTGTGAAAATTATTTTCCAGATTTAAATTTCTATTATGCTCTATTAGAATTGTACTGTATGTAGGCATGCATGTCTCACAATAGATGTTTAAAACTTTTCACCCATTGGAATGAAAAAAATCCTCTTTAAATAAGAGTACAATGGTACCATATCATGATCAACTCTTAAACAACATGATCTTATTTTTTTTGCTGCTGTTCTATCCTGTTTTTGGTTATGTGGCACAACAGGACATTGCAGAGAAAAGGGTCTAAGCAAGTAAATTGACCAAACAAACAACTAAATGTGACCCAATCAGGTACTGTTAATGAAATTATAAGCCCTCATGAATTTAATTGATAATTGTAAATGATGGAAAATAAGCTGGCCTGTTTGGATGACAAGATATAGTTTTAGGGACAACATCATTAAAAGAGCCCCATCAATTCTGAAGGGAGGCTTCTGAGAGGAAGTGAACGTTAATGCCTTTCTGGAAGTTTCCGGGGTAGATAAGCCATTTCACTTGTCCCTTCCGGGTGTTGTCCTGGCAGGAGCTGAAGGGGAAAGTGCTCCTGAAGGGCAAGAAGATGGGCGGCTTGGAGGACTGTGTCAACGGGACAGCAGAGGAGCCCTTCAATGGGGAAGTGAGCGACGAAGATGAGGCTGCTGACATCGATGAAGAGCACCTACGCAATGACACCCTGCGCCGGAGAGGCAAGGTGAGGATGCAAATGGGGTTGGTGTTCTCTGAGCTGGTGGTCTTTTTTCCTGGTGTGGTTAAGGGTTTATGGACCTAAGAGTCTTTGTAAGAAGCTGACCCCCGCCGAGGAAGACAAGTTAAATAGCCTTCATCCATCAGTAAAACTTTCACAAATATTCAGCACACATTACTTGTGTGACACATCTTTTAAATTGTTAAATGTAATTAATAGTTTCTTTTTTAAATTGATTTTATTAAATAATTAACCACTGTGTTATGAGGTCAACAGATATACAGATGCAAACGATTTTTCCAAAAGTCAACATATCGCATTAATTTCAGAAAGCAAATGTCTAGTTTTAACAATACTCAAGATAAACACTGCTGCGTTAAAGTCTAAAACACTATTAGGAGCTACAAAATACACTATGTATGTTACGATTGGCAACAATTTATTCAAACCTTCATTCCTTTCTACTGTTCTAACAACTTTCACTGTTAAAAAAACAGCGTAAGATTATATGAGAAGAACCCAAGCCTGTCATTTAGCAACATACAATTCATATTGTTCGGAAACAAAAACTTGATCAAAGCAAGGTAATCTATACTCAAGATCCCGACATGAAGTGATTTATTACCAAATCCATCACATTTGCCAATCAAACTTAATTGAATATGTGGTTTATTTGTAGTTATACGCAACTAATTAAAAAATACAGACTGAACTGATTTCTAAATTTTACCCAGGCTTTATTCTTTACTTTCTACAACTGTGCTCATTTTCACTCTGTCACCCCACTGGGTGGAGCCATAGCACTGTTAAGTTCCATTCCAAAAAAAGACCATTTGCATTGCAGTCTGATTGTCAGATTCTCATCATTAACATCATTTGTTTCTCTCCATTCATCCATAAAGGCTGCCTTTTATACTGCACAGAAACATATAGATCTGTCAAGATTAGCTGTTAACAGAAAACAAAAAGGCTAGAATTTCAACAGGTGATCACTGACAAATTTAATTCTTTTGCTAAAGGTAGCAAAACATCGAGTGAAAACAGTTCCAGATGTCATAGTGTTTTGCACAGATAATAAGGTGCACTTCAAAAATCATCATTATCAGCATGATTAGAAAATTATGGATAATAATTGCGATGAAGGGTGGCACACTGGTGCAGTAGATTCACTCCCAGTGCTGGGTTTCAGGTCATGCTGTCTGCATGGAGTTTGTGTGTTCTCTCCTTGTTCACAGGTGTTTCCTCCCATAACATATCACGTTATATCATACTGGCATGTTAATTGGCTTCTGGGAAAATTGCCTTGGTGTGTTTGTGTGCACGTTTGTGGCTGTGAGGACAGGAGTCCCATCCAGGGTGTCTCCTGCCTTGTGTCTGTTGCTTGCTGGGATAAGGTCCAGCTCCCATTGGACCCACTATAAGATAAAGTGGTTAAAAAAGGTTCGATGGATAATAATGAAGGTAACTAATAGGCAGAGCAATCATTCTTTCTTATAAGTTTGTTTTTTTTTCTACTGCTTATTCATTGTGTATTATAGGATAAACCAACGTAGATAAGATATGTGAACGTTTTGAATTCACTAGCAGACCTTATTTTGAAGTGCTACCGTCTGTCCTTATTTACCCCAAGAAATAAGATGGCCATCTTCAGTGGACCAGGTAATGAGTCCTGATTCTGTTACAGTCCAAGGGCAGAGTTCCTTCTCTAGAATCGAACACAGAGGTCCACCACACTGTTGGAATTGAATTACATAAAACTTAAACATTCCTCATCAAAGATACATGCATCAGGTTGGGACTAGACTTTGTCTGCCTTGAAACCAGTATCTCCTTCCAGCATTACATAAACAGAATGAGGTTAGGGAAAGCTAATCACATTATACTCTGGGGCTGAAGTTTTCCCATTACTGTACCACAGGGCATAGAGACAGAGAGAGAGATGGTCTTCAGTGGACACTTAATTCCTTGGTGCTCAAACTGCTGAGATTGCAGTGAAGTTAAACTAGAGATTATCTTCTTGTTTGACTAATGCAAGGATACACACTAAAAAACTGTCGAAAAATCAGAATAAAAGGCAACACATACATTATACACTAGACTAGAGTGATAACATCCATTTATCCATTTACTAGTGGCTTTATCCAGTACAGTGTTGCAGGGGAGCCTGAGCCTATACCAGTAACAAAACTGCAATAGGCAGGATACAATCTGGGTAGATCACCAGTCCATAACCGGTAATCACTGGTTAACAGTTTCTGGTTAAATTTCTGGACCATATTATCGTTTATGATGGCTGAGTTTTGTAAATATACCAGTAAATATAACATCATGGCCAGTTTAACTCCAGATAATTTGTTTTCTGAAAATGGGAAATTATTTTTGTAAGATAATACCGATTGCATTCTAAATATATATTGTATTATATGTGAAAAGCAATACATTTGTATAATATTGTACTACAGTCTTCACCCAAAGTTCATAATAAATCCTAATGTTAAACTGTCATAAGATCAGTATGTACCATATTTTTTAAGTGATTGCTAGTACTGACCAGAAAAGGGATTTAGATTACTACTGTTTCTTGTATCGTAAGAATACGTCAAACAAAAAAATAATCTTGGACCATATCCTCTAAAGTAGGGGTTCCAATCCTGGTCCAGAAGACTGACACTACACTTATTCATCATACATAATGCGATCTCCTTTAAGACTAGACTGAAAGGATTAGTGTACAGAAAGCTGCTGAGAATTGCCTTGGAGTGACTGACAGGTCTGTAGGAATCTGTCAGCCTACAGACAGAAGGTAGGTGTCCCTGTCTGTTTGGGTTCAGGCACGGATTAACTTTCACATAAGGACAGGTGTCTCCTGGATGCCCTGTTGGCATTGCTAATTAGTCTGGATTGATGCCCACAGCTCAGCGTACTCACCAGAACAACTTACAGCCTGGATTACTGGATTTGAAGAGGCTGCAGTGATTTCCACTGCCTCAGTGTGTAAACATGAACCTTTGTATAACAATGAATAATTTGCTTTGTCAATGCCCATGCATTGCAAATAAAGCAATGCAATTTCCTTCCATCTGTCCATATACTGTTGGAAAAAAACACGCAACACCTCCTCCTCCACACTCTGGCCCTCCTGTCTGCATGGAACAGGCTGAAGAGTGACTCATCCGTGAAGAGGACCTGATTCCACTGCTGACAAGTCCATCGCAGCCTCTGTCTGGAACCAAGCCAGTCGGGTGTGACATCTAGGAGGTGTGAGCAGAGGGTCTCTGACAGGTCGCCTTACTCTAAGGCCAGAAGCATGGAGCCTCACTGTCCTGTCACTGATGTCAGCATTGTGTCTGCGGGCAGTTTCAGAAGCAGTGCGGGTGGCAGATCTGAAACGATCTCTCAGATGGACCAGTCTGATGTGTCTGTCCTCCTCTGGTGTGGTCACTCGAGGGCGAATGGATCTTAGACGGTCACCTGCCCTGCTGTTTTGCTGAAACATTCTCTGCAGTCTGGACACAGTGGAGTGGCTTACTCCATAGTGTCTGGTAACGGTGGCACATGACATACCTGCCTGCAGCATTTTGGAATGCACAAAAAACTGACTAAGTGTGGCCTTTTTCTTGCAGTGACCTAAGCTTTGAATTTGGGCCTTTTTTAATGTGACCTGATCAGGCATTGCTCCACCTGGACCTCATTGAGTAAAAGTGCACCTAACGAGCTTTCGTGTGATTGGCAATTTGCGATGCCTCACTGCACAAGCTTTTTTTTTTGTTTTTGGACTGTGGAAGGAAACACAGATGACCATGGGAAGAACATACAAGCTCGATACAGATGGATGTGAACCCAGGCCCCCAATGCTACAAGGCAGCAGTGTTGACTACTGACCCACCATGTCCCCGTAACAATAAAGCAAAATGTTCAAATGCTGAAAAAGTGAAACAATGAGGCCTAGTGGTTTTGCTTCCTTGTGCAAAACTGTGTTCAAATTAAGCAGTGCTCCCTTCTTCAGTTCTTAAACAATATCAGACAGTTCCACTATCATTGAAGTGAATATCTAGTGTTTTACCTGCTGTTTACTGACCACTGTCCTAGCGGTAGCTATGGTGAAGGGTGGTAGTCTAGAACAAGCTACCCAGCCATGTTGTTGGATCACTTGGCTACTTGCAACCCAATGAGCACGACGGGCCACATGTTTTCCTCTTGTTTGTAACCTCTCTTTTGTTTTTATGCTCCCATTTCTCCTCTGTAGAAATCAAAACAGCATCTGTCCAAAGAGCTCTCAGACTGTGTGGTGTACTGCAAGAGTGTGCATTTCAGCAGCTTCAAACACTCGCGCGCTCATGCCAAGTTCTACGAAATCTCATCCTTCACTGAGTCCAAGGCACGCAAGCACATCAGGGAGACGGGTGAGCAAACAAACCGAAGCACGTCATGACACAATTCACAACAACGTATCCGGGTGCGATAAGCTTCTCGTGATCCACATTCCTTGGCGCTGTTGACATCATGTTGACAGCATTTAGAAAAGATCAAATCAGCCTGCTCCTCTCTGAGGAAGCATAACAGACTTTGTGTTTTTCTTCTGATCATTAGGAGCCGACTTTGTGCGTCATAACACCAGACAGCTGACACGGGTTTACCCTAGTGGCCTGAGAACAGACTCCTCCAACTTCAATCCACAAGAGATGTGGAATGTGGGTTGCCAAATAGGTAAAGGATGGGCGAACGGAAAATCAAAGAGAATTCTTTATGTGCAGTGAAGGGAGGCCAGGAAACAGAAGGCTTGAAAAGCAACAGACAAAAGTTCTGAAAGATGGTAGAATGACAATGCACTAAGACTGAAGGTTTGTTGTAAAAGGATCCACAGATTATAATTGAATAAAGTGAGGGCACATTCAGTTATCTCCACTAAGGTTCTTAAAATGTTGGAAAGCATTCTTTTAAAACATAATTTTGTCCTGTATGTTGCTCCATTGTATTTCACTCATTTTAAAGTTTTGTCATATATGTCTGTACAGTGCAAAAACGGTACTAGGAACAGTAACTGGTGCCAATGGAAGTGCTGGAAGAGGCGGAATGTAAAGGAAAGATGCATAAATAAAATCAACTACAGCTGAAAAGCTCAGGAGTGATTGAGGTTGAGGAGGTGGGCAGCTGTGTCATTGTACTCTGTATTTTTTTCTATTTCAGTCGCACTGAATTTCCAGACAGCAGGAGTGGAAATGGACCTCAATGATGGACTCTTTAGCCAGAATGGCCACTGTGGGTTTGTTTTAAAGCCCAAGTTCATGAGAAGCAGTGAGAGTAGGTTTGACCCAGAGAACCCTCAAGACAGAGAGGATTACCGGCCCTTTCGACTCTCCATACAGGTACCAACACACAGTTTAGTGCTCATGTGCTAGTGGAGACATTCTGAAAAGAGGTGCTATAATGAAGACACTTCAACAGCAGCAGGATGTTTCAACTTTCCATATCATGGTTACATAGCTTGAATCTCACTTTTTCTATTGTTCTCTGGGCACTTTTCAGGTAATCAGTGGGCAACAGCTTCCGAAGGTGAACATCAAAGAGGGGTCCATTGTGGACCCACTAGTGAGAGTGGAAATCCATGGTGTACCTTTGGATCAGGCCAAGCAGGAGACCAAATACATTGAAAACAATGGTGAGGACTGTATTCACAGTCCGTATAACACTTCATCTAATGCCCTTACAAGCATATTGTCTGCTACTTATTTAGATTTTTTTATTAATTATTGTCCTTTTGCATGTATGAAAACAGCTTATGTGAATGAACTTGCTCAGTGATTTAATATTTAGTTGTAGCTCTATGTGAGAAGTTGTGAAGTTCTTAGATCAGCATTTTTCTTCCCAAATATCTCTCCCCAGGGTTTAATCCAGTGTGGAATGAGACCCTACAGTTCCTCATTCATGTCCCAGAGATGGCGCTCGTGCGCTTTGTCGTGGAGGATTATGACAAGACATCCAGGAACGACTTTGTTGGCCAGTACACATTGCCGTTCATGTGCATCCAGCAAGGTGAGGGGAGTGGAACTTCTTATTTCCTCTCATTGGAAAATTAACTAAACCCTCTTAGTTCCTTAAGGCTGGAACTCCTCAAAACATTTATTTTACCCATTGACGTTTACACGTTTTCTTCACGAGTGAGTGTCACTAAATTGCAAGACATCTGTATCAAAGCTGCAGATACTTTCTTGGAGTGGAAGATGGCACAGACGGGACTATACAGGTGACTGCCCAAAAAAGAAACACCAACATTAGGTGTCTCAATGCCAGAACAGCTTCTTGGCATAGATTCTAAAATGTCTGGATCTCTACTGGAGGGACATGACACCATTCCTCCACAAGAAATTCCATGTTTTTTTATGTTGGTGGAAAACGCTATCTCAGGCGCCATTTCAGAATCTCACATAGGTGTTCAATTGGGTTGAGATCTGGCGACTGGGACAGCCATGGTATATGGTTTACTTTGCTCTCATGCTCATCAAACCATACAGTGACCACTCATGCCTTCACTGGGAAACAACCACTCAAGCCTGTAGGCTCCATACACGCATGTGTTGAGAACAGGGTAAAAGATCATTCATCTGACCACATGACTTTATTCCACTGCTTAGTAGACCACTGCCTGTGTTCTTTGCACCACATAACTTGCAAAAGTGCATTTTTAGGTGTAAGTAGGGGATTTTGCAATGCAACCCAACCATAGTATCCCTTTCTGTGACGTTCTTGAGGGACTGTACTTGATGAAACTGTCTGCTCATGCCTTACAGATTGACATTTGCAAGCCAAATGATTCAGTTAGTCTGTTTGTTGACCATTATCTATGATGTCTTTCCCTCAGACTTATATGCCAGTAATTACCTTGGTCATTGTTCCACATGAAACATAAGCGAGTCCAACAGTCTTCACTGAAGCTCTTGCCAAATGTGCCCCAACAAATCACGACTCCCTCAAAGTCACCTGAGATCTGTTCTTTCAGCCAGAGTAGCCAAAATAATGGGCAACTAGGTCTGCCCATAATTATTTTATATGTCCCTTAGCGTGATGGAAAGTTAATTGCTTTAATTAATTTAGGAACCACATCAGTGTGGAAGCATCTTCTTTCAACATACTTTGTAACCCTTATTTACTTATGTGTTTCATTTAGTTTGGCACTTAGCTGTAGTTCCCATGATGTTTCCCTTTTGACAACTTGTAGGAATGGTTTGCTTGGGAGAACAAGATGTTAAAGTTACCTTTACCTTGCAGATGTATTCCTCAAAATCTATGGACCTTTGATTTTGATGCATATCTAATTTTGTTTTAATGGTGTTTGCAGGATACCGCCACATCCACCTCTTGTCTAAAGATGGAACCAGCATTCCTCCCTCCTCACTTTTTGTGCACATCCAGATTACGGACACTGAATAACTTGGATGAACTTCAGCACTTTAGTTGCAGACAACTGCACAGCCTCCTCCAACCTTCTCACAAATATTGACGTTGGACTTGCAAGAGACAGCTTCCTAATCACTGTTTACAGCAGAGCTGTGCTGTACCAAACTACAGAATATATAAACATAGATTTATATATTTTTATTACTTTCGAATCAAAGCATGATACAAAAACACTGTGCTGGTGTTTCATAATTGAAAAAATATCCATAACAAAACATCATGAAAATACACGACCTCTCAGTCACGTTGGAGTCACTGAATTCTGAAATTAACTGAAGCATAAAGAGATTACCTCATCTGTGGATAATTGAAGAAAAGATGGATTTGTAAATTAAAAGTACTTCTAAGGGACTGCATATCTGGATAAGCTTATGTCCCCACGACAAGCTGGAAATATCCATCCTGCATTTACACTTCACCAACTAGCAGGCAACTACAAAGGTACTGCACTTTGATTTTGAAACTTCTTTTGCCAGAGGTATTTGAAAACAAATGTGTGATCTTTTAACACCCATGCAGACTGAAGATAAAATACTTTCATATCTTCATGAAGTAGTTTCACTTAAAACTGTAAAACTGCTAAAACAGAGTTAGGAGTAAAAAACGATTAGTAGGCCAAGGATTGTATTAAAAATTAACACACGTTTTGTGGTAACCTAAAAGTTAATAGCTTTACATGCATACTGCTTTCCTTTTTAGTAGTGATGGTAGAACAATAAAATCAGAAGCTGTATTATATGAGTGCAAAATACATAACTATTAGAACAAAAGGTGGCTGAATAAAACAGATTATAGTTTGAATTAAATAGCTCACATCATAAAATAATACATCATTCTTTGAATTTAACATTTAAATAACCTATTGTAAACCCTAGTATCCTAGTTAATCTGCAATTTGCATTGTATTACCTCATAAACTCACCAAACCCATGAAATGCAAGCTGCAGATACCAAAAACCCGAGTTAAGCTTCTCTATAGTATCTACGTACACATAGGCTGCAATTGTGAAGTAATAAATCCCTCTTATTATATTCAGTCTGCATATATCAGTTAATATACACACTGCATATAGATAGAAAACATGTACAATCATATCAAAACCAAATCCTTTTCTTGCAAAATGTGTCAGAATTAGCAGGATTAGTATAATTAAATAAAAACTGGCAACTGCAACCTGCCTTAATACACAATTGTTTTTATTCAAAGTATTTTTTCGTTCAAAAAAACAACAACAAAGGTTTTCTTACTGTATAGGTTGTTTTGTAACAAAATGTAGTTTTTGCTGCTGTTGGTATTCATATATTTTTATACTTTTATTTGCTTTGTTGAATATAAATTATTGCTTATTGTATTTTAATAAGTGATCTATATTTCTTTTTTTACAGCAGTTGTTTTAGAAAGGTAACTTTAATTTTGTTTGCCTGTAAATGTATACTTACATATGCCATGTCCACCTGCAAATAAATGAGAATTTCAGGGGAAATAGTTTTCTGCATTACGGCTGACAGAAAAGGAGCTGTGAAATGAGCAGCAGTTTGAATGACAAGATGTAACTCTTAGGTTGTCTGAAGAAGTGATTAGATCTCTCTAAGCAGAAGGTAATGTGATATACAGTATGATTCAGGTCCAAAGAGTATAAAAGAAGGTATAGTCCAGCTGCTAGCACTTATGAATTGGACTCTTCATTTTATATTCTACATCATCAATGTTCTACATCAATGTAATAAAATTAGAGCACTTTGGAACTGGTGACAGTCTACACTCATTTACATTTCACAACTCCAAGAAATACAAGACATTATTTTGGACAAAACTGGAAATTACAAGGAATGAACAAGAATACTGCAAAACAAAAGGGTTATGTACAAATATGATTATGAAGGCCAGGGAATGTAGCACAAAAATCAAAACAACCACTGTATTTTAATAAACATTGCACTCTCGTTTTACATTATAGCAGAGTGATGGTTATATACAGTACAGCAGATATTAGACAACATTTATTTTTGTATTAAATAATTTATAGTTATGACAATTACATGATAGAAAGGGTTGTGAAGTGGTTAACAAAACTGTACATATCGGATTCTTTTGGTAATGTAAACTTAAGATTCCAGGTTTATTTGTAGAACCCCATGACTGACCCTAAGAAAACAAATAATTTTTACTTTTTAACTCAACATTCAGGTTTTGGATTATTCAGTAACATGCACAGTAATTAGAGCACTTACACTCTAAGGCAGTAAAGTTTAATATTACTATATTGAGCTATACACTGAGGGGGCACTAATAAAACAATGTTCAAACCCATTATGCAATTTGATGTCTAAAATGTGGTATCAGCATTACAAGAACACTTCTTTTTAGGAAATTATATTTCACTCAGCAAGAGCACATGGTGGTAAATTCCAATGATGCACAAAGTTAACAAGTGCATCCCATAGGTGTTCTACTGGATTCAAGTCTAGTACACAAGACTCTGCTGCCTTCGTTCTGGAGCTACTGTGTTACTGTACAGGATCTGATCTGGCCACGGTGGTGTTCAGGTGTCTCTGTGGCAATCTGGGATACGGGACAATATCAATACTGAAGATGCCTCACTCAGTGTATACTGAGCAGATTGTGCAGGGCATGGTGATGCATGGCTACACTTGGTTTCGAGTTGAACACATCTGAAAGTATCAAGACTGTAGACATGATATTGTTGACCAGAGTCTTACCTAAAGTGTCCTACTCTCAGCATACCAAGGGCCTCTTCCTTTCTATGTGGCAATCGTGGCATTATGGTGCAACCATGATTAATGAACGTTTTCCCCTGTTTGTTTTGCTCACAGTCACAGGAGCAGTAACTTGAACATTGCTATAGTTGTGATAAAGTGTCATAAAGCTGTGATTTTCATGTTTTGTTAACAGATTCAGGAACGAAGTGAATTAAACTTTTCACTAATAATTTACTGTATGAATATATAGTTCTGGGAAAGTAATGTAACAAATATCCATTATATTTTTCATGCCTCTTAGAATATAATGTATCCGATACTTTATGTTGTACATATTCCCTTTAAGAAAGGGTTGTAACTTTAAACCTCAGTTCAGGCATCATGATGATCTAAAGAGTACTGTGGAACTCCGATCAACCATATTCCAATCAACACTGCTTCAAGTGACATTTTCTAGTGTAACGATTCAATGCTACTGTTTGCCTTCCTTGTACCACACCAAACAATGAATCTTAGCTAGAACAAGATAATTTATTTTTCTGTTGACCTTATTTTAATACACTAATTTAATTGTAATATACTATACTGAATAAAACAGAAAAATCAACAAGATTAGCATGAGTATTACGTCCCATGTAGGCACATACTTGTGAATTCAATAATGCGAATGTCAAACCAGATTTTTGTTCATCGCACACTGTCTGTATGGGCAATATCACAATCCATTCATTTTATTTTTCAAATACAACACAAAGTACAAAAAATACTTTGTTTAATAATTGTCAGTCTATTTAATTTACTTTCACATTCTGTAAAAACCCATTAATGCGGTTGGTTGCAACTCTGTTGCTTTGCAAACTAAGCTCATGTTTGCTTTGGTATAAATTTCCTATCAAATTACAGGCTTGTTTATGTCTCACCTATCCACAATCATCCTGGAGAAATGGAACACTGTAAATGTTATGCAGAAAAAACAGTTTTTTTGCAGACGGACTCTCTCATATATTTATGTGCAGGACCAAGAGACTGTGCAGTTATACAGTCAAAACAACATTCCAACCAAAGGAAAATAAGCAACAAATTTGTGATCATAAGTAATCAATATTTGATATTAATCAGTATAATCTTGATATTTCTGACTGGGTAATGTTTCTCACAGACATTTGTCTTTCTTTTCAATCCATGAACCTTCATAAGAAACTTTTCTCAGGTTTCCTTGTTAGTCAATAAATTACGGGTTAAGGAAACCATTTGATGTGGTGCAAGAATTCCATGTTCTGCTGTATGCCATGTCAGACTGGAGACCTTACGGTGTCGGACAGAAGTATCTACCGGCCCATGTCTCCCTCTCCCTCTCCCGGCTCCTGCTGTACCTCCTCAGACTCCTGCGTGGCTGCTCCCAAATGTTCCTCCAGCACCCCCAGACGGGCTTGCTGAAGGGGCACAGTGTGGGGCCCGGGGTCCTTGCCGATACTCTGCTCCAGGGGCTGCTCAGGGTGGTGGCGCTGGAGGTGCTTGACCACCTGGAATTTCTGCTTGGCTCGGTAGGAGCAGTGCAGGCAGTGGAATGGGTGCTGCTTGGTGTGGGTGAGGTAGTGGTGGCGGAGGCCCGCTGGCCAGCGGAAGGCGCGCTGACACACACGGCACACGTAAGGCCGCTCCTCGCTGTGCTTCTTCTGATGGGTCTTAAGCAGAAAGCGGGTCTTGAAGCCTTTGCCACACTTTTCGCAAATAAAAGAACGCACCTCGCGGTGGCGAGTCTCTCGGTGTATGCGCAAGGCATCGGCGCGGTTTGTGCGGTAATCGCACTCCTCGCAGACGTATGGCTTGGCACCTGTAAGGATTGGAGAACAGAAAAGAAGAGGAAAAAGAGTCACATTTATATCTGAATGTGAAGTTTGTGCAGATACCATTCCTCTTGGTCTCTTAGGGGACAGCCTACCACATCACATAATCAATTTATTTAGCCGACAAGGTTACCCTAGATCAGGGGTTTGAAACATCCGGCCTGTAGGCCAGGTGCATCTCACTCAGCAAATCTGTTTGGCTTGTGTGGTGCTCAGCCGTGATTTAATGTGCACCTTGTCTAAGCCTACACACTGTGGCGAGAAAAATTTGTTAACCCTTTGGAATTATCTGTATTCCTGCGGTAATTGCTCAAATTCCAAAAGGTTCACAAATGTTTTCGAGCAATTTTGGTCCGCACACTCTCACACAGATCTAGTTTGACAAGGGTGTGTCTTTGCACGAAAACGGTAAGAAAACAAATAGACAACATCCGAGCACAATTCCTTTGAACTCCTTCTCCTATGTTTTAGAGCGACAATAGTGACCACTGGTCTCAGTGAAACTGAGCGTAGTGCAATTTGTCTGATCTCAAAAGGATATGTTTGAATACAGCAATAAGAGTTTTGTAATCATGTGATTGTTCAAGAGAAGTGGACCAATTTAAACTTCTTCACAAAATGGACATTCTTTTATTTCTATGGAAAACAGGCAAATGTTTCCAAGAGCTACAGTGACAGTTGTAGAAAAGAACTTCTGTTTTTATATCACACAAAGTCCCTTTGCTTGCCAGTTCTGTTTCCCAGTTAAAAACTCACAAATTAATCTAATAAAAAAAACGTTTTGTTTATCATCAGAGGTTCTAACATTAGAGATCATTAGTCTAAGCATTCCTCAAGCAGAATGTACATGAGATGCTGTTCATTAATCACACAGCTCCTTTAATTTTCATTTATAATCGTTACACATATGTCTGTACATTTATTTTTGCCAGCTGTAGAACAAGATCGTCTGACAACATTCTTTTCCACAGACTAGAGATTTATGTAGTGTACAATATTTACAAATCACATTATATGGTTATATGATTAATAATACTAAACACATCCCACAGAGGGCAATGAGGATGTTTTGCTAAATAGAATGAGTGAATATACAATGACTGCTAATTGCATTTTAAAAGGAAATACAGTATGTTGTTGTACAATAAACATAAAAAATGTGAAAACAAGACAAAAAGGTTTATATAATGGTTGTGCCTAGTATTTCAATAGTTTATGGTACTACAACATTTCAAATCATTAAAACTAGCCATACAACAAATGTTACACAGTATAGTATGGTACAAACCTCAGTAACTAAGAAAACAGAATTTAAAAAATCCACATCCACTAAATGCAATATCACAAAAAAGGTGATATTAAATACATAATGTCAGAAGTTGTATAACTAAAGAAACTTTAGAATTCAAAGTATATTCCTGTACATATGATTTACTTCAAACTTATCTAAAACAGGTTCAAAGCATTATTAAAAACAAAAGATAAGCATTATTAATACTTTATAATTAAATATAATTTAAATCTGTATAAATACTAAAATGTAACATTTACTTCTGATTAAAGATTTATGCAGATATGAGATAATATTTAACATTTGTATGCTTCCCTTGGAATTTCAAGCAGAAGGAGAAAATCATCACCACCAAGCATTACCTTGGTGGTGATAAGATAAGATCACTTTATTGGCCATACACAATTTCTTGTATTAGGAATTTGTCTTTTTGCATATTATAGCCTTCGTCTGTTACTGTATAAAATCATACCTGTGTGCTTTGTCATGTGGTATTTCAGCTGGTTCACCCACTTGCATTTGTATCCACACTCTGGACAAAGATACTTCCGCTCCTCCTGATGAGTTCTCATGTGATACTGAAACACAGCAAACCGTCACAAAGCTAAAACACTGGAGATCATGGTGAACAAAAAGACTCGGCCTATTACTTACTAAATCTGACAATTTCAGAAAATGACTGATTTGTTATTAATAGGAGTTATTTTTGTACTTCACTGAAAGCTCATGCACAACAACATGGATCTTACCTTTAGGCGAGATGGATCAGCACAGGCGTAGCTGCACTGCTCGCAGTGGTATGGCTTCTCTCCGGTGTGGATGCGGATATGCCAGGTGATTTTCTGACGGTTCCGTGTGGAGTACTGGCAGTCAGTGCACTTGTAGAGCCGGGTGCCACCATGAGACCGAACATGCTGCTCGAAGACCAGTTGGTGGCGACAGGAGAAGCCGCAGGCAGCGCACTTCAAGGGCTTCTCTTCAGGGGGACCTTCCTCATGCTCATCTAGGAGATGCTGAACCAAGAGCTGGCGCTCTCGAGCAGCGAAGGGGCACAGCGGGCATCGTTGCGTGAAGTGAGTCTTGCGGTGCTCCTCGAGGCCCTCTCGGGTCTCAAACATCACCTGGCAAGTGGGGCACTCAAGCTGGGGATGCTTCCGAAGTAGGTGGCTCTTGAGGGTGGCTTGGCTGTGGCAGGTGAAGTCGCACTGAGGGCACGCCAGGTTGGTGGGGTCTTGGTGCTGCCTGTGACAGTGCTGTTTCAGCGCTGTCTCTGAGCTGAAACGTGCCGTGCAGTGCAGGCAGGCGTGACTCAGCTCCCCCGTGTGGCAGCTCAGGTTGTGGCGGCTCACGTCGTTCAGGCTGTAACCACTGTAGTCGCAGAGCGAACAGAAGTGAGTGGGCTGCTTCTCGTGGACGCGCTGCCGGTGCAGCCGCAGCTTGGACTTGGTACCGAAAGTCTGGCTGCATAGCTCGCAGGAAAGGCGGCCCACTCCCGTGTGGAGGGATTCATGGGCTTCCAGACGGTAGCGGCGTGTTGTGCTGAAGTCACAGAAATGGCATCTGTAAGGCTTCACACCCTCGTGCTTCAGGGCCACGTGCTGATTCAGGCAGCGAATCTGCTTACAGGTAAACGCACAGAACTCGCATTGGAGACGTGGCCGCTTGCCCTCTATGGCAGATGAAAGGCTTTTTTTACCATGAATTACTCTGTGTCGGTCAAGAGCTTCTTTAGATTTGGCCACAAATGAGCAAAGCTGGCACTGGATCTCATTTGGCTTCAGGCAGCCACGTTTACAGTGGCTTTCCAGTGCTCTCTTCTGATGGCACACAAATGGACAGGAGGAGCAGGAGAAGCGATGGCCAATCTTTGTTCTAAAATCCTTTTCAATTTCTTCTTCCTCCTCTCCTTCATAATCATCTGCATTACTACCAGCTTCATCTTCTTCAACCTCAGCTAAATTCCTAAGTTTCTTCTGCTGTCTTGGGCTACAGAGTACCTTGGTTGCAGATTTGCGGTTTAAGCATGCTGTACAGTGACGATTTATGGTTGAAAGTCGGCAACAAGTAAAAGAGCAGTTTTTACACTTGTATTTTCCACCTTCTTGTTGATAGCCCTTTGAAACTTCTATCTCTTTAGGTAGGGTTAAAAATGTTAGTGCAGAATCTTGTTTTTCAGTACTCACAGATATACTTTCACCCTCTGAAGGGAGTGCTTTGCTGCGGTCTTCAATGCCTGGTCCATCTAGCATGTTTGTGTTGCCTTGGGTACCAACAGAAACCACATGGTCTTGAGATAGGCAACTGGGTATCTCCTTTGCCCTGGTGTGTTCAGAATGCATCTCAACATCATGACTGGCTTTCATATTGTTGGGAGTACTGTCTGGACTTCTTTCAAGTTGCTCTTTCTCTGCTGGTCTTGGTTGTCCACCTTGACTCTTTGCTAAACTGACCTCTTCTGATTTTTTAGCTACCAACTGTCCAGTGCGACGTGGGTGAAGAAACCGGCTGTTCTTTTTAAGGATGACTGGACACTTCCTAAGTCTGTGTGTATTGAGACCACGCTGTTGCTTGAACACCACACCACAGTCCCTACACTTGAGCACAGCCTTTCTTGATCGACATGATGAACGACAGTGCTGGTTCAGGGATGTCTGTTTGCATGTAACATATGAGCATTTGTCACACCGGAATACAGATGCTTTAGTCTGAACAACCAGCATCTGTACCCTGCCCTCTAAGACTAATGCTTCTGCCTGATCCTTGTCCTGCTTTCTCAAAGCCTTCAAAATAGACTCTGACTGAGAAACCTCCAACTTCTCCCTGCCTTTGGGTTCTGACAACAACCCACCTTTCTCTTTTCTTTCTGAAATATGGCCGTTCAAAATCGCATGTATTGTACCATCCACAGTCCTGCCTTGCTCCAGTCTGTCACCACTTTCTCTCAGCCCTGTTAATTCTTTTGGTGGCACCTCACTCTCTTCAGTATCACTTTGTTCCTCACAATCTGCCAACACCATATCTTCTTCTGCTTCATTTAGTCTGTTACATAGTGGTGCTCTAATCCCTTCAATAGATGACAATTTGGGATCAACAAGGGTCTTCTCTGAGGTCACATTTTCAATACTTGATATATGAGTCAAAACCAATGTACAGCACTCCTCTTCATCAACAATAACTCTTTGGTTCTCACAGATATCTGTGATGGACACTTCTTGACAATCATTTTGGGTAACATTAGGTGACTTTTCTTGGCTTGCATGAATATACCCTTCCAAGCACAGTTGTTCTGAACCGGTTATTGTTGGAGTTGCTTGACTGCATTGATTTAGAATATCTGAAGGAGTTTTGCTAGTGTTTTCAAAGTCACAACCATCATCTGATATACCCTGCATTGCAGGAAGTCCAGAACTCCCCAACTGATGGTTGGAATCTCTCTCAATGCTAGCAGGTACTTCTGGCGTCACAATATTACGCTCACTTAAGACAGGATCAGAAGAGATAGTTTGCTTTTCACAGCCATTCTGCTGAACATCTGCTGTGTTATTTTCCTTCTCTCTCTGAGCATAGTTCTCTAGCCACTCTTTATCTCCTGGCACATAACCATGAACCTTTTTCTTATGTAGAAACAGACTGGTGCTACTGAAAGTGCAGTAGGAGCATAGGGCACAACGAAACTCACGGTGCCGCGTGTGTTTACAGTTCTCATGGTTAAAAAGAGCCTGACGGTAGTGTGTGTGATAGCTGCAGTACTTGCACTGGAAGAGAGGTAACTGGTAGTCGCCTTCTTGGGAGTGTTTGATTCGCATGTGCTTGCGAAGCTCATATTTGCGCTTACAGGCAAAAGCACACACTTCACAGATAAGGGACTTTTCCTGGTGTCGGAGCTTATGACTACTTAGTTGATCTGCCCGGTGGCAGCGGTATGAGCACTGGTTACATTGATACCTTGGGGACAGAAAAAGAGGTACGATCATCAGTGATAAAATCAGTGCAATCTTGTCATCAGAAACATGATCTAAAAATATACAGCAAAAAGCATACCTCAGGTCACCTGCATGTTTCCGCATGTGCACATTTAGGTAGTGCTTCCACTTGGTGACATAGCCACATTCTGAGCACATATAATTCTTATCATCCGAGTGTGTTAGCATGTGCTTCGAAAGATAAGTTTCATCCCGGCACCTGAAATCACACAGTTTGCACTTGTGGGGCTTCTCACCTGGAAAAGCATGTATGAAATGAGAGAGAAGGAAATATAAATACTTAGGATTTTTTTCAACATTTTAAATGGTTTCCTTAAAAATGCTCCAAAAATTAAATCATCAAAAAAATAACCACAACATCAAAATTACCACTTAATGAAAACGTTTTTTTTAAAAAACACAAGATAAAGTAAAGATACTCATACTTACAACAGACATAATGCTGTGTGCAAATGTTCAGTTACCCCTGGTTAAACTGTATTTAAATTAATCTCTAGGAGAACAGAAGGGGACAACCTCTACATGGTGCAAAGTTAAACCCAACAAATTTCTGCAAATTATAATACACAATTACTATTTATTTTCTGATTTTAACCAATTGAAAAAACAAAAAAGTGAATGTGGCAAAATGTTCAAATGTTTAGATGACCTTCCACTTGATTCATTACTACTTTTTTAAATTTGTGTTTTCCAAATGTCCCAAAACTTGATTGATTCATTGGAACTTAAATTAAGCCAGGTGAAGACTGAAATACTCTGTCATTTGTAACCTCTCTGTGATTGTTGTTCTGCCTATTTTCAACAACCGTGGGTTCCTTGAAGCAGCTGTCTGGGGACTTGAAAATAAAGACAGTTCACTCTTAGAAACCAGGGAAAGGCTATAAAAAAGGTATCTAAATGCTTCCAGATCTGCAATTTTTGAAGGAATTGAAGTTAAAGGGAACCATTGAAGTCAAGGCAAGATCTGCAACCCCCAGACAAATCTCAGCATTGCTCCTACACTGGTCAAATATACACACCAGAACTCAAAGATCACTGCAAAGGACCTGCAGAAAGGTTGAGCTGACACTAGAGTAATTTTCCACAGTACAACGTTGCTTACACAAAAATGATCTCCATGAAAGAGCCAGAAGGAAACCTTTCCTATGGCCTCATCACAAAAGTCAATATCTAATGTGTGCAAAACAAAACCTTGATAAGCTTGAAACACAGCACCTGCTGTGGAATGATGAACTTGTTTGAAACAAAAAGTTAACTTTTTGGCCGCAACCACAGAAGATACATTTGGAGGAAAACGGGTGAAGCATGTGAAGAAAAGAACACCTTGCCAACCGTTAAACGTGATGGTGGATCTAATTTATCTTTGGGGTAGTGTGGCAGCCAGTGGCGCAGGAAATATTGTGCGGATGAAAGTAAGAATGGATTCAAATAACTATTATCAAACCCTAGAAGCTAATGTCCCAGAGTCAGAGAAGAAACTGAAGTTCAAAAGAGGTTGGATATTTCAGCAAGACAATGGTCCGAAACACGCAGTACCTCAAAATCAACCATGATGTATTTACAGGAACAAAACATGAAGGTTTGCAAAGGCAGGGCTTGCAAGAGGATCACTTCTATTTCAAAGCTAGAAGAGTTCTGCAAGGGAAAGTGGGCAAAACCCCCAGAACCAAGAATAGAAAGACTCTTAGCAGGCTACAAGAAAATGTTTGGAAGCTGTGATTTTTGCCAATGGAGGGTTTAGTAAGAACTAGCTGACAGGGTTCCCAAAGTTGTGCAAACTTTTTGGAGATATTTGGAGAATATCCACAAAACTGTAAATAAATACTAATTGTGAATTAAAATTTGCTGAAAGATGTCATATTTAAGTTTGCACTGCAAACGTATGTTTTGTGAACATCTTTCACTTAAGAGATTCACCGAAATACACAATTTGATCAGGGTGCTTACAGTTTTGCACACAAATCTATGGTGGGGGATGGCAAGATTTAGTAAAATACTACATAATTCCAGAAAACAATACTGCTTCCTAAATATGTATTCTGATTAAGCTGAATTATCGTGCCTGGCAAAAGTATTCACCCGCTGTAAGCTTTCCACATTTTCTTGTCATCTGAGCATGCAATCATTATATTTTCAAACCAGACCTCATATTTAGAATTTTCACAATCTACTCCAAAGTGAAAAAGCTGAAAAAAATTAACACTATGCAAACTTGTTAGATTTGCAGTGAATATTCTGAACTTCTGCTACGGCAACCCTAAATACGTTTAGGTACAAACAATTAAGTTGGAAAGGTCATATACAGTAAACATTTTGTGAGGATCTGTAACTTGAAGAGAAACATTAAATGCCCAAGATACAGCATGGCACAAAACCTTCAGAGCACTGAAACAGTGAAATATTTTTTAGAAGGTGCTCACCAGTGTGCAGCAGCATGTGTCGACCCAGCACGCGCTTGTGAGCAGTGACAAAGCTGCACTGGGAGCAGTGGTGGATCTTCTCGTTGGCGTGCAGCCGGCTCACATGCTCGCCGAACTCCACGGGGTTGAAGGAGGTGAAAGGGCAGAAGTTGCAGCGAAGCTCCTCACTGCCGGGGTGGCCTTGGCGCTTGTGGCGTTGAAAGTTGCTCTTGTTGGAGCAGGAGAAATCACACTGCGGACAGTGGAAAGCCAGGTGTGTACGATAGTGGGCCTCCATGTCTTCCTTTGTGCCAAAAAAGGCACTGCAGGCGTGGTGTCGACACTCCACAGCCTTAACCCCGTGGGTGTCCTTCGCATGCCTCTGGAACTCCTTTTTATCCACAGACTTGAAAAGGCAGCCCTCCTTGAAGCAGACCAGGGCCTGCACTTCAGATGACGTGTGGTGAGACTTCATGTGGGCCTTCAAGGCTTGGCTCAGTCGAAACGTCTTTCCACAGGTGGGACAAGGGTAAACATCTGAGTAGAAGTTATCCTCTACCTCCTCACCGTGGACGCTGGCAAGGTGCCGGCGAAGGGAATTGCGCTCGACCGCGCTGTACACACACAGATGGCAGCGGTGGAGTTTCTCGCCAGCCTCCCGCTGCATGTGGATGCGCAGCTTGCTCTTGCTGGTAAAGTAGTGCTGGCAGTTGGGGCACTGCAAGCTGGGGTCAGGGAAGTGCAAGTGGAGATGCTCCAGCAGGTGGGTGCGCTTCTTGAAACAGCGGCGGCATTCTGGACAAATGTGGGTGCGATACAGGTGTTCCATTCCTTTGGCTATGTGCCCTATGATGGAAAAAACATCAGGATAGAACTCAGATCTAATAATGAACATATGTGAGAATTTCCATCCATTCATTTTTTAACCACTTCATCCAACTCAGGATTGCAAGGGAGCAGGAGCCTGTCTTGACTATCTCAGTGTGTGCAGTGGAAGGGGATGTGGTTTCGTCAGTGTGCCTCCATTTCTTCCAGAAGCACAAGGAGGGGTTCAGCCTGGATGGGATACCAGTCCATCGCAGGGAACAGAAAGACACACTCACACCAAAGCCAATTTTCCCAGAAGCCAATTAAGCTACCAGTATGTCTTTGAACTGTGGGAAGAAACCAACATAAACAAGGGGAGAGCATACAAACTCCCCACAGATAGTACTCCAGGTCTAGAATTAAACCCAGGGCCCCAGCTATGGCAGCAATGTTAGCCACTGAGACTCACATGCCGCCATGTAAGAATTTAAGACAATTGTTTTTTTATAGTACTACAAAATAGGATAAAACTTTTATTAAAGCAGTTTGAGAAGTCCCCACCCTGCTTGTATAAACAGATAAGGAATGCATATACTATGTACTGCAGTCAGTGCATGACAGAACTGACTTTCTCCCTCCTCAGGTTCTAATTTACATAGGCATTACAGTAAATGCCTTGTAGTTTTATTTACAAACTATTGCTGGTTCAGATTAATATAATCTTACATAATCCATGGAGTTATAAACTAAATTGTAAAAGTAAGTTTTATGAGGAAAGAAGAGTTTTTGGAAAGAGTTTGTGGGAGCCCTGAACATCCGAAATAGTCACGTAGCCGAAACTGACATCCTGGAATCTTTCAAAAACAGCAGGATGAGATCTTTTGGCTTTTATTCAAAGTGACCCACATCCCAATATTTTACCTGAATAATCTGTGACGTTCCTTGCTCAAGGATACAAGAGCCCTGCACACCTGGGATAGCAACCTTCCTGTATAAATCCAGAGTCCTATCCACTCCTCAAAATTGTTCCTCCAGAACCTGACATGTTTGGATCAGAAAGGCTAGATGGACTGAATATTTTCTTTATTCGTAGTCACTGCATGTTCCATCCTCCAATTATTGCTAAATTGCTGTAAGAGGCTGTGTAGCCTGTGTGTTTTTAAAAAAAAAACAAATGGTTAGAAGTTCGGTGGGTTTGACTAATTTGTCTTAACTTACTCACTGAGGTACCAAGGACTGTTGCTTTGAAACAAGACTTGAAAAACACAAAACCCAAATCCAAACTGAGTGGTTATATAATAAATTATTTGGAAAAGCAAGTGGTAAAAAAAGTTATCATGTTATTATGTGTTTTTAGGGACAATGGCTGGAGAATGTGCCATTTTTTTCCAATGTATGAAATGTAGCTGGTGCTTCTGTTTACTTTTTTTTGGAAAATGACTAAATGGTGAAGAGGTCCTGACCAACTGTATGAGACTCAGATGCCAAGGTACCCAGCAAAGATTCCCTGTGATGCTACCTTTAAAATGCCGATCCTTAGAGTCTGTGGTTGGGACTGTCATGTCTCCTGGCTCCTTCTCATTCTCTGCTGCACCCTTGTTCTGGCTCTGCTGGCCTTCTCCTTCAACCTCCTTTTCCGCCTCTCCCTCAGTCGAGCTGGTGACCTTGTCTAGGGATCTCGTGCTTTTCTCTGGTACATCTTGTCCTGCTTCACTGAGATTCGCTTCCATCTCCTGTACTGGAAGGGCCTCCGTGTGGTCAGAATTCTCCTCTGAGCAAAAAAGACCACGCAAACATTTTACAAAATAGAATCCTCTCTCTTGGCTAGGAGGAAAGAAACTGTGAAAAGTCAACTACTACTGGACGACACGGTAGTTGAATTATACAAGTTAAATAAAGGTCTCACAAAGACATTACATAGTGACTTTCTAATTAGTTTACAACCTTGATATATTTTCTATGTTTTTCTAAGTTTCCCCACATATGTATTCTAAGCATCACATAAATATACACTTCTGGTCAGAATAACAGGATAACCTAGACACTGGTGATAAAATTCTAGTCCTTGCGGGCTGGTGCAGTCCCTGCATTATTGGCGTAACTGAACTAATTTACCAGCTCCTCCCAGCTCTTCATTTGTGGTATGTAAACAATCAGAAAGTTACTTTATTTAGCGTATTACATACATCTGAAGAACCAAATGACGTTGTGCTTATACAAAATGTGCAGTAAAGTACAATGGCAATAGAGTAAAGACTGGGGGGTGTTGTGCAGGTATATATACTGTAACTTGTAAAGGGGGCAGAATGCCTTTCAGGTCTCAATCACGCCACTGGTGCTTAGTAGCCAAGAGGTATTGTTTTTGAACTTGATAATGACTTGGAACACACTATAATTTCCAACCTAAATGACAGAAATGAGAAATAAAACAAATGTGTTTGTGGTAAAAACCAAGTGGTGTTCCCACCTCAACCTTTAAGGGCACTTGATCCTTTCAAAACGAAACTTCACAATGTTCAGTTTTCAAGTGTCTACTTATTATCGAATCTGGTTAAAAGCTCCACTGTGTATAGTTTTAGAGTCCAAAGCTGAGTTTTGGACGATTACTAAATTTGCAGCAGAATCTCCAGTTGAGACCTCAGTAACTCAAACAATGAACTGGTGGCTGCAAAACCCAAGAAGCTGCCAAAAAGAAATCAAATTCAGCATCCTGCTGGGCAAACATGTTTTCTACTTCAGGTGTGAGATAGACTTGAGCCTTCTTCAGGTGTGAGAAAGACTTACTTTAGCTTACTGCCCTGTCTTTCTCACACCTGAAGAAGGCTCCACGGCCGAAACGTTGTGTTTTCTTTCTTCTCTTTTCAGCATGGAATAAACCTATTACTTGTTCTTGTAATAAGTGCATCTCTGCCTCCCAATGGGATTTGAACAAAGCTGCTTGCAGGCACCTTTCCCTTCAGAGCCACTTCTGCGACCAAAGGGAATTCCTCCATGCCAAAAGGCTGGGACTCTTGTATGAGCAGAATTCATCTAGGGTCCAAAAGAGCGACCTCACCTTCTCTAACAATGTTGTCCATTTTCTACTTGCCAAGTGCCCACGTTTGCTCAACCTGATGTAGAAGCAATGCCCCTTGGACAGAAGAACAATGGCTCACAACTGGAAATGGACAAGCCTGGTGGAGATGGCCTTACCTTCTACAGCGGGACTGGAGGGCTTGTGTCCTCGAGAGTGCTCCCCCAGCTGCTTGGCACTGGTGGTGACAAAGTCACAGCGCGTGCAGTGGAAGGGGAAGTGGCCGCGTCGATGAGCCTCCATTTCCTCCAGGGTGGAGAACGCCAGGCGGCAAGAACGGAAGGCACAGGGGACGAGCTGCAGCGAGTGGACAGAGCGCAGGTGCTTCTGGTACTGCTGTCGGTCCTGGGTGGCAAACCCACACCCGGGCTCAGAGCAGGAGACGGGTTTACTAGGCTCATCTCGGTGTGCTCTGTAGTGTTTTTTCAGGGCGCTGGGCCGGGGGAAAGCCTCACCACACTGTGGGCACTTGAAAGTCTCTGATTGGGTCGTTTCTGCCCATTCCACTGTGGTCAGGGGCTCAGCAATCCGAGAGCAGATGGGTACCAGGCAAGGATGAGAAGAGAAAAGGTTGCTGTCGGGGAAGTTCTGGGTGCATTTTTCACAGTGGTACAGTCCTTCAGTTTCCACTGACACTTCTGTTATCTCTGTTGAGGGGGAATTGCAGATTTTAGTGCACTGATCAGACAAATCTTAAAAACAAACTCCCACCAACCACTTTCTCTTCTGATAAAAGTATTCACATTCTGTAGAAACAGGTTACATTATGAAATGAGATTATGACAAAATATTGAATTCGGGATAGTCTGTGAAACAATGTGTTTAGCAGATTGACCTGCATTTACTATTTTGGCATAAATTTAAGGTTGCTTTACCTGTTGTGGTAGTGCTTCCACTTTTCTCCAGAAGCAGAGCAGTGTCAATGGCACAGTGGATATTCTGTACAGAGCTGTTGCCCAGTGCTGTTCCTGCTGGTTCTAGAAGACATGCTTTGGGTGGGCATTGAAGAGGATTGTGCTCCTCTTCTTGGCCACAAAGGAACAGACTTCTGCTACTCTCCATCCTCCAGCCTTATATTGAAGCCTCTACTTCTTTAGTTCTAAGTCCCCTATAACAAAAATAATAATTTTGTCCCAGGAAAGCACGGTTAAACAACTTTAAGAACACCAACAGCGCTTTAAATCGTTACTTTTCACAACTCATTGCATATTTTAATCTTGGCCTACTTGGCCCGTATATGCTACATTCACAGCATCTTTCCATAAAAAATTAAAAGAAAATCTAATTTCTTTATCGTCTTTCAACGAAGTTCATATTAAACCGTTAGATGTATCACGCCAAAAATGCATTATTTTCTAATCTACTTATACAAAAACGAACGATAATTTATTATATTCCAATGAATGACGTTATGCAATGGGAAATATCTTAAAGATTATTTAAAAATGTTAACTTAATACGCTAACCCTAAATTACTTTATTACTGCATATTTAAAGATATAGGATATAGTATTTTAAAATAAAGATTTGAGTTCCAGTACTAAACATTATAATAGCACGTTTATAAAGGAAAATCGCTCAAACATTCTAGTTTAAAAAATCTCAACCCCCCAAGTGAGCTTTGAGAATATTCTACTCCGCAAAACAACATATTTCATAACTGTGCTGTAGCGATATTAAACGTGATAAAACCTATTACTTACGCAAAGTAATTACAATAGCATTGTTTATTGATTCGGGAATGTTCTTAAATTACTTTTCCAACAGTTTTTGCAAAGCATGAAAATGCGTAGTTACTGATTATTTTATTTGAAGTAGAATTGTTTGCCCCGCGAAAGGCTATCTTGCAAGGATGTTTATTTGTCTTGTTTTGATAAAGTTAAAAATATAGTTGTTATACAATAGCATTGCGACAGAAAACATTACCCTATAAACAATTTCAATGTTAAAAAACATGAAACAGTCTTTACTCACATCAACGCTGTACACCGCCATTTTTGTTTATACTATTAAGTAGGTAGGGGAGTGAACCTGCAAAACCCCTGATCCACTCTACAGTAACAGATCATTTCGATAATATATTTTTTAATACACATGCGTTTTCACCAAACCTCTTTTTAAAAGCCACGTTAAAAAATGAATATGCTACATGTTATCGTTGTTTTAACTGGTCTGTAGTGTTGTTGAAGAGTTAGGAACTATTATTGCTAAGCATATCCTTGACGGGGAACGTTGAAAGGAGAACAACGGAAGCACAGAGGAGGTCGCCATGTGACTTGTCGGCGGTGATCATATTATAGAGTATTTGTTGTCTTTGACTTTCCTTCAAGAAAGTCAATCAGTAGCTCAATCGGTGATGGTGACAAAGCTGTAGGAAAGTGTCAATATGCAACGTACGGAACCTCTAGGGAAGATCAGTGTATATTTGGGTGGGACTGGGGTTTGTCGAGCGTGTAAATCGAGCGTTTTTTAAGAAGAAAAAAATAAATTTTATTCTGACTGTTCAGTAAAATACATGATCACTTCTTTAACTCTCTTAGATGTCAAAATATTCGTTTTTGAGTTTGCTTGATTGAAGAGTATAGAGAAAGATAATTACGTAGATTTGTGAAAAATACAGAAAAGTAAAACCAGGGTAACTGAACAAAGAGCTGTAGATTACACAGCAGACAGCACACCATCTGACAATACACACAAAAAAATCCCGGGAAGTGGGGTTTTTTATCGTTTAAGTATTAAACAGGTTTTTAAAAAACACGTGTCTTTCAGGCTGTCCTGTATTAAGTGTTTAATTGTGCAGGAATCTTGGGAAAGTCGTGGTCATGACCTTTTCAGAGTTCCTGGGTGCCCTAAAGGACAACCCTTATTTTGGGGCTGGGTTTGGGTTGGTGGGAGTGGGCACAGCTCTGGCTGTAGCTAGGAAGGGTGCACAGCTAGGGATGATTGCCTTTCGCAGGCACTACATGATTACCCTGGAGGTTCCCAGCAAGGACAAGAGCTACCAGTGGCTGCTGAGCTGGATCACCAAGCATGCTCGGAAGACTCAGCACCTCAGCGTGGAGACCTCCTATATGCAGCATGAGAGTGGCCGTGTCCGCACACAGTTTGACTTCCTCCCCAGCCCGGGCAACCACATCATCTGGTGAGGCTCTCTGATGTTCTGTGGGACTGCCTTTTGACTAGTAGAAACTCAATTAAATCATTGATTACCATTTATGATCAGTAAATTTAAGCATTCAAGAAGAAGCAGTTGGAAAGGTGAAGGGACAAAATTCCAAATTCCAAAACTAACCCTGTTTGATCTTAAAATAAGTCCACAGAGCTATGACCGGTCGTATTTTTTTTCAACTGTTTGCTTTTAGCTGAGCCTCCTATTTGTAGGTTTTTGCATTGCTGAGCCTGGTGTATACATTGTACACACATTCGCTAGATGCACCAAATGACCTCAGTTTTAGACACCTACTGTAGTTTCTCCCATTTTGCACTGCCACGTTGTGCAACTCCTCGTATATAAGCAGTGGATACAGTTGTTTTCATCAATGAGTGATATGCATGCCTCTTACATTTTGCAGGTATAAGAAGAAGTGGATTAGAGTGGAGAGGACCAGAGAGAAGCAGATGATTGACCTCCATACTGGCACACCCTGGGAGTCTGTCACCTTCACTGCCCTGGGGAGAGACCGAGAGGTTTTTTTCAGCATCCTCCAGGAAGGTACTACTTTGATTCTTCCACCTTTTGTGCTTTGCCTCTCTGAAGTCTGGTCGCTCCTGGTGGTGCAGTCCTCTGTGGTTGCACTGTCAGTAGCTAAGCAAGAGGATGGCGCAGTAACCCTTGACTTTGATTGAACCCGGAAACTTGGTATTATCAGCACCATGCCTATGAGTTAACTTTCTATTTAAGATGCAGTACTGCAATAATCATTTATCGAATAAAATAATTGATATAAGGGATAACATGTAAACATAACATAGACAGCACCCCAGGAGCTGAACCCAGGACTCGAGCACAGCGAAGCAGCAATGTTTACCATTGTGTCACTGTGCCACCCATTCTTATACAACCTTATTTCTTTTTCCAATTCTGTATAGTAATGCAATGCTGTTCTTAAAGCCTTTAATAGGCTGAGAATAAAGAGATTTAAAAAGCTGAGATAGAATCTGAGATTAAACCTGGATAATACACATGCAATAACTTATAAAATTAATTTTACAGAATCCGTGGGTAAGACTTCGGATCGGTTAATATCTTACCCTATGTTTATCAGCAATACAGGATACTTTTTAATATAAGAAAAATGTATAATGGATTTTAGCATGACGTACAATTACTTAAGGACATCTGTGAGATTGTACATGTTGTGTATGAGCCTTTTTAACCTCATAACCTAGATTTTAACCTGACCAGCTGCCGCAAACAGTGTAGTGCTATATTTCTAAAAAAATCTGTGTGAAAGAAATATCGAAGAAAATCATAGCTTATTATGGCGCCAAGCTAGTTCAGTGTCACAGTTAAACAAAGCCTTAAAGTGTAAATTTAAGATTGAAGAGGGAACTTGATCTGTTTCCGTGTTTCCGTGACAGCAAGGGAGCTGGCTCTGAAGCAGCAGGAAGGGAGGACGGTGATGTACACAGCCATGGGATCAGAGTGGCGTCCGTTTGGGTTTCCACGGCGTCGGCGACCTATGAGCTCCGTGGTTCTGGAGAGGAGTGTGGCTGAGAGGATTGTGGATGACGTGAAGGAGTTTATTGGCAATCCCAAGTGGTACACTGATAGAGGTACAGAAGCCCTTTCCTGATTGGGCTTCCTGATTGTTAAGAGCAAACATAAAAATGTAAATGTGCAATTAGCTGTGTACTTCTTTCAAAGAAACAGTAAGCCCCAGTTTTAGGTTAACTGACGTCACTTTACTTTGAAAGTAGTATCATTAGCACTATTTAAGGATACAAAGGAACAAGTGATAGGTTTATTCCATGCTGAAAAAAAAGAAGAAAGAAATCACAACGTTTCGGCCGTGGAGCCTTCTTCAGGTCCTCACACCTGAAGAAGGCTCCACAGCCAAAACGTTGTGTTTTCTTTCTTCTATTTTTCAGCATGGAATAAACCTATCACTTGTTCCTTTGCAGCCTACGCATGCTGACGAAGCTACCCACCTGAACTATGATAAGGATAGCTGAGTAGTCTTTTTGACTAGAGAACTACTAGTATTTCTTTAAGCCTGATTTTCTGTATGTAGGCTTTGTGGCATTTTTCAGTAAATGCCCACTGCATTTAAGTAATCATTTTTACTGCATATTGGGAGAATGTCTGAAATACAGTTGTATTTTTGTGGGCAATGCAGTTACTTTTTTTTAAAGTAAATGACCTATTTCTTGCTCAGCCCTTTAGTACAGTAGTTGTTTTTTTTTGTAGACATACAGCAGCTATAAAAAGTATTCACCTGCTTGGAATCAAAATGCATTTGGATTTGAGAATTCTTACCTAACATAAGCTCCTTGTGATGTAGGGAAAAACTGAATCTTTTCCAAGGTATTCCAGGACCAGTGGAATTAGAGCAGCGGTTGCTGGCTAATCCAAACATCTATGATATTAATACAGCACACACAAATGAATTTTGTTCTGAAAATAACAGAAATGTATAGTTCAGCACTCACGATTATATCTCAGCGGTGAATATGGCTCAGCAGATTATCCATTATTCTGCAGCAGGTGTGACAGAACATGCACATTTTAAATAAGCAATATGTTTATGAGCTTTGCAGCTCAACCCTGTTTGTGCCGAATTATAGTGCTGACCAGTTAGCTACTTTATATCAGCAGATTTTAAACGGTCAGAATTTTCTCATCTAGTGAATCCATTGAGGGTAACAATAATTTTGTTTTCTTGTTAAGGGATCCCTTACAGAAGGGGCTACCTACTGTATGGACCTCCAGGATGTGGCAAGAGCAGTTTTATGTGAGTTGCCCTGATTCACTGGCTTTGTCTCAAACAAAGTTTTCACTCTGTATTCATTGTGGTTATTTGGAAAGAGTGGATGCCATATGGATGTGCTAGGTTTCCTAATGTTATATAATATATTCTGTTGCTAATTACTCCTAACGAGTGTAATACATTATAATATATATACTGTACGCATGAGGTCATGGTGGATTGTTCTCAAAGTTTCCAGACTCTTCATTCATTCCTCTAGAAAAACGTCTCAGGTGGAATATAAACTGACTAAAACAAAAAATGGCAATTTGATACACCTGACAGCTCTGTGATCATCTGCAGTGAGGAAAAATAAGAACTGGTGACCCCTGGCAGCTTCAGAGACATATAAATACGGTGGAACCTGCACACGTATTAAAGGTCTGCAGTATGTATTTATATTATTTAGATATAGTTTTGTGTTTTTATATTTTTTAGCATTTTCTACTGCCACTTTGCATCCTTGGCCAACAATTTTAGTAAAGTATAACATAAGCAAGAAAGGCTCCATAATGAGTAATGGCGCATGTTTCAAAGATGTACACATGACCTGTAAAGGTGTTCACTCAGAGAACAGTCTGGGCTCCATTACTCGGATGTTGCAACTCTGAGCATGGGGTAATGTCACTTCCTGATGTGACCAGCTGTTTCCCCATCATCAGCACATGTTGATCGACAGAAAACTGTCAGCGGTAGGGTTAGACACAGCAAAAAGTGTACTCCTTTGACTTGCAGGTTAGCAGTAATGTCAGAGAAAGATGTTCTGCTTGTCCAGTTGGTGCTACCTTTCCTACCACAAAGGTGGTAGGAGCAACATGTCTCAGTGTCTCATTCACTCCAGGATGGGCACAGATGTCGCCACTGCCTCTTAAAAACACAATTGTAGATTTCAGACTGATTGGGTTATGGGTAATTCTGTAATTTAAACGATCGGGTTTTAATGCAGGTATGCTGGGAAAGGAGCAGGGGTCACAGTGGCTGTTTCCCTGCAGGGACGTTGTTTTCATTTCATGTACCGGTGTGTATCACAGTACAGCGCTGGCAGGGGAGCTGGAGTACAGCATCTGTTTGCTGAGCCTGAGTGACCAAAGCCTGTCTGATGACCGGTTGAACCACCTTCTGAGTGTGGCCCCACAGCAGAGCATCATCCTGCTGGAGGACGTGGATGCTACAGTCATCAGACGCAACCTGGCATCGGAGAGTATGACACAGAGATGGGGGGAGGAGGTCTAGTGCTGTATACAGTATATACTGTACATGTATTGCAAATCACTTATTAAACATGGAAACAGTCCTATTGCTGGTCAGAGCTGAAGTTGATAAAGAACTGCTCTTGCTTATAGCTTTTATAATTGCTGTATAAAGAGCTTTAGAGAGTACCTTATTGGGCACCTTGCAAAATTGGTCTATGTCATAGTGGTTAACATGCCCAGTGTCTAAACATTGACCTCAAATAAAACGCTGGCTTGGGCCCAGCATTCTTAATTATGTAAAGTCAGTCAGCAGAATAAGAAAGGTAGTCAAGTTTTGCTGAAAAGATACAGACCAGGGACTTTGGGATTGAAATATGTCTACCTGTGCGTTCATGCCATTTTCACTTGCAGCACTTGAACAAAATTGCCTTTTATAGGATATAGTTTAATACCATTTTATGTTGTAATAATCCATTCCCTGACTTACACAGAGGTTCAGTTTCACACTGCTTGCCATTTCCTTCAAACTTACTCTTAAAGAGCTGAGGCATTTAGTTATTGACTTAATTGCTCCATTTAAGGTGTTCTGTCATCTTCTGGTACTTGTGTTTTAACAAGACCTTGAAAACCTGCAGTGACACCAGTTCTTCAGGATAAGAATTGGTCAGTCTTCCTCTATCCTGATGCTAAAGGGAGACAATTTTTGGCCTCTATACAAAGTGTATCTAAATGAAAACTGAACAGACAGACATAACCTGGCAGATTTAAAAAGCAAAATCAAGTATTTCTACAAATTTTGAAAAATTCAGCTGTTTTAGGGAAAATGGTTTTCTCAAAATTAACCTGAGCCTCTTCAGTGCTTGAATGTGGAATTCAAGTAAAGAAAATTGTTTTCATTCACTTTTTTCCATCTAATCTTTCTTACCCTTTTGCAATTTTGTTTTATTTCTCTTTTACAGTCTAACTTTTAAATACTGTTTTGGTTACATTACCTTGATGGGACAGGGCTAGAAAATTCTGGTCTCAAGTTAACAAAGATCCAGTATCAACACTTAGTTAGGGGCTACATATCTGATCAGCTAACCTTGGGCTGTGAAGGTATTGTTAACATCTGGCATCTGAGCTTCTTTCCTAGATGAGGGAAGAGCAAAAAAACAACATGCTGTTGTCTGAAAAGACAGTATTGTGATACTGGATTCTTCTGAGAAAGGGGTTCATGCAGTTGAGTCCCATCTGTGTAGTATAAATACTACAGTCTATTAACATCCTTGTTTGTGGCAGGGATTGTTATTACTTTGAAAAGTACATTGCCATTTTTTTTAGTCAAAACATCAGCCATCCTAGTGGAAAGTTAAGGTGAAATGGTCTACAATGCCACTGTATTGGTCCTCAAAATAAATATTCTTAGGAGCAGTTACCTTATTGCTGTATAAGAGCAATAAGAGACTGCTGTATAAGAGACTGAGAATGTGTCTAGTCTGCAAGTTGCCAGAGCATTGGTGGTAATGTTTTGAGGCATGTATGTTTCTCTGCTCTACAGACCCCGTTGCCTATCAAGGCATGGGAAGACTGACCTTCAGTGGGCTCCTAAATGCCCTGGATGGTGTTGCTTCCACTGAAGCCAGAATCGTTTTCATGACAACCAACTACATTGACAGGTAAGCTCCCACAGTTAAGGACAATAATTTCAGGCTGGTTAAATACTGTACTTCTGAAATTAAGATCGTAGTTTTATAATTGCTCATCAGTGTTTCTCCTAGGTTAGAGTTGTAAATAAAGTTGTAAGGTAACATCATCTCATGAGAAATATAGACAGCGTTCCTGAACAAGTAGGTACTGAGTTTACACACTGCAGACCACTGTGACTTTGTCTCAGTTTTTTGGTTTCGGTGCTTCCTCTCTCAGATTGGACCCTGCTCTCATCCGACCTGGCCGGGTGGACCTGAAGCAGTACGTGGGGCACTGCTCACAGTGGCAGTTGACCCAGATGTTCCAGAGATTTTATCCCAATGTGCCTTTGGGAGAAAGTGAGCGGTTCGCCGAGCGTGCACTGGCTGTCTCTGCCAGTCTTAGTGCTGCCCAGGTACAGGGACATTTCATGATGTACAAGCTGGATCCTGCTGGCTCCATAGACAATGTGAAGGACATTGTTCGTTGAACCAAAAATGGATTCATGGCAAAGAACCATGTGTTGACTGGATGGATTAACTCAAATTTCCCTTTGGACGTTTCTAACAAAGTGATTAATCTGGATGCCAACATATTTTTTGTGACATACCAGTAAATAAATGGGAATGAAAAGAACTGTTCGTAACCTGAGACTGTTGTGGAATCTATAGTTTGAGGGACATCTGGCATACATAAGAAAGAGCTTAGTTAAAGCCTTTGACATTATTCTTAAAATACTGCTGTGTTTCCCGAATAGGATTCAATGTCTCTGGCTCTGGTTATATTTCCTTTCAGACACCCGGGTTAAGACAACCTGAGCTTCTTAATATCAAGGAAACGTAATGTAACGCTTGTCTTTTATCCATTTACCACAGTAAAATGTATAATTCTTGCTTGTTTTCATTGTTCGTCATTACCTTTCTTCCCATCTTTTACCTGTTTACTTACACATAATCCCTGTCAAGCTCCACATAATGTGGTTGTGTGCATTTTGGGTAAAAGAAACCATGGTTGTTGTCTGAATTGTGAAACGCCTTTCAATTATCAGCGAAAAGCAAACTGTGAAGATAAAACTGGATGTTTCAGTTATACATTTTTCTTTAAACATTATTTAATAAAAATACAAAGATACTTGATAAAAGTATAATAGTTCCTTATTTGTTCCAATAGTGGTTAGCATTGTTGCCTTGCTGCGCTGGGACCCTGGGTTCAATTCTAGACCTGGGCTGCTATCTATGTGCAGTTTGTTCTGTATGCTAACGCCATGTGCACGTGGGTTTGCTCCAAGCACTCTGGTTTCCTCCCACAGCCCAAAGATATACTGGTAGGTTACTTGGCTTCTAGGAAATGTGGCTCTGGTGTTAGTCTGTGTCTGTTTGTGTCTGTGTGTACCCCACGATATACTTGTGCCTGGTGTTTTTAATGGGAGAGGGTACAGCTCCCTTATAACCCTGTATTCGATAAAGTGGTTTGAAAATGGATGGATGGACCACTGAAATCAGGAGTGTTCTATAATTTATATTTCATTCTCAAACAAACAGTGATTTTAAATTTCCACTGTAAAAAAAAAGGGCCAATTCATTCTGTGCTGCCACATAATAGGAAGTCTATTGAATAAAATTTTTAGTTTGAAAGAATCAAACTAAGCCTCTAAATGTTGTACTTGCAGTTAATAATTCAACTTGTTTAGTGGTATAATAAACATTACTTTATATACAGGTGATTGCTTTAAAAGCAATCATATCAACTCCTTTATCTCTTTATTCTTCTCCATGGATGTTTGCTCTCCTAAACAGAATTTAGAGTTTTATGACTGAAGTGCAGTGACTTTTAGAAACAAATCAATGTATCAAACTCTTCGAACAATGTTGAGTGCTCAGTAAAGAAATTCTTGCATAACCCGGTTGGGATGTAATACTGTTCACATGAAAAACGGGTGAATCCACTGGCTCTATGAATTGCATTCTGTCTTTGTTGGTACTGTTGAGACTTTCGCATTAGCACTATTATTGGCTGCATTGCATTTTAAATATTAAGACATAATAATCCCAAAACTGAAACACACTTTGTTCATCTAATTTTTCTTCTCTGCTAGACTGCATTCCAGGCATTGCGTGTGACCTGATTGCACATAGGGCTTTGTTAATCATTGGGAGTGTACCAAGATAACTTTTACCTTTTTTTTTAATAATATGCTGAAGTGGAAGAAAGGTGAACTAGACAAGAGGGTGTATAGTTACTGTATGTAAATGTAGTGTGTTTTGGGCCTGTCCATCATATTGCAACACCAAAAAACAGGAATTTATCATGCTTTAAGAAATAGCAGATTGCTAGCATTGGAACTCCACTTTGTTGGGTGAATCTTGATAAACTGGATCTAACAAGTACCCACATGCTCAGAAATATTTTCAGCAGTCACAGGAATTGTATTTTTCTATTTTTTCAGGGTGATATGTCAGCAGCCATATCACACTGCAACTCACCACTAGCAGCCCACTGAAGCTAAGCAGGTGTGAGCCTGGTCAGTACCTGGATGGGAGACCGCCTGGGAAAACTAAGGTTGCTGCTGGAAGAGGTGTTAGTGGGGCCAGTAGGGGACGCTCACCCTGCGGTCAATGTGGGTCCTAATGCCCCACTATAGTGACGAGGACACTATACTGTAAACAGGCGCCGTCCTTTGGATGAGATATAAAACCAAGGTCCTGACTCTCTGTGGTCATTAAAAATCCCAGGGCGTTTCTCGAAAAGGAGGGGGTGCAACCCCGGTGTCCTGGCCAAATTTCCCATTGGCCCTTATCAATCTTGGCCTCCTAATAATCCCCATCTATGAATTAGCTTCATTACTCTGCTCTCCACCCCACTGATGGCTGATGTGTGGTGAGCATTCTGGCGCACTATGGCTGCCGTTGCATCATCCAGGTGGATGCTGCACATTGGTGGTGGTGGAGGGGAGTCCTCATTACCTGTAAAGTGCTTTGAGTGGAGTGTCAAGAAAAGCGCTAAAAAAGTGTAAGCAATTATGATTATTATTTTTTTTTAGATTGATCTGATTTATTTCTTGTGTAAAAAGTGCAGATTTCATTTATTTAATTCTATTAGATTTTACAACTTCTGATAAAAAGGATGATTAATTTCTACAAGAATTAATTCATGTAGACATGTTAACATGGAAACGCTAACAAACGCCATTAATGTCATGTACCCTGTCACAAGACCCCAGGGGAAACTGAAGGGATGTTATATTGAAATTGTACAGGGCACTGGTATGACCTCCCTTAAGAGAATAATTCGAATAATGTGTAAGCATTTAGGTTACCATTATGCAAAAAAAGATGTTACTGCTCTAAAATCAGTCCAGAGAAAAGTGACAAGGCACATCCCAGGGCTCAAAGGAATGTCTTGTACTCTAATCTGTACTAAATCTTTTTCAAATAAATCTTGAAATGAAACAAAAACTAAAGGACACAAGTGGAAAGTATGGGGAAGTGCAATGAAAGCTGAGAACAGGAAGCACGTCTTTACACAAAAGGTTGTGGGAGTCTGGAACAATGTCGAGGCTACTACTCCTACTGTACTACTCATCTTTCAAGAAATGGCTGAATGAAGACCTTGGATCAAAAAAGCCCTCGGAAACATACAAACCTGATGGTCTGAAAGCCTCCTCACATTCTCGACGTGTACTGCTCTTGTGTCCTTTGGCTTTAAAACATGACAATCATGTTTGAAATTATCTTCAAAGGTGTAAAGGAATGCTTCATGGGGAAAAAAAAAACATTTCACTTTGTGGAAAAGAATAGAGCCTTCATGAATGTGTTTCTGAGAGATAAAAGTTCAAGATTTAAATGTGGTTACTTTCTAATAAGATTACAAATAGTATTTTAAAATATTTTTGCCTTTTATAAAAAATATTACTGAATATTTGATGCTATTGTACATGATCGTACAGTACATGTAATTTATGGTGTCATTCAATAACATTACAAGATGGAGATATTGCACCTACAGTACATATACAAAATAGTGTATTTAAATGCATAGTGTGATTTAAAATCTTTTGTAATAGATTTGTATAACAAATGGATAAAAAGAACAAAACGAAAAGCTAAAAGCCAAAGTGAAAAGATACATTTACAAAGTGTGATTTAAAGGCTGTATTGTGACTTTATGACATGGGTTAGGGTCAATGTTGTGGAGCATAACACTGAATGGCCCAATTACCCAAGATATGTGGATGAGATTTAAGAATACAGATATTTCTATCTTTTTGTCACGTTTCAAGTAGAGACTGAACAAATCATTCCAATAAGAGGGTTCTAGCCCATTTACAGATTTTATTTTAATTAAAATATGTTCATCATGAAAATGTAAAATGAACTACTGAAAGTGATGGCAACAGTAAATGTAAACAAAATGTGGAATTACTCATCTTTTGTTAAAATAATCTACTGTTAAAAAACCTGAAATGATCTTTGTAACAGTTACAGTGATATTATTGGACATATCTGCATGATTATATAACCACTGTAATGATAAGATGCGACCAGAGGACAGTGCCTAGTGTGATGGAAAATAATGTTACATATTAAAAAAAATATTAGAATCTAATAGATTCTAGAATCTAGAATCTAGAATCTTATAAAGAAACAATGTTATCATGGTCAAAGAGGGGAATATGCATTTAATTAATGGTGTCTATTACATTCGCAGGCATGCCTTGGAGGTAAAAATCTATTTTTATCAGCTCAACAAGATCCGCATTTTGCATTAATTCATTAGTAGCCATCCTACCGTTCCTATGGCTTCGGGTTTCCTCATAAAAATCGTTAATTATTTACAGTACCACCTGCTTCATGTTTTGTGGTTCACAAGCGTTATTTCTACACTTATTGCCTGTTTCAAAAGACACCAATAGTAAAGGAAACAAATAATACATCCTCCCCCTATAACCTAGAGTTGTGAGGGACCATCGAGCGAAGGAGAAACAGCAGTCTGTGGTTACTTTAAAGGAAGTGTGATGGGTTAACTTTTCCTCTGTTAATCACTCCTCCCCTTGGACAGCTGAATAAAGAATGTGCGTGTGTACAGTCTGGAATTCATTTTAGTCATGGCTGTGGCTTTAACTCGGAGGTCTGTGGAGAAAGGATTCCAACGGCTTCACGAGCCTCTGGCAGTAACTTCCAGTCTAGCACTAAGACGAAATGGTGGGAGTTCTGCTACTTTGGCAGCCCAAGCTGATCGGGGAGAGCTCAAGTCTGGCAAGGACCTGCCAGGAACAACTACTTGGAAAACTCTATATCGCATGTTATTTAAAGGATATCGCAATAGATTGCATGAGTTGCAGGTAAAAAGGCTACTTTCCTCTTAAGCTTAGAATAATGGAAACTGTTCTGTATAACCAGACTTTTCCACGTCTGGATAACAATGGAGTAGTGGTATTCTTCCATATTGAGGAAAGGCAAGCAAGACTAATATAGTCACATATCGTGACTGTCGATTGTAAGTAGGATCAATACGTTTTATAAAGCAAAGCTGGGAAAATGAAGAAGCAAAAGGAGAAGATTTTACAGTTTTATTTTAGTCAAGGGCAATAGTTTTTTTTATAGTAACAAGTGTAACAATTGGTAGACATCGCCTCGTACAGTGACAATTGAGCTGCTAATTGGGTACACGCTCTGTTTCTTGGTGCAAACAAAACAAGATGAAGCTTCTACTGTATGTGAAATTAAGATTGTTATTATGTAGTCACATACTAATGGTTTCTGCTACAGTATATTCAGTGATTATGTAGCGGAGCTGGTGCGGTGATGACCCGGGTTCACGCCCCAGGTGTGCGGGATGGAACGGGTGGTGGGGGGCACGACCCCGCGTGGAACCTGCGACCATCACAATTACAGCTGTTCTGTTGTCTCCTTTCAGACCTTTCTTATATCCTTCAACTAAACCGCTTTTTATATATGTGCTTCCACATTCAATCTAGAAAACATGTGGTGCCACTTGAAAGCATGGTTCACACATTCAGCAAAGAAAATATTTAAATAATTCTTAAATTATTTAGCAATCTCAACTGGTAGTCTCTACCACATTCAACATGTCTTTTGTTTCGCTAAACGCGATATTGGCTTTTCTAGATTTACGAGAAGAAGCTTTATGGTCCTCTGTATAGAGCCGCTGTGGGTAATTATAACACCGTGAACCTGAATACCGTGGAGCTGCTGGAGGAGCTGCTGAGAAAGGACGAGAAATATCCCTGCCGAGGGGACATGAGTCTGTGGACAGACTACCGAGACATGCGAGGTGTTGGCTATGGACCTTTCACCGAGTAAGACATAACTGCGTCACTGTTTTTTTAAAGCTATTATTTTAAACTGTTTCTGTTTGACACTAGTTCATATTTTCGGTACGAAAAACATTAAAAGTTTCATTGTCGCACACTTGCAACTGAGTAGCCTTTTAAAATAAAAATATCTTAATTACAAAGCATGAACTTACTCCCGTCATACACCCTTTCTGATTTTTTGTCTTTTTTAAAAAAAAAAGTTAATCTAATGAATAAGACTCTTACTGAAAGCTGTTAGGTGAGAGGCAAGAGACTTTATGCAACAAAGAGCGGTCATGAGAATTAAATCCACCGTAGCGAAAATTAGCTGGGGTTAAGGACCTCGCTCAGGGGTCCAGCGGAGTAGGCTTCCTCTGTCGGCCGTGGGATTTAAATCGGTAACCTTCCAGCCACAGTGCCACCGCTCCGCCCAACTTTACATTGTCCCACAAACAAAATGGACTGTGCAGCAATGTCCGAGTGCAAACTGCAAAAAAGTCTGGCCTGTTAACAATTAATGTGAAATTGAACTGTGATTACTAATAGTAATTGTATGGAAAGGCAATGAAACTCTCCATAGTATACAGTATTGAGTCACGCACATAACATCATACAGTACCTCCATATTTGAAAATATCCAGATGTGTCACTACATAGGAATTATTATCTCATGGAACTTGAACCACGTTTTCAGTTTTGAGTAACATACAAAATAGTATTCAAATGATCTTAACCAATTTCTTCAAAAACAAAACCTTCCTCTTAAAAGCAACTGACAGCATCACACATCAGTGTATTACTTGTGAAAAAATGAAGTCCTGTACTCTTTTTTTTTAACCAGGGAAGGGGAGAAGTGGTACCACCTGCGTGCTATTCTAAACAAACGCATGCTGTATCCAAAAGATTCTGTGAAGTATGAGCCAGTGATCAACGAGGTTGTCTCAGATTTCATCAAAACACTATTCCACTTACGCCAGGCCAGTCCCACAGGGGACATGGTACAAAACCTATCAAATGAGCTTTATAGATTCTCTTTGGAAGGTACAGTACAATGTACTTCACATACTGTTCATAGCTTAATGTTAGAAGCTGTAACTCTTTCTTTGCAGACTGTTTCTGGAGAGCATTAAATGGAAACTGCAATGCTTTTCTTACAACTACAGTAAAAGTAAAATGTACACAGTAATGTGTAAAACCTCCAATTTATATCACAAAATAATAACAATTTCCTGGTGTGCACAAGGCCGTGTTCTGCAATTCAGAATGAGGCAACAAACTACCAGTGATGTATTGTGGCCGTAGAACTTTGTAAAGAAGCAGGCTTGAGAATTCATCTCTTTTAATCCAATAGAAATATTGCTTTTGATTTTGACACGGTTTTGCTAACAAATACTACTAACTTGTTCCAATGTGATCTGCATGCAGAGCTAACATTTCTGTGGTGAAATGTCTGCTGCACAACCTGTACTTATTTGCTACTATATCGCATAACATTAGTAATTACAGTGATTAGTGAGCAGGAAGGGTTGCATCACCTTGAAATTCGTGGAAACTCAAATGGAGACTTTCACAAAGTTAGAGATTTTGTGCTTAATTCGAAATTCGTAATTTTTTTCTAGAAGGTCAATACATTTAGTTTTTTGCCAAGATTTAATAACCAGTCTGAGAAATTGGGACTAATTTATAACGCAATGCATTTTCTATTTAATAAAGAGCTTTCAATATTCAAGTATTTTAATGAAACTCAGACAGATCTTTTTTCTTATTGTAGTTCTCGTGTTGTTTGTCTTTCATATTTTATAAGATATAAAAATTCTTATAAAATATGAAATTTCTCTTTGACCAGCAAATAAGAACTGGTCAAAGGGAAATTTCAGTACAAACATAAATTCAACACAAATCATACTAAATTGCAGTTTCAAATGTATTACAGTAGGTAATTCTCTAATAACTACATGCACTAAATCATCTCCGTAATGCTGCATTGCCAATCTCGTAAACCAATCCTCTCAGTAAAGTGTAGTATGACAGAAATGATCCTTTCTGTTTGAACAAGGAGAGGTATATTGTACTTAAAGATTCACAGGTAATTTGGCATAATGTGGCATTATGGAGCTGTTCTTGGTTCTTTCCTTGTAATTTGATTTTGTCTGTAGTGTTCATACACAAGGATAAGACAATTGGTGCAAACAGAAAGCAAAAGCTCATTTCAAATACATGGCATTATGAGTTAATGATTTTAATGTTGTCTACATCTGTGTGGAAAACAGGCATCTCCTCCATTCTATTCGAAACAAGAATTGGCTGCCTGGAGAGGGAAATACCACCTGAGACCCAACACTTCATTGACTCCATTGCCAAAATGTTCTTCTACAGCTCGATTGTTTCTGTCCTACCAAAATGGACTCAGAATTATCTGCCCTTTTGGAAGAAGTACATTTCTGGTTGGGATGGCATCTTTGACTTTGGTAAGCAAATAAGAAGCATCTAATGTATATTGTTCAGTTATGTTGTTGGCTAAAAATCACCTGATACACTGCTGCATAACAAAACATGTGCTGACATGAAGAATAAGGCAACAAATGTCCAGCACCTAGAATGTTAATGTTTACTGCTGTATGCTTATCATGACAGAACTTGAACGCTGGTCACGATCCTCAGATATATTAAAATAAATGTGTATTTTGTTTTGGATTCCAGCTGAAAAGCTGATTGACAAGAAGATTGAGGACATTCAGTCCCGGCTGAACCAAGGCGAAACAGTGGAGGGGGAGTATCTCACATACTTGCTCTCTAGCACTAAATTGACCAACAGGGACGTGTATGGCAGCATAACGGAGCTCTTATTAGCAGGAGTGGATACGGTAACTACCTAGCTGAGGGCGATGTTGAATTATAATATGTTGCGTTTGCTGACAGTAGAAACATCTTTTTAATTGACCTCAAATTCCAACCAAATTGTTAAATTGCTTGTTGACTCGTTTTCCTGCTGTCCCGCCTGTTTTTGCCACAGATGATAAGAAATCGATCCCGCTCCATTCACATCTGAGCACATGGGTTGGTGTCACAGGCAATGTGGCATTGCTAGATCAAGTCAGCCGTTGATTTGTCTTCTAATCTAAGCTCCTGAACCTCGTCACTTTGATCTCGTCTTCTAGACTTCCAACACGATGATGTGGGCTTTGTACAGGCTCTCTCATGAGCAGGAAGCCCAGGACACACTATATCGGGAGGTGGCAGGCGTTGTACCTGAGGGCAGTATTCCCACTGCTCAAGATATCACTCACATGCCTTATCTCAGGGCTGTCATCAAGGAGACACTGAGGTACTGTATGGAGTGCTATCAAGGCCATTCTGTGCAATCCACTTGGTAAAGGAGTTTTTAGGAAGCTAAAAATTAACTCATGTACAAAGACAATCTTAGTGGTAAAATGATTTTTGGATAGTGAACTTTATCAGAAAACACAGATGTTATCTTCATAGATTTCTTTGAGCAAACAACATCACCAATGTCAGAGCTTTTTGGGAAAATCTAATTACTCTGATGCAATGAGTATGCATTGCTCTTCTATTACTTCAACAGACTCATTGAGCTTAAAATGACAGGACCTTATACATTTACAGAATCTTGCATGTAAAATATCCTACGTGTTTACAGATATATAGCACGTTACACTATTTTAACATATTTAGGGACAAATAAAAACAAATATTTGGACAGCAATTACTATATTTGTACTGAAATATAAATACATTTAAAAAACATTTTTATCTAAAGGCTTTCAGGTAAAAATAAAAGTTTACACACTCTTCCAGAAGCAATGTGATGTGTCAATGTTTGTGTACAGTTAATATTGTCTGTATCTTATGGTTATTTTAGAGAGATGTTTAGAATACTGTTAGGTCTGTGAAAAATGCAGATTAATCTCAGATGCTTGAACAAATATATTTCTCTGTTGTGACATCATGTCTTTGTATTGCAGGATGTATCCAGTTGTACCCTTTAATGCCCGAGTAATGTTAGAACAGGATGTGGTGGTAGGGGGCCATTATTTCCCTAAGAATGTGAGTATGGCCAGGATTATTGTTGACCTGATTTTATGTAACCTTTTTGTTTTGCATTTCGAATAGTGTTGCAGATTTCCAAGATTGTACTACTGTACAGGTATGTCAGTCTTGTAAACGCACGAACCATCAGTGTTTTTTATTTCACATTATAGGCAGTTTGCATGTGCACATTATGACAAGTGAGTAAAATTTTCATAACTGATGCCCTGTTGTTTGGAACATTTTGTACAGCAGATACAGTAATTATGCATATTCTGTTAAGAATTAGGGAAAACCTGGTAAACATAAACATAAAAACCGTTTTGAGAAGTAGCAAAGGGTAAGCAGGGGAGAAAAACATGTTTTGTTTTTCCTTGGGAGTCATTTTGACTTGTGTAGGCCCATCAAAACCAGACACTACAATGTGTTACTCTTTTCTCCCATGGTAAGTTACAGCAGCTAGTTTTCAGAGGCCAGAGTATATGGCATGCTTACAGCTTCCTTCACCTCCTGCAATGTCTTCCCAGACCACCTTTGTGATGTGCCACTATGCGATTGGCCAGGATGAGAGTGTTTTCCCAGAGCCATGGAAATTCAAACCAGAGCGCTGGTTGAGAGATGGGAGAGCCAGGCCCAATCCCTTTGGCTCCATTCCCTTTGGCTTCGGGGTGCGAGGCTGTGCAGGTCGCAGAATTGCTGAGCTGGAGATGCACCTGGCCCTGGCACGGGTAAGACAAGATTCGCCATCAGAGGCCAGCTGCTACATTCAGAATGCAAATGCCGATCTGATCAAGAAAGGTGGCTCTCTGTTAAGTGCAGATGTTTAACAAGGACAAAAAAAAGACACCAAGAGAATCTTATTCTCTTAATCTTAAATATTATGCCCCTTGCACCAGTTACACGTTTTCTGTACTAAAATAAGAGAGACCATTACCTGCTGTGGCACTTGAGGAATAGAGAGGAAGATAACAAACTCTCTGGTGTAACAGGGCAGCAGTAGTTGCAAGGTTAGTTCACATGACATTAAAGTAAATGCATGTGGGTTGTGCACACAATTGAGCATGCCACCTGAATAATACAGCTGCACAACAAAACAGCACAGCCCTCTGCTGCAGCTGATGTCCATTAGCTGATCTTTTTAAGAAAGGGTTAGATCAGGAGAGAGGAGACTGCTCACATGGGACAGAAAGAACATCGGAGAACATGCGCACAACTTTACAGTCAGTCAAGGGAGTCCAATCTGCAAGGTTAGAACACTTAGTGAAAGGTTATAAAGCTCTTAGTAAAGAGCAGCCCGAGAGGAGGAGGAGCAATGGTTAGCTCCCACCAATGGTTAACATTATTGGCTTGGAGCTCTGGTCTAGCCCCTTGGGTAAAGGAGTGGAAACCATCCTATTGCTGTCAAGCAAGGAGTTTCCTGTAACCAACAACTTGGAGAAGTAGTGGCAGAACCAGTTGTTCCAGTGTCAGGATGTTTGTCAGGTAACAGTTACAGTAAAATAGTTTTGGCCCACTGGGATCAACAAGGTGACCGACAATAGGTAACTACTAATACCAACATACTGGGGAAAAAGGTTAAAAAAAAGGCAGAAAGCTTAGTTCTCTCATTCCAGATCAGGAATTGGTTAGTCCAATTCTGACATCAGCTGTGGTAAACATTTTCCAATTTTAAATGTTAGATGGGATATATGGTTTGTCCCAGTAACAGGATGGAGTAACTAAATTGATTACGGTTTTGGTTGAACAAAAGTTGTGGTTGTGGTTTTTGTTGAGGTTACAAACCCAAAACAGGATTTGGGTTGTCAAGGAGAGTGACCTCAGGAGGGCTGAGGAAGGGAGAAGGCTCCCTAGCCATAAATCCCACCGTACTCTGGAGGATATTGGAGGTTGGAGTCCATCATGAGGAATGGGTTAAGAGATTCTGCAGTGTTTAAGGCCTTGTGTTTGTGTGAAAGGTGGTAGTGTGAGAGCACCAAAGAGATCGGTTGTCTGGAGAACAGAAGCCCTGACTTCAGCCGGTTGCTGACAGTTTTCCCCAGGGGGAGACAACACTAACAAGAAATAATCCTGGTGGGGATTACAGGCTTACTGTCCTCGTGCTCTGGTACTTAGTTACGGCTTCAGTTATGGCTTAAACACAACAACGCAGTAGGTCTTTGTGAAGCTTAAGATGTTACTGAAGGCTGGAGTGAGTGTGCTCTGGGAGATGGTGGTTCAGGAGGTCTGGTTATACTCAGAGAAGTTTAACAACAAGACAGTAATAAGAAAACCAGTCTCAAGTCAGCTAAAACACCATAAAAATACTTTGGGTAGCTACAAAGTTGTGATTTGTGAGTGTTGATATCCATAAGGAGTTTCTAACCAAAAGGCTTTTACAGAATGCTAGATATGATTAAGTATTTAATCAGTAATTTAAAAGGGTTTTGTATGAAAAAAAATAGGAAAGAAAACGGCTATTTCTCACTTCTTGTCTTACAGATAATAAGGCTCTTTGAAATAAGACCAGACACCAGGATGGGAGAAGTCAAAGCTTTCCACCGGACTGTACTAGTGGCAGACAGACAGGTCAACTTGCACTTCATAGAAAGGAAGGGAAGCTCTGCTCAGTGAATTGCTTACAGTTCAATGGGGTTATCACATTTGAATGAAGAAATATAGCTGGAGTACTCTGGATACCCTGTCTGTCCCCTGGTTAGGTTCTGTGTATTTCTCTTGTATTTTTGCTTTAATGAAGAAGACAATGTAAGAAACAAAAGCTTCTTTTTATATAAATGCATATTAATAAATGTCAAATGGCAAGCCTGCATAGAAATCTGGCCAGATGGTAACAGTTTAGATGGTAACCAAGTTTTTTTTAACATCTGCTCGGGGATGCATGTTCACATTCCATTGAGCAAAAGAAGCATTAGTTTATTTTAGAACAGCTTTCCTAAAACAAAAGAGCATTATTATTTCATGGGCATGAAACAACATTTATTAATAAAACAAGATGTTAATTGATTATCAGAAGGCTGTGTATACCTGGAAGGGTCACACCAATCCAGAGTCTATGCTGGCAGCACAGGATAGGCATTACCATATCTCTGGTCCTAGAGAACTACTGTCTGCTGGGTGTGTGCTTCAGCTGATATTTAAAACAATACGTTTCAAAAAATGTTTCTCTTTAGTTTGCATAAGTTCACACTTTGTTCTATGAATCCAGCTGCTTCTGCAGCACAGCTCTGTCTGTAAACAACATTTTTAGGATAAAACACTTTTTCTCTTTCCATTACACCAGGTTGATACCAATAACAAATTCCGTTCAAGATCGTAAGAGCTGAAAGCAAACTTTAAAATACACCCCCAAATAAAAGTGAACCTGGCAAGCGTTCACTTTAGGCAATTAGGCATGAATACGAAATTGAAGAAAAAATCAAAAGAGACAGTGCTCTCCCAGGACGAGGGTAGAAAATCACTAGCATGAATTGCACTGGGTGCAGTCTGCATAGGACACCAGTCTATAGCTGGGCACAAACACAATTTAGAGACAAGACAGTTAGCCTAGTTAACATGTCTTTAGAAGGTGGAAAGTAGACCCAGAGTACCCTGAGAAAATTCATGCAAACACACAAAAAACACATGAACACCACACACATAACATGCTTGACCAGAATTCCACCCAGAGCCCTGGAGTGTCAATGAACAGACGACTGTCATGGCACCCTAAATCAACATATGAGATGAAAACGTTTTGAATGCTTGGCTAGATTGCAATATAGCTGGACAATTATAGGCAAAACCTACTGCTATTTTAATAATTCATCAGTTAAAAGCATTGTATCAAAGCTCAGAGAATTGTTACAGAAATGCAAAATATATTTTAGTCTGCTTAAATGTATGCTCTGCTTTCAAATGAAGTCTTTTTTTTTTCATTTTTTCGGGAACTGTTGCTGGTTTAATTATAACTTAACCTTGAACCACCTTCACCAATATGTAGTAAATAGAGGATTTCACCAACAATAACTAGAAAAGATTGTGTGGGAATTTCCTGACATCTATTGCAGCACCTTACTTATTCAAATAAAGATTAAATCTTGTTTGCATGCAACAGTGTTTTGATGATATCTGTTCCCTGTAGATATCAGTTCTGTTTCTTATTGCACACTTGTGGAATTTGTGAAAGTGTTATATCTCCCTGGTTTATGGTTTCCTCATTATTAAAGATATTATTAAGATAAGTACAGATAGTTATATTTGAAATGAGAACATTTTTGGAAATGAAATACAGTACAACACTAGTAGTGGATTTCCTGATGATTGTGGCAACATCGTTTTTAAAGCACAGTCAAATGTTTAGCTAAAGTTGAAACGTTGCCTGTTCCTTGTTTGCACACTTTGTATTTCATTGAGGCACAGTATACAGTACTGTATACAGGAAACAGACACATAATCTCACAGTCTCGTGCTCTGGAGGTTTTTAAAGGGCAGAGTACAGCAACAGAAACAGCACATACTGCAGGTCTGGGAAGATGTTAACACCATTACCTGAAAAGTAAATGGCTCTTATGTTTTAGTCTACTAGACAAAAACCTGACTAGAAAAAGTGATCAACATTCCCGAATAACTGGTCATTGGATTATACTTTCTTTGTTGGTCTTTAAAAATATTCCCATACCCTGGAGGCCCTTTTACATTCTGTGTTTAAAATATGTTGTTTGGATAATTGCAATTTTTTTGCTCCTGTTCCATAGAACCCAAGAGAAAAAATGGAGTTACCCTCACAGGTCTCTCACAGGAAACATACTCTGGATCTTTGGATGCTGACTACAGGACACGCAAATATACTGTATACAGTGACAATTCTGAGATGCCAATTAACCTAGCCAACATGTCAACCAACATGTAGGTTGGAGAAAACCAGATTATCACCCAAAGACAACCCACGTGTACGGGAGGAACATGCCAACTCTCCACAGAAGGATCCAGTCCAGAATGAAACCCAGGACCCATTTGTCTAAGCATTGAGCAGTCCTTGCACATGACATCTCAATTAAATTGCACCATTATATATAAAACCGTTTCAATTACTTCTGGCAACATCACACTCACGGTATATACCGTGATTATTTGTCCAGCAGGACTGGTTCCCTCAAAACTATACCAGATGATAAACGTTAGAGGGCAATTTTAAGAGAGGAAAATGATTACACGGCGACAACCCGTGGACTGGTCCCTGCAGATAAGTTTTTTTGTTCTTACCTGGGGAGTGGTCCGGAAAACAGAAATGGCACATAACAGTTTCTAATTTTAGCACATGTGAATCGTGAATTTTACCGTTTTTATTGGAGAAATTTTAAATCACATCCTAAAGTGTTTGTTTTACAAATCTACACGAAGCAAACGCAGAGCAACGAGCCGTGCACTGGACTTTAAAATAGACTGCGGTGTCAGTAGATGGCACTACTCACATTTGGATTGCATGAAAAGTCAGAAGCTTTGCGCCTTTCAGCATTTAAACAGGAAGTGACTTGATTGGAAGTGCTTTATTATAATTTTCAGTATGATTGTATGTCTTCGGTGTCTCTAACCAGGAAAAGACCAGAGTAAACGGGATAGATGGCTGAGTGTAGTTAAACATACATTTATTTCTTTAATTTAAAAAAATTAACTATTTGTATTGAAACACGTAATGGTGGTGTTAGTTAAGTACGATGAAATCTACGTTAGAGTGAAATTCATTGTAGGGGCATCTCCCAATCTTCTTTCGTTACTAGTGGAGCTCTAATTTATCTAATAAGGTAATATAATGTAGTTACTGAAGGGAGTCAAAGGTTCCTACGATTTATGTAAGAAGTTATTTCTTGAGTTATTATGGCCAAAGAGTAAATGATTCGAGATCAAAAGCCATCGGTTACATTCGAGTAAGTAAGTTATAAGTTAAGAATAAGTTAGTTTGACTAACAAATTATTTCAAAATCACTAAAACAAATCAATATTTTTCATTATTTTTAATCCAGGTGTTGCTCTAGTTTTGCATGAATTGTCTATTTTTCATGAATGCACGTTTGTGTTCACTTGATGTCGTTCTAGACACTTTAAACACTTTAAGGCTTCAGTACATTAACCTGTAAATTACTTAATTTTGCTACGCTTAATTACTACGCTGACCCTGTTAATAAAATAGTCACATTATTTTTCCTTTTCTTTTCCTTTTACAGATGGAATCTTTAGCATAGTCAATGTAAAATTACATTTTATTTTAATGGAGACAAGTCGCAGCTTTTAAAAAAATACCAACTGCAAATGAAGACTTTGCAAATGCAAAAAAAAAACTGAACTTGCTGTCAATACGTGGAGTGATTAAAACCATTAACTTCAATTTTAATTTTCATATTCATGGACCACTATGTTATTATTAGACTCCACGGGCAGGACAAAAAATGGTAAAGATTTACCATTCACCATTTACACATTAGTTTACAAAGGATACCACTATACTATGGAAGCAGTTAAAAAGAGAATGAAGAAAGTAGAACGATATAAGGCTAGCTGACGTAATGAAAACTGTACTCTAGGTATGATTTCTGTAAAGTACAGAATAATGTAAACCGCAGTCTAAGTTTGTAACCTCAACGCACTGTGTTATATTCACCGAGTAATGTATGTGTATTCCAAAACAGCACCAACAAACGTGTTGTAAAAGTCCTAGTTAAACCATCTTTTTTGTGTGATGTTAGTTTTGAAAGTTCACTAAATTTGCTTTTCTTCTCCTTAATTGTTTCAAAAGTTCAATGAGACTCCTTTGTATTCCCAATGTGCAAAGGATGGTAGTAGTAATATTTTAATGTACTCCAACAATAAATATCACGACAGTAGAGTACTACATAATTATCAAAATGTTGAATATAGCAAAAAATGTGTGTGGTAAAGTGCTGCAATTCAATTGCAGCATCTTTGCTAGTGAAAGTAAATAATCCTGTTAGTGTTCCCTCCACAGGGCTCCAGGTGTTCAATAAGGAGGCACAATGAGTACAAATCCCATTTCCAACACACCTAAGATGGTGATAGTTGGCGCTGGCCTGGCTGGCCTGACTGCAGCAACTACCTTGGTCAAAGCAGGGTTTCAAAATGTCTGGATCTTAGAAGCCATGGACAGACCAGGAGGGAGAATCCACACAACCAGGCCCTTCAAGACAGAGATCATAGAGATGGGGGCAAACTGGATCCATGGTCAAGAACAAAACCCAGTCTTTCTTCTGGCACAGCAGCACGGCTTACTGGCTGAAGAAACTTCCAGCAGTGTCATGTGTCTGCCTGACTCCATAACTCCCCGGGACTTCTTTTTTCATGAACACAGAAGGCAGCTTCCCTCAGAAACAGTCGAAAAAGTGTGCTCTTTTTTCACTAAGCTTACCTCCAAGGCATTCAATCAAGAACTGGACAACAAATATGCCTTGAAGACTCTCGGTGACTTCCTAGATGAAGAATTCCAGGCCTCACCCTTGGAGTCTTTGGAAGATGGCCCAAAGATTTTTGAGTGGTGTAAACGGAGCGAGTGCACTGATGAGGCTAGCTCCTCTCTGTATGATGTCTCTGCTAAAGACATCGGTCTGTATACAGCTTTAGAAGGCGGCTTCTTCACCTGCTTGGGACCTGGAGGCTACCAAGCTGTATTAGATGTTATTCTGAATAGCCTTCCTCCTGGTATTCTCATATGTAACAAACCAGTAAAGCGCATCCGATGGGGTCTGGATGAAGCTGCCCACCCAGTGAGGATAGTGTGTGAAGATGGGCTGGAACTACAAGCCGATCATGTCATTGTCACAGCATCTCTTGGGGTCTTACAGGAACAGGCCTCTGTCATGTTTGAGCCTTTGCTGCCTGAGCGGAAGATGAGAGCAATCGAGAGGCTGGGCTTTGGTGTGGTTGACAAGATCTACCTGAAATTCACTGAGCGCTTCTGGCCTCCAGACTGTGCTGGAATTCAGCTGGTCTGGGAGGAAGGACCCGAAGATAAGAATGTTTATACCTCTTTGCTGGATGGGGAGAGCTGGAAGAAGACATGGTACAAGAAAATTTGTGGTTTTGACATTGTGGCTCGTCACCCAACTGTTCTCTGTGGCTGGATTACGGGCAGAGAAGCCCAATATATGGAGATGCTTGATGAGAAGGCGGTCGGAGATGTTTGTGTGGGGTAAGTTTCTAAGGGGTGGTACAAATTACACACCTCTTAATCACAGCAAGATATCTTGATGGTTTTCAAATAAAACAAAACTAATGATTATTTATTAATTTTATTAGTATTAGTATTAGTATTTTATTATTATTAACTAATAAAGTAAATCTAATAAAAATTAAATAGGTCTTTTCATAATATTGATGTTCAGTGAGTTCTGTTTTATTTATCCCTGTGTCAATAAGTGATTAGAGAAAGAAAATACAGTACTTAATGGCTTGAGAGTACTGTGCTACAGCCTGAATATTTCCCAAATCTCTTTGATTGAGATGTTAACTGCAGATTTTGATTCATAGTTCATATAAAGTTCATATGTGCAGTAATAGTACATTTGCAGCATTGAGGTGGGCAAAAAGTACATAGACAACACAAGGAAATATAAGAATACAAAGAATGATGGTACTGAGAAATGCGAACTTTGTGCAGAGGGCTTATTTGATACTAACATTGTTAGAGAAGGTGAGGTCACTCCTTTGGACCCTAGATGAATTCTGCTCAGACGGGAGTCCCAGCCTTTTGGCGTGGAGGAATTCCATGTGGCTCTGAAGGGAAAGGTGCCTGCAAGCAGCTTTGTTCAAATCCCATTGGGAGGCGGAGATGCACTTATTACAAGTATACATATTGAAGCTTGGATCAGTACCATAAACTTCTCACATATGTGATTTCTTATTCAGCTCTATGATCACTTATTCAGCTATACTCTTCTTGAACTCAGAATTTTGGTTTTTGCTGTGCACACAGATTGCTGAGATCCTTCACTGGCTGGAATATTCCCGATCCAGTCTGCGTGCTGAGATCCAACTGGTGGGAGAATCCCTATGTTCGAGGTTCCTACACGTACATACCTTCTGGGATAGATGCTGTGAAAGAGCAGGAAGACCTATCTGAGCCTGTCCCATCTGCTGCCTGCAACCCACAACTGAAGGTACTTCTCTGATTTCACTCTGCAACTGTTTTTGTAGTAACTCAAAGTAAGCCAACAAGTGATTCAATTTTACTTTTGTATCTTCACATGAATCTGGCACAATTAGTGAAAATAACCTGACATTTTCCAGTGATTTTATATTGTTTTATGAAGTTGTGTCAGGATAAGTTCTGACTAGAGTACAGTGAAGAGAAAACAAAGTTTAGAAACCATACAACGATTCTATCAATTATGAGTAAAACATAATGGTTACTGTGTTAAAATAGGTGGTATTCAGTAGTATTTTGATTTATCATAGCCTTCTGTGACAGTGAATTAATGTAGGTTTTTTTAATTATTCTGATTTTTGTTTACCTGCATTGCACAAGAACTGATATATATCAAATTTGTGCCGTTTTGTTGACAAATTGATTGAAAACAGAGTGATATTATCTTTTAACACGTCACCTGTCCATCTCTTACATCACAAGACTAAAACAGCCAATGAGCTTTGAAACAAGAACTTTTGTCACAAGAATTAGAACACAAATGCATTTGTTACAAAGAGGTCATTAAGAAGAGTTTTGAGCCCACAAGTCCACAGCCAAAAAGGCTCTTTGCAAGCATTGCACCTGTGAGTCTTTCTTTTCAAAGCTGAACTTAGAGAGAGATGTCCTGATTTAAAAATGCAGAAAAAAACTGATCCAGAATATTTTAGTGACTTAATTAACCCCCTGTAATGTCTGATTCAAGCCTCTGCAGGTGCTGTTTGCTGGTGAGGCTACACATGTCAACTTCTATACCACCACACATGGGGCCTACCTCTCTGGAGTAAGAGAAGCTCAGAGGATTATTAACCACTACAGTCATGAGAAGACCAGTCTTTAACTGCTTTAAAACCAGGAATGTTTAAAATAATTTCTTTTCAGATTTATAACCTCAATGAAGGATTTTCACATAATCTGTACTCTGTATTTTCAGTATTTTAGCAGAAATTTTATTCTGTAGTAGTTCAGGTGGGTAGCTGCGTCAGCATGCGTAGGCTGCAAAGGAACAAGTAGTAGGTTTATTCCATGCTGAAAAAAAGAAAAAAGAAAACACGCCTTTTACGGCCATGGAGCCTTCTTCAGGTGTGAGAGAGACAAGGCAGTAAGCAAAGGTAATGTAGCGGGAGAACAAAGGCTGGGAGAGAGGAGGAGCGAGAGGTGGAAACGGGGGACAGAAAGAGAGGCCAATCAAGAGGTGTGAAGTCAGAATATTCTCTCACACCTGAAGAAGGCTCCACGGCCGAAATGTTGTGTTTTCTTTTTTCTTTTTTTTCAGCCTGGAATAAACCTACTACTTGAAATTTCATTCTGTATTGTTTAAATGTCATGCATAGCAGTGATAACATACTTTTCGGAGACAATAAAGACATCCCTAATGATGATTTTAATTAAATAAACAGCATTGCAATGATGTTCTCACAGGGCAAAGTACAGTACTTTTTACTTAGATTGTGCTTTAACTAGATAAAGTAAAAAAATAATTGTATAATTACTAAATGCATACAAATGTCCTGATCATTCATTTGTTTGTATTTCATTAATTTGTAACAATAATTTACAAGTGATGCCTCTACAGTTGTGTTACTGTACATTAATGAATATAATATTTGATGTGACAATTTTAATCAGTTAGAAGAGTGAGGTGTTTAAACCATTTATTTCTGAATTAAAGCAAACATAAGTGGGTTTTTGAAAATATGCAGTTCCGGTCTTCTACCCCTGTTGCTGTGTAAGCAAAATAACTTTACTGTTTTATTCCCTTAGTATGGTCCCAACGATTATAGAACATTCTATAGGCAAAGTTCAGTATCTATCTCTAGAGCGCCCTTTTGCCTCTTTTCAGAGAAAGACGCTTATATAATTAGTTCCACTCCTAAGACCTTTGTGTTCCTTGTGATATTGTGAACCATTCATTCTGTTAGCTATACAGCAACGTGGCAGCAACATGCTAAGCAATTCTTGTATGCTTTTCTCCTTTTAATTCTTAAAGTCAAAAAGCAGACTAGAAGGCTCATCGTGCAACGTGTTGTTGCATCGTGCAATGTTGTGCTATAAACCATTCCATTGTACCAGTACCGGTTACATATGGCAATAAAGTTCAAGTTCAAGTTCAAGTTCAACGTCAGCCATTTGCTGTGGAGAACATTTTCAGAATAGAAAGGAAACGGGACATTTGTGTCACTTAAACAGGTGTAACAGAGCAACAATTGAGAAGCTACGACACTGAAGTTTTCCAACCCCCTAGTTCTTCCATTTCAATGTCGAGATGTACGAAGCCTTAATATTGTTTGTCCTTATTCGTGCATTCCTCGGTGTTTTCTGAAGTCGGAGTCAAACAGTGCTTCGGCTGCACCTTCGTGAGATAATGTGCAAAATTTAAGCACTGCTAGTGAGTACACCGCCCATTTTCAGCAGTAAGCAGCAGATAAGGAGAAACAGAAAAAGAGTGCAAGAAAAGGTTTTTTGTTATTTCTTTTTATAGGAACTTTTATTTGCTTTTATAGCATTTACATGTGTCATTTACAGACATTATTAAACATGGTAAGAGCTAAACGTTACACTCACTAACACTATTTTACATCCAATTCTGACTGAGCGCGTGCAAATACCCGTAATGCTTCAGGGAAATGAAGACTACAATGCAAAAAGTATTGCGACTAGTTAAAATGTTTAACATACGTTAAAATAATAAAGGTAATGTGATATACATTTTGAATAAAAAACATGAATCTTCCAGAATTAAAACGTGTTATATTGGTCAACTTTCCTGTTACTGGGTAAATCTTTAACAAGTTATTGTGTTGCAAGTCCCTGTCGAAACGTACAGTATCAAGGTTTTCTCCTAAGGCGAGTCTCAGTAAATGATAGGTGTAATAACTCAGGAACTTACACCAACCGTGCAACGCTCTAGTAAGCAGTCTTTTGAAACATCGGAGATATTTGCCAACAAAGCAATGTTTAATAACCGTTTTATAGTCTGTAAGGTTTTGCAACGTGTAGTACAATAACATTCTAGATTTTCTGTGAATCTGTTTTGTCTTACCTGTTTATTTTTCAAATAAACGTTGTAGAAGTGTGGTGCAAGTTCATTTCTAGAAATAAATAACGAGACATTTCCTTGCATTTAAAATATAAGGAATGGTACTTAATAGTTTTTATTTCTCAGAGCGTCGTGTAAAGGAGGTGAATTATAACGGTTAAGACAATGTAGATTCATATAAGTGTAGATTCACTAAGCACGATTTAGAAGTAAACAAAATAATGCACTGTTTATAATCAACTGTGTATTTTATACCCCAGCCTTTTCTCTGGGAGAAAATTAAATTAAATTAAGTGCTGACCAGTGCATAAATATACTTCATGGACACGCAATGAGGACAAAAGGATCATCAAACAATTTATAATTATGGTATTATCATCTGTACTTATGAACTGTAAACTCTGTTAATTATATAAAGCTAGCTAGGAATTTGTTTGGTTTTTGTGTAATTTCAGATTGTCATGTATTTTTATATGTAACATGCAATTCTGTAAAAAGTCCTATAACAACAATAAAAAAAAAGTTCCAAACACACAAAGGCTGAGTAAGGAAAACACAGACATAACAATACCATTTAGCAAAAAAACAATATCATTAATCCAGTTTGGTTGAGCTAATTGTCCCAGTATGGACAATGAAACATCAAAAATGTTTTTGGCATCATCTCAATTAATGATTCATGATGGATACATTGCGAGTGAATTAGCTGCATGAGCACTAATCACATCATTAGTATGAGTTTATTGGGCACAAAACACAAGTTAAGTAAACCTGTGAAGTGGGACATGTAAATATTGCACATATCCAGCATTGCAATATTACTGCTTAACCACACTGTGAAAGGTATTGCTGGGATCCATTAATTTATCCTTCACCAAAAGTTATGCTAAGATGCAATAAAGCTGACTTCCTATAGCAGCTCTAGTGACTTATGCTATATAACAAAAGAAATGACCAACACCCATAAACACAACATAAACAGGATAAAGCAGATCAATGTCTGCGGCATATCAAAGGACAGGACAAATATCCATAACAAACCATAAAACTGTGAAACCAAATTTCTTTCTGAGCCCATACTGTGTATAAGTGTTGTGTATTAAATTATTGGCCATCATCTGGATGACCACGATTCATGATACTTCACTAAAAATGATATGGTGTTCCTGGTGCCTGAATTGTAGACCAGGCAGTGGTATCGACAGGTTCCTGTCACGGACGTCCAAAGGGACAAACCGTGGGGAGCAGGAGAGCGGAAAAAGACCCATATGCGTAGCGGCGAGACGGGAAAAAGGCCCGGGCTCATAGTGCAAAGAGCTCAGGATTGCCGTATAGAAACCTATGCCCTCAGGGAGCGGACGTGGGGCGCCCTGGTGCTAGGCGGGTCTCAGGACATCCGAACATCAATGCTGAGCGAGGACAGAGTGCAAGACCCGGAAATATATAGCCCAAGGGAAAGAGAGGGACAGGAAGGACAGCAGACCGGAAACTAGGGACAGGACAGAGAAGGAGTGCCCTCTGGCTGCAGAGGGCGTGACAGTACCCCCCCCCTTCATGGGCGGCTCCTGACGCCCAAACAAATAAATAAGCTGCACAGCACTGGGGGGAGGAAAAACCTCATTTAACTGAAAGGAAACCTCCGGGAATCCACGGCTGAGAGCTACCTCTTCCTCTGGGGTATAAACCTTTATTGGGTGGAGGAAGGGGGGGTAGAGAAAAGCTCCGGAGACTTAAAACAAAAAAAGTACACAAGCACAAACCCAACAGACAAAAACCTGGGAAAGACCAGGGAGACAAACCACACAAAACATATAGGAACCAAAGTTCCGAGACACAGAGAGCAGGGGGGACCAAAAAGGAGGGGAAACCAGGAAGAAAAAAAATCAAAACAAAAGGCAAAAAACAAGAAAAAAAACACAAAAATCCCGGGGAAAAATACCGCAGACTGGGCAAATGGCACGTTCACATACTAATGCCGATATCGGAGTGGACAACCTGAGGAAAGCCAGACCGAAGCCCGCTCACAGACACAGATGCCCGGAGTGATATCCAGCGAAAGGCATGGAGGAACGGCAGAAAGCTTACCATTCTATCACTGATATCGGAGGGAGCAAGACCAGGAAGAGCCAGGCAAGAGAACCCGCTCCAGACACAGAAGCTCGGAGTGATATCCAGTAATAAGAATAGGCAAGCCAGCTCAACATTCAATCACTGATATCGGAGTGATCTACCCGAGGAAAGCCAGGTGCAGGACCCGCTCACAGGCACGGAAGATCGGAGTGATATCCAGTGTTTAGAATAGAGGAACTGAAAAAAAAAACAGCCCAGAGAAAAAAAACTGCGGCAAGACAAAAAAAACGCCGCTGGCGGGGTCAGTAGGTGACTCAGCATTCTGTCACGGACGTCCAAAGGGACTAACCGTGGGGAGCAGGAGAGCAGAAAAAGACCCATATGCGTAGCGGCGAGACGGGAAAAAGACCCGGGCTCATTAGTGCAAAGAGTTCAGTTATGCCGTATAGAAACCTATGCCCTCAGGGAGCGGACGTGGGGCGCCCTGGTGCTAGGCGGGTCTCAGGACATCCAAACGTCAATGCTGAGCGAGGACAGAGTGCAAGACCCAGAAATATATAGCCCAAGGGAAAGAGAGGGACAGGAAGGACAGCAGACCGGAAACTAGGGACAGGGCAGAGAAGGAGCGCCCTCTGGCTGCAGAGGGCGTGACAGTTCCGTCCCTTTGTTGGTGTTCAGTGAAGACCCTCCTCAAGCATGCCAGTTTCTTATTTCTCCATAAAGACCTTTCTTTTGGGGTTCCTTCCTGGGATCCATCCTCATTCATTCATATAGCAAATGAACCTCTCATGTCAAGGTGCTCACTGACAATACTTCAGGTACAATTCGCCCTTTTCAATTTCAGGTAAAATGTATTTTTTTTCACTAGTCCATTTTTCTCAGTGTCTAGTAGTTATTCATTACCACTGCTACTGGCTAACCAAAGCCTACCTCAGTGCTAATACCTTTTAGGTTACTCCTTCTGGATACAGCATTTCCCACAGCCCAGTTTGTAATCCCCATTTCTTCTAAACCCTAGATCTTTCATCAAACCCTCCAAAGTCTACCTTCGTCAGGTTGTTCCCTCAGCTAGGTCATTTTGACTAAATCTGCATTACATACCCCATCTCTATAAACTTTGTTGCCTTGTTGCATATTAGAGTTTGGCTGAACTACTGAATTTGTTTTTACACAAGTTTGGGAAAAAGTCAAATCTTAACCTTGCCCACTTCTGCTTTGCTTGACACGAATCTCTCATCTTCTAAGCAACCTTTTACACATCCATCTCCACCCTCCATCCCTTGCTCAATCCCCATTAAGTGTGGGGAGGACCTGTTAGCTTCATCCTTACGGTCAGGTTACCATGTCCTTAGTAATTTGAGTCATGCCAGATAAACTTTACATACACTATCCCTATAATCTTCATCACCTTGTTGCATTTATAAGAGTCTAACACAACTACAGAAGAATGACTTTATCATTGTCCTGATAACGGACATTGAACTTCTTTAACTTTATTATTTTCGCTGCAGCTGCAGACTGTGAAAGGAGAAGAAACAAACATCAGTACTACAATATGTTTTTTTCGTAATCTTTTTTTGTATTGTTCTTTGCTTTATTTGTACTGTATTTACAACTGTTGATTGTCTTCTTGGCTTCTTGCCTCATAAAACGTTTATAGTTTTTTATAAGATTTACACATTATCTTATTTTTTGCTGTAATTCTAATTTGGACAAAAGTCCTAAGAGTTAGATCGTTATGTTTCTTTTGAAGGTCAGTAAAATTCATATTGCTTTCACTTCTTTAGCAGCAATAACTAGTGCAGAAGAACTTCAAAAAACCTTGGAAAGCACACCAAATAAAAACTATACTTCATTTATTTTTACAAAACTCTTATTTATTTCTCAGATTGCATTAATGGTCTTCCATGCATGTTTTTATTGCAGTAAGATTATTGGTCATTTCTAAGGCTGTTAAATATAAGCAATCTACAAACTTGTTCAGTGGTTTTAACATAACCAAGACACTAAAAATGAATTCTACATCAAGCAATATTAATGGAAAATCCCTACTTTCCAAATTCTTCCTTGATAAAGAACTTTATTGTCATATGACATTCTAAACAATCAACGACTGTGGTGCCTACACACAATAGTTTTCTTGAAATTTCCTTTAATGGGTGTGTTGCACACAGATAATCACACAGTTTTTCTATAATTTTTTTCAGCAGCCATTACTGCAATCTTAGACTATTATGACTTTAATCGTAAAAAGATAAATCTTCAAAGCAAATTGCGGCATCGAAAATATAAATTTACATTAAGTACACATGACTTCTATGAATATTAAATATTTTAAAGGTGACAAAAAACTAGCAGCCCCGGTGTATTGTGGTTGATGAGTTTAGACTAATTACTGTATAATGTATATCCAGTTATTTGTTTCAGCTTAAGCAGTGCTGAGATAAATATATATGATGATGGAAATAACTTTGCAATCGTTGCAAACATAAATTTCAACATCTTTGGAATGCAGGAGGAACCAGCAAAAACCCATGTGAAAACAGAGAGAATGAGCAGACTCTACACAGGAATCCCAGCATGAAATGGAACCCAGGACCTTTGAACTGTGTGGCAGCAGCACTAACCACCTTTGAACCCTGCATGCAGGGATCACCTGCTGTTATTATTAACCGTGAAATGGAATAAAAGTTTGTATAGAGTGCAAAGTTTAGTAATGTATGGAATTATCAGAAACCTTTTATTAAAAAGATGTAATTAAACTTTAATTAAAGATTTAAACTTTGATTACAATAATAAAATAAGCTCTTAATTCTGGTGTCGAATGTTTGATGTCTGCCACACTCATATCCCAGTTGGCAGTATGATTGTCTATTTCATCTTTACTTCGAAATAAAAGATACTGGTCCTAGCCTAAAATACCGGTCAGCAAAGTAGTAGTTGCAATGAGTTGGAAAATAAAATGTATCTTAATTTCACAAAAGGAATCTTCATCATAGGCTGAAAGACCACAGAACATCCACATTTGATACAGCACTCACAAAACACAATTTAAAAAGTTAATCAGCACATTTTGTAGTGTCTAATACTGTGGCATACTACAGTATATGTCTGGCCCTGCACCTATCAAATGTTTTATATTTCAAATGAAGTGAAAAGTTTTGTAAGCATCAGTGAAATTTACACATCTGTACAAAACTGACCAGACTCATGTACATGCAAACTCAGCTGTAATTGTTGCATACATTTTATTACTGTGATGAATATTTGGACTTTGCTGCACTTATATAGAAGCTTTACAGGAGCATAAAAGATAATAAATTTGAGTCGTGCAATTTCACTTATGATGTAGAAAGAATGCAATCTGGAGACAATACAGAAGTGTTTCACAGCAAGGAGGAATGTGTAACGTGTTTCCTAAAACAGGCCTTTTGCTTTCTTGAGGTTCTTCTGCTTCCAGAGAGGCATAGCATAAAATTCAGGGCGTGTCATGCCCAAGACATCAGTGAAGTCATTATTTGAAAGATACTCCTGTAAAAAGTGAGACAATCTCTTTAGTTATGTGTAAACACAAAAGCTCTTGTATTCCATTAGTTGTACCTTTTTAATTTATGAAAGATTAGATCTTTAGTGAGTGCTCTCATTTCTTCTGCATCATTTATTCTAGAAATGCACATGAAATTGTCATTTCTTCTTAGAAGGGAGTCAACTGAAACACCAGAAAATGAGCTGATGTCCCCTGAATTTCCTGTTTAGAATAATGTAAGGGCCAGTTGGCACCCTGCAACCCACAACAGGCCACCCACTGAAACTAAGCAGGTGTGAGCCTGGCCAATACCTGGACTTGAGACCTCCTGGAAAAACCTAAGGTTGCTGCTGGAAGTGGTGGTAGTGGGTCCAGTAGGGGGTGCTTGCCCTGCAGTCTTTGTGAGTCCTAATTCCCCAGTACAGTGACGGGGACACTATATTATAAAAAGGAGCCATGACTGTCTGTGGTCATTAAAAATCCCAGGGCATTTCATGAAAAGAGTAGGGGTATAACCCTGCCGTCCTGGCTAAATTTCCCATTGTCCTTTACCAGTCCTGGCCTCCTTATAATCTCCATCTATGAATTGGTTCCATCACACTTTTCTCCTCCCCACTGTTAGCTGATGTGTGGTGAGCGTACTGGCGCACTATGGCTGCCGTCGCATCATCCAGGTGGATGCCGCACATTGGTGGTGGTGGAGGGGAGTCCCCATTACCTGTAAAGCGCTTTGAGTGGAGTGTCCAGAAAAGCGCTATACACGTATAAGTGTAAGCAATTATTATTATAATTGTGCAGAACAAATCTTGGGGACAGAGCTGTCACCTAACAACATTTGTATTTGTAAATGTGTTATAAACTTCCCAAGAAATTAAAACATGGCACTAGCTATAACATTTAAATGTGGCTTTAAAGAACAGTGGTTGGAGAACTATTCAATACCCATACTTATCCCATCATTCTCCAATGCTGCCATGTGGGTATTAGAGCCTGCTGCATATAGATCACTAGATGGTTCAGAATGCCAGTGTGACATATTTGTCATTAATTCAATTAATTCAAAAATGTAAATGTATTTCTACGTCACTAGTGTTGTTGTTCTCTTACCTCCCTCCTGGAAGGATCCACTCCTTCAGGCAGGTCTTCTACTTGGCAGTTCACCAGTTTTTCAGCGGGGAAAGTTGGTAAAACAGCAGAGGACATATTTATGTTGTCGGCTTTATGGTTGGGTTTCATCATATCCTGGTAACGACAGTGATCCAAATTTAAAAAGCTTGCTTGAATTGTTTTTCACTATCCTTGTATTGTATTGCATTGCAATGTTGCTTTGTAAATCCAGATTCAGTATTATATTTGCTTATAATGACTATTATTAACTAGAGCAAACTGTAAGATGCAATGTTGGGAGCTTTACCACATAAACAAATGAAAACTCTGCTAAATACTGACATACCACTGTGATCTCGATGATGGCACTACTGTTACCAAGCTCTGCCTTCAGCTCTTCATATGATTTTCCATCCTGGCAACAAAAAAACAAATGTTTTCATTAGAAGAACGCAACAAAGCTTACAAATGAGAGGAGGGCATTCAGCCCATGTACATTGTTTGATTATACTAACTAATATTCCTACATTTAACCAGATACTGTAAGTCAGTTGAGATCAATATCTTATTTCTCAATGATGATCAGGTTAGAAGACATAGACCAATAAAGAACAAGTAATAGATTTATTCCATGCTGAAAAGAGAAGAAAGAAAACACAACATTTTGGCTGTGTAGCCTTCTTCAGGTGTGTAACAACCTACACATGTTGACGCAGCTGCTCACCTGACATAGACCAATGTTGGATAAGAAAGCAATGTGGCCAAATAACAGAATGAGTCAGTATTAACACATGCAAATATCTGGCTGAAAAGATTTAAGCATCTAATTGGTGCATCTCATCCAGGTGTTTATTGAAAATATCTAAGTTATCCATTTCAACAATATGGCTTGTACCAGATACCCATAATGCTTTGTGTAAAAGGTTACCTATTCTTCTTAGTTTGAAATTAGGTTGCTTTCTCTTTTCTCCTTTCCTTCTTGAAAGTGCCTTCTCGTTTACTTTTTTCATTTTATTGCTGACTATCAAGAGGTCTGTTGGTTTGATACCGTGAATATTTTTGAGGGTTTTGAATCCATGAACTACTGTGGATCTCTCTGTAAGTCTTCTTTGTTTAAAGCTAAAAAGATTCATTATATTGGTCTATCAGTGTAGGATGATCATTTAAGCTTGGGAATGTACCTGGTCACTCTTCACTCCTACATTCTTCAGTAGGGAAAACTGAAGGCCCATAAAAGGAAATTTATATTTCATTGACATTTACATTCTACAATAACTTTTAGGAAGAAAGAGCAAGATAAAAGCCAACGTCTTATATTCAGCTAGACAATATTTGACTTCAGCTTTCATTTTGATTCAATTTTTTAGATCAGGGAAATTGCAGCTGCACCTCAGTTAAAAACCCTAACCAAGCTGAGCACATCATGAGTGTACTTACACTCCACTTGTGTGGGTCCCAGGCAAGGAACCAGCCAGTGAAGGTAGGAGGCTCAAAGCCCTGCTTGACCAAGATGATGGGGGTGTCGGGATCTCGACCACCAGGGTGAGTTTGCAGATACTCCTGTGCTGTGACAACCACCTCTTTCTTCTCCGTCTCATTGGCCCCTTTCCCCACCCACAGAAATATCTGGGAAAGGAAGTTTTTAACATGTATATACAGTCGATACATATACAGTATATACACTCACGTTTTACACAGTAGTTATGTTCCTGACATAGCACGTACTTTATACCCAAAATTGTATATAATCAGAACACCCCCCTTAGACCCTCCTATTCCCCTCCCTTAAAGAAGATTCTTCAATAGCTGATGGGAGTTCAGACTTGCCTGTAGGCCCATCTGTTTCTGAGGTGCAACAGTACTGACTGAAGGAATCTCTTCTCACCTCGTCCCAGATGTCCAGCAGCATGATATCATCCTCATCTAAGTCATCTTGGTTGAAGTTAGTAATCTCTGTGGCAATAAATCGTCCAGTCTGATTGGAGCACTCATAAAGACGAGGGGTGATGACTGAGCTCTTTTCTTGAAGTCTTTGACACAGTACAGAAGGAAATGGAGCCCATAATAAGGAAGAAAAGACAGACATGGGAGATTTACTAAATAAGGTAGAAAATAACTCATACAATCCAATTTACTTTACTGCCTTTAAGCAGTATTATTATTTGTTTTTAAGGTGCATTTTGCCACTGTAATATCAAAATGTAACATTACTGCTTCATACACATTTATACCAATTCTAATATAAATTATTGAAAATAATGTACATTTACTTTTGGTACATGTACATTATGATTACTTATGCTTATCATTAGAGAATTTGAAATTTAGATTAGGAAATGAAAAATCACAGTGTGGCTTCATAGGCAAGACAAACTGAATTAATTGTTTCATATTTCCTGTTTAGGTTTGTAGACATACAGTAGAATATAGTTCTAGAATTAGTCAATAGAAAATTAATATAAAAATAGAAATTTGACGGCTCATTTTTGTCTATTATGGGGAGGACTTTTATTGTATGGTAATTCTGAGTTACTATAATTACACTGAGTATTCTTAATGAAACTCATAGATGAGGAACATGTACATGAACTTGGAAAAGAGCTAAAGATTATAGGAAATGAGCTATTGATTTTTCCTCACACTTTATTTGCATTAACTAATTTCTCATTAGATGAGGGAGCATTTTGGTTGACTAATCTGATAGAATGTGGAAATGTATGGATTCTGTCTTTGCTGAATTACAATTTTTTTTCTGACTTGCACATAAAGCCTTTTAGGTTGCTTAAATGACATTTGATAACACAGATGGTGGTCAAATAACTTCAGTATTATGTTAAGTAAAGAGGAATAAAAAGATTTATTGGTAAACAGAACGTAACCGTTTTAAAGGAATTCTAAAATACAATTTGTAAATTGTTACTCTTAAATCCTAGGAATACCTTTTGCTATTTGAATACTGGGATTTGCCACCCAAGGTTACCCAGAAATCAGCAGGCTCCTGGCCTTCAGCAATCACATGCTTCTCTCTTTTTGAGATGATGTCTGTAACTGTTTTCGCCATTTCTCGCTCATCTCCACTGCAGCCCTGCAAACAGCACAAAAGAGAATAAAGTACAACCTTCTTAGATCATTTTTTAGTCAGCTGGGTTTCAGTTCACACCACTAAAACAAACAAAACCTGCATATTTTGTTTTAAACCCTTTAAAAACCAGGGCTGGGCACTTATTCTGAAAATCTAGTTTCTAGGTGTCTTGGGATTGAAAATAAACACAAAAATGCTTATTTAAAGGACTAATGTTAGTGGTATTCATGTTAATGTAATCTCAGTACCACCATTGGGGGCTGGGTGTTTTAGCCTTAAACCCTTGATAGAAGGTTGTGGGTGAAAGAGTGCAAGATACTTCACTCAAAATGCTTCAGCACAATGCCCAGCTGTACAAAAGTAAGCCACAAAGCATCATCAATATGAGTCAATATTAACCAACAAAAGTTAGGTGATTTTCTTAGCTGATACCCACCTTCCCATACCACAGGTAGCAGCAGGTTTCTGTCTTGAGCACAAAGACGTCATTGGAGTTGAGGCTGGAGGACCGGGCAGGCACTTCGATCGCACGGGTGTTAAATTCGTTGGTGCCATGGACATGAAAGAGTCTCACAGGGCGTTCAGGTTCTTTGGATACTGCTCGGGAAGTTCCTCCCTAGGAAATTAGATGTGTTATCAGGAAGAACAATTGGAAGGACCAAAACAGGTGGAACTGACATAAAAAGTGGTTGACTCTTCCCATAGTTCAACAACAGCTTTGTTTACAGTACTTTGTAATGTCACAGGCTTGGAATGGGATTTCTTTCATTATTGGCTCTGGAAAAAAAACTAAAGATTCTATTAGATTAGAAACTAAAGATTAGAGATATTGATTTTTTCCTCATACCTGTGTTCATTTGCAGAATGATGAATTTTTGTTTTGCCGTATCCATTGTTTCACATAATAGAAGACAGTTTTTAAGAACTGATGAAGAAAAACTACAGGACCTACCTCATAAACCACCATTTTTCCCTTGAAGATGGCCATCAGGTGAGGTGGCTCCTTTCCCATTGGCACTCTGACCTGAACAGGTTTTCCATCATACTTCTGATCAAGTATTACAGCTTGGTAAGCTGAGGCTGTTATCTCATCTTTGCTTGCGTGGCGGCCCTGATGTTCACACCAATGACAATTAATTCAAGACCATTATCCAGTGTCACACAAATAAACCAGTGAGCAATAAAAGTATTTATGATTCTCCAGTTCTGCTCCACTTGCTAGCTGGGGTAAACAAAGCAGTTTAGGTACTAGGCAACCATGAGGAAAACAAGTGGTTTGGATTCAAGGTTGGAGATGTTGTGGTACTGACCTGCCAGATGTAAAGTATGTAGTTCAGCTTGTTGTTGACCTCATACTTGTAAAGAATGAGATAGCAATCTCCACCATAGAAATGGCCAAGCCATTTTTTCTCAACAGGCACAGGTTCTAGGTCTTCTATCCTCCAGACCTGTAATATAATCATAAAAGGCAGGACATTCTTTAACATGAAGCAATTAGGAATTCTTAAGACATTTTATAAAGATTAAAATACATAAAAACTGGCCAATAAGATTTTAGAAAACCAGAGTAATCAGGTTACCTCTGCTTCTCCTGTTCCATCATCCACCATTTTCTGCTGAGCTGCCAGATCAGGTCTTGCATGCATAGAAGTTGCATCAAATTTAATTTGCTCCACTTTAGCTGCAACACAATAATGGATTACGTTGTTGGGCCATGTGATGCTGTTACCACTGTTGTCACGCCCTCTACACCTAGAGGGCACTGCTCTTCTGTCCTGTTCCAAGTTCCCTGTGATTATTCAAGTCTTTCCAGTGTGTCTTGTTGTGTAGCCTATTTACTTCCTGTGTCTGCTTTGCTCCTGGCTCAGCATTGAGGGTACGGAAGTCGTGAGACTCGCCTTTTACCAGGTCACCCCACGTCCGTGGCCTGAGGGCATAGGTTTCTATACCGACATCGTCTGACCCCCTGAGCCTGGGCTGACCTCCATGTTGCCCCTTTCACCACTATGCATAGGGTCTCTACTGCTCTCCTTCCGATATCCGTGACAACTATGTTCTATCCAATATTAAAAGCAAGAACTCTCTTGTTTATCAGGGTCTTTAAGAGTCACCAATGAAGGACATTGGCCTTGTGATATTTTACCTTGTTATATCTGTACCATCCCTGACAGACTGCTGAACCAGTTTCCACGCCTTCATTTGTTAATACACAAACCACAATTGACAAAACACATTAAAAGCTCACCGACTTTCCCCACAGAATGTGTTTTTCCCAATCCTGAAGTCTGCCCCTTGACAGTCCACTTCTGGAATAGCTGCTTAAAAACTGCTGATTCTGCTCCATCATTCACTGTTTCCACATATGTAGAAGGAGGGTAGCCTTTTGCTTTCTTGTAGGCCTGGATTTAAAAGTATTTTTTTACATATTTATTTATTATTATTATTATTATAATAGATAATATTTATAGAATAAATACTATTAGGATTGATTCCAATACAAATGTCTTTCTTTTTTGCACTATGTTTGGTTGTATTTTTGGTTTTAATAGACACACACAGTACAATCTAAGTTTGTAGGTCGGAAGAGGTAAATGTTTAGAGGAAACCATCAGCAGATCAATTTTTAGCTGGCTTCTCGTGTCATTGCAATTTTCTCTTATTTGTTTTCTTTAGTCATCTTGTTCAAATCCAATGTGTATCATAAATATGCATACAGTATATATGTTACTACTTTTTCCTTAGGATTTATATTTTATACATTTTCTGTTATACTGGTAAGCATTGTTGATTTGTCTATAATATCTGGATTTTGATGGTAAACAAATTGACAGATGTTTAGAATTCTTAAATATTAACATTTATATAGCAATATCCATAGGACATATACAATTAAATACATTTAATCTCTGGACCTGACCTCTTTTCTTTCTTCACATATTTTTTAAACAAACCTAATAATATTCTTGTGAGGTTTTGGAATGGTTTCATTACCTATGATTTTCCCGTTTTGTTTTTTGTGTTTGGACTGAAGAAAATATTTTTCCTCACCTCAGCTTTTTCCAAGGATTCTGTCCTCTCCTTCTTTGAAGCCTTCTTACCTTTCCAAATATAAATCTTAATTCCACCCTGGTCCAGCAAATAGCAGTCCTATACAAAGAGAAATGGTATTCATTCCTTGCAATGAATTATTAAGACAATACATGGGACTTTGATTTTTATGTTTAAACACAGTTACTTGTATTTATCTGAATGTAACTATACTCTGATACATTTGGCTGCAGCCACAACCCTGCCAGAATAAATGTAACAAACCTACAGTAGTAATGTACCATCAAGGTCCTATACTGGTCATGAAAAAGCTGTCAGTTATTTTACTCAGGCTGGAATTTCTTGTTTTTAAGTTAATAATAATGCTTAATGAAGCTTGAATTCTAAGAGTGCAACACCTTTTTCAACAGCAATGTGGTAATATTTCAAGATTCTTCCCCCTTACAAACACCACCTCCTCACCCCCCACCGTTACAGACTAACCTCATGTTTAAGAAGATCCTGGGTCAGAGGTTTTACAGCCACTTCCTGCACCACCAGACTTCCCTCAGCTTCCGAAATACTAGGGAGAAAAATAATTCTATATTATTTTTTAAAAACAGTATAGAAGTAGCACACTTGGAATGCATGACATGCCTCATTTTGCACTGTGAAAGAATGGAAGTGACATTAATGCCAAAACACTCCCTTACTGGAAGAGCTTGATAGAAGACTTCATCGTCTGATCAACCACCTCGTCAGGAATAGCAGGCTTGAGCTCTTTCCTCTCCCCAAGAACGTGGTTCATGACTTTCATCAGTTCTGCCGAGGCCCCCTCGTTGTCTCCTTCCACCACGCCCACCTGCGCCCGCCCTCCTCGCTCCCGGTCGCGGACGTCCTTTGCCAGGTTCATCCCCTGCAAGGACAGAATCCATCACTCCCTGCACTTTCACAGCCTTGCAAAATATGTAGGTGCCATGCTAAAATATGGGGAGACAAGCACACATTAACCAAGTGTACTACTGCACAGGTTGGGAATCAATACACACAGGAAAACAGAATGCTTATAGTGGCTGCTTAAGGTAAAAGAAAATATATACAATTTAGTGTATGCTGCTGCAATTAACAGCTTTAAAAATGTGTAAAATAGTATAACTTTAGATTTCTGCAAAGAGAATGATGTGTAAATTGGCATATTCACAACAGATGTTTTTAAATCTGAACGAACGATGACGAAGTATGTATTTTACTTAGCTGAATTACAGTATTTTAGGTTAACCACCATTTTCCTTTTCAGTTTTACAGCAAGAGCCTTTGGAAACATTTTGAGATACTTGGAATTGCAAAGCTTTAGGACAAACTCAGTTTGAAAATTCTGATTGCAAATCAATACAAAAGACAGACATAAGCATCTCCACAACACACAGAACGAGACAGAGAAGAACAAGAAAAAACAGCAAACCAAAATTCTGCTATGACTTTTTTATTAGTAATGCAAACGTCTAGAGCTGTTCTAAAAATAAAGCCTTTCTAAAACTGCTAAGATCCCTCACATCTGACCACACTCTAGAAGACAAATTAGAGAAATCTAATAATAACTAAAAAATAAAAATGTTAGAAAAACTTTTCATTGAGCTTCGACAATTTGGGTTTCATAAGCATCCAGGAAAGAGCTTGTCAGGATGCTGATAGAAGACAAGTGGCTGCTCAAGTAGGAAGTTACCTTCAGTCTTTCCATGCGATTGCTTTCAGGGCCATTCCATTGAATAATAAAGCTCCCCAAATCCAGTAAGAAGACATCACCTTTATTAAAGCTTTTCCAACTCATTTCCACCTGCAAATAGAGCAATTAAGGTGATTGTACTTACAGTATGTGCAAACCCCCCCCCCCTTTATAAGTATACATCTGAAGTATATAAGCATTTCTTTCTTTTGAAAGATGGAAATAGTCTGTCACCTTATTTGGAATCACAAAGCTGGATAATTGCTACAACACCTGTATTCCACCTGGGAGAATGCAAAAACACTCTTTTGATACAGTATGTCTACCTCTCAGGCACCGTGCGACCAGCTGTGGGCTCCACAATGCCTTACAATAGAGGTGGCCAGAAGAGTAATGTGCCTCCACTGGTGTCACCACAGGAGCAGCTGTCATTGTACAACCTGCTAGACACAGCCCTGACTGAAGTATGCATCTGGACAAAAAGGGCTCAATTCCAGAGAGCGCCTTTATGGATTCTGCCACTCACGAGACAATCCAGAATGCTTGCTTTGACAGTTCCTAGTTTGAGGAGGTTGTTGACAAGGATGTTTTTTTCTAAACCAAATGAAAAAGTGATTCCAGTGGCTTCAAATATTCTATCTCATACATACCAGATAAAGAATGGACCACAATTACAGGTTGTCCTGGCACTAGAAGAGTGAAATAATTTATAAAGTACTGATGCCTACGTATTATCAATGACAAAATAAATCTCAATAAAATAACAAAAAATTAGAAGTGGGCTTGCTCACCTCTCCAGCCACCACATTCTTCTTGCCCTTGACGTGCAGAAGCCTTTTGATGTTGTAAGTGTTGGTCTCCACGTGCTTCATGCCTGAGGCCACACCACCTTTTTTATAACTAAACAGAAACACAGAAACTGTCTTAAGGTATAATGCTGCATTGTTCTGTCATTTCTCACTCTTGACCTAATGTTATTGCTCTATAATTATCACTTGCAGAAGATGGTACCAAATTATAGAAATACAATTGCCGAAGCAATATGTGATGAGAAAAAGAGATTTTAAAAAGTCAAAAACACTGAGTCTTCATTTATAATCACAGTGAAAATCTCCAGTCACTTTAGAATGGGCTCTCTGAACAAGAAAATAAGTGATAAACAGATATTACTTTGGACAGAAGTTATTATCTCCGTGTTATGTTACACCAGTCTTTGATATTAAATCTACATTACAATCCACATTAAATCCACATTACGGTCTGTTAACGCTTTTTATTTTGACATTTTCTTCAGGTGTTCAAAGAAAGTCAAAAAGATTTTAATGCCAAAGCAGTTTTAATGATTTTACTCAAAGCAATCCTTTCATACTTCAATGTTTTTTTTCCTCTGCCTCAGTGGTTTCTTCCTTGTGTTGTGTACTAGTCTGTTTCCTCTTGACCTTTGCTAGGATAATTGGCAGATGACCATTCGCTTGTCTTGGTCACCTTGCTTGTACTATATGTGTTATTTTATAATAGAAAAAGAGATTTTAAAATTGCTTACACTTATATAGTGCTTTTCTGGACACTCCACTCAAAGGGCTTTACAGATTATAGGGACTCCCCTCCACCCCCACCAATGTGCAGCATCCACCTGGACGGCAGCCATGGTGCGCCAGAACGCTCACCACACATCAGCTATCAGTGGGGAGGAGAGCAGAGTAATGAAGCCAATTCATAGAGGGGGATTATTAGGAGGCCATGATTGGT